AGCTCGCCCGCCCCTTTCGCATGCCGCATTAGCCCCCGCACGCCCGACGTGCTGGGGCTGATCGCGCGCGCACGACCGGCTGCGGCCACAGACACGACACTCTACGACGACGAGAACCATGCGCACGACCACAAGCATGAACACGGACGCGGATACGAGAGCAAAGACGACCAGTCGATATGACCATGAGAACGAGGTTCAGCCCGCTGCAGGATAGTAGGCAGACCGATGTAGCGATAGCGCGTGTACACTGTACCACTACGACATGTTGTAGTTGTGCGTTCGTAGACCATTACAGTCCATTGTTTGTCACAATACGTGCGGATCCGGCCATCGATATTGGTGTCGGTGTCGGTGTCGGTGTCGGTGTCGGGCGAACAAACGCGCGTGTGCACTTGGGATCTGTACTAGCCGTGCTCACGTTGCGTTGGCCCGGAAGCCCCTGGTGTAATCCAGGCACGTCATGCGGACTAGCTGGTGCAGACCCAGGTCACCCAGCTGCCTGTGTGAATAAACCACTGTGAAGGACGTGCGTTGCACGGATCTGGATCTCGAATGCCTCGAGGTGCGGCAACCAGGCCTTCCTCTCCTGGATCCAAACATCGCTGCAACATATAGCACGCCACGTTCCTGTCTAGACGGCGCAGGCGGGCGCCGGAACTTGAGATACACCTGCCTCGTGGAACGACATGAGTAGCACCTGTATCATTCTCGGGGATCACGGGCATGCGGGGGGTTATCGCTGCACTACCGCAGAACTAGCAGCATGCATGCCGAAGCCAGTCAGCGACACTGGTATAGCGTACCGGCGGGGCGACTCGTGTAACCCGTAGCCGAGCTCGGAGTGTCCAAGCCTTCGGAATAGAATGTGCATGTCCACAAAGGTGAAGATTCGTAATTTGGACCCACATATGTGACGGACCAAGCGCATTGAACCATGCCCAATGGAGACGGTGATTGGACTAGCGAGTAATGAGGGAGAATGTTCGGGCAGCCTTACTAGCCACGTCTGGCCATGCGAAGTGTCGACGAAGTGGAGCGGAAAATATGGAGAATGGAATATTGAGCCCTTAGTATTAGCAAGAATACCGAGATCCGTCAGCTACTAAGTGCTCGGCTGCGACGCCGCCCAGCGGCGCGTGTGGCGAGGACGGATGCCAGCACTGAGTGCGGCGTGACATCAATATGATGATCATTGAGGCCCAGTCCAATCCATAGGTGAGAGCAGACCATTATTTAATAAGTGCTGCCTGTCTGATGGAATAAACGAAGGATAAAATCGCGGGAGGGCGCGCACCGCCGCACTCCTTCGGCTGCATCTGTGCTTCCCTGCGGTTCTCCCTTTGCCGATCATGGAAGAAGGACTTGACGGAAACTGCCACAGTGGCTTAGCGATTGGACGAGTGCGGTGGGTGCATGAACGGACTACGGGAATGATTTCCGGAAGTGCCGATACTACTTACGAGGCATGGGTGCCGGGCGAGACTATATCATGATCCGCGATTGCAAGAGCGGTACTGGGTAGTGCCGCACATATGCACAGACAAGGAGACATGTGTATACGTCCTGCACCGTATGGCCGCGCGCCCCACGATGGATGAAGTCCAGACTTGAAGATTCAGCCATCTCGCTCCAATTGCTCGACACCCTGCGCAAGTTCCTCCTCCAATGCATGCGTTTATCAGCGCCACTCGCCGTGCACTAGAGTATGATCAGGCTATACCCACTGCGTCAAGTTGAATCAACGGAGAAAAGGCCCTAGATTGTCCTTATCGTGCACGTATTTGTATGGAAGAACCAAGAAGTAGGCCAGGGCATGCATATCGGCCGGGTCAGCAAACATGTTGTAAATAGGTGCATCGAATTCGTGCTCGTGGAAGAACTTGTGCATGCAGTGGTTGTGTTGGAGACGGTGAACAGTCGCTTATTAATTCCGACCTTCATGAGCGGCGGAGAAAGTCCCGTAGAATATTTGGCGAAAGAGCCTACCGACGAGCGGCCCCAAGTTCTGGTGAGTTTGAAATCACCTCGAGGCGAAGAGACCTTCTGATATTTGCGAAACAATTGTGATTCCTGTGATTCAGATCTTACAGAGAGGTGGACCTGATCCAGGTACGCGATAAAATGAAGAGTAGCCGCAAGTGCTTGTCGCGAAAGAGACAGCTTGAACTTAAGGGGATCACACTGCGAAAGTGGCCCGAGGGACTCGACCGGAAACGGTGTATTTGTCTTTATTTATGCATCTATAACGTTGGCCGTTAGAACTCTTCAAAATCAGCCTGAGTATGTACTGTGCAGTACGCCAGGACCGGCAGACGTGTAGATTAAAGCGTCGCGCGTCTGCCGCTGTTCAACAAGTGGTCATAGAAATATAGTTACATACAAGCTCCAGGGACCATTCGGGGTAAGGTCCTTGGATCATGACGCACCTTCTGACATACGCTCGTGCGGTAGACCTCCCTGCTAGCACCCAGAGACCCGAAGGATGTCGCGCAGATGAGCGAGACAATTGCCATTGAATAATTTGTAAGTGTCTCATGCACATTGCACAGAACCTTTTCCGGCGTCGATTTGGCGAGATGTCGCTCTCTACGGAAGGTGTGCATATACCGCCATTTTTCCCTCCAATTGAATTTGTATTTGGAAAGGACAAAGGAACAGGGAGCTATTGTAAGCCCAGCGTTCACGCAAGGGCCAAACTCGCTGTTATGTACAAAAATACCCGGACGTCGCGCTCGTCTTTACTCACAAGATAAGCTTCGACCCTTGCATTTTTTTTCGTCGCTCGCAATGCCATTTTGTTTAGGTCAACTATAGAAGACAAATTTGACCAAGGGGACAGAATCTCCATGAAACTGTTTAGCAAGATATCCCGCTTGACATCTGATTTTTTCTTACAAGATTATCTTCGCTAATGTTATACGAACATCCAGCCTCGACGCCGCATCAGCATAATTACACTTACATACGATGTTAGCAATTCAAACAGGCCAATTCTCGCGGATCACCGAGGTACTGCAGATGGCAATTACACTCGCTGCAAGATTGCTGTTCTCGAGCTGTTATATGTACCGAACCCCATGAAACGGAGGATTCAAATGTGCCGTAGGGCCTGGGACATCGTATGGATTCGACAAGAGCGCAGAATTGGCATGCCTTTGAAGCTTTTGGATGTCCTCAGTATGTCTGAACCGCTGTTCAACGTATTGCTTATACTTCTCTAACAACGAGAAGATCACAGGAAAATTCTTTGACAGAAATCGTGTTATCTCCCTCACAAGATGCGCCTATCGCCTTCATTGTACGGATATTCGCATCTTTTTGCAGACCATGAGCGCGATCTTCGCGTACCATTAAACGACCACCAATTCCATCATGTCAGGATTATTCCTTTGTGTTGGAAAAAAAGTACGGAATCACAGAAAATCGTGTCTTAGGTGTGTCTTTTCCTGGGCAGCTTAAGATCCAGAACACCTTTCGCGAAGAATGTGTCCCGTTTACAGAGCAAACTGACTGCGAGCCGATGCCAATGTCTTGTCTACTTGTCTCACGCGAGGTCGTCTGAATAACCCTCAAGCGTCAGATGTGCACTGAGTGTTTTGATAATCATGCCCTGTCTCGCCCTGTTTCATCGTTCTCAAGTGCGTGGGCGGACGCTATCCCCCTTTCCACGGCAAGACCTTGTTTCGCTCGACCAGTGCATTCATATGCCCATAGTACAAGACGGGTAACCGTAGATTTCCGAACTCGGGGCGCAGATGCCGCTGCGTTTCGTCTAGAGTTGGCTCAACCCCAGTGGTCTAGCAGAGGCGGTCAAGGATACCCGCGCACCCGCATACCTCATGACGTTCGGAGACGGGTGCGTACTTGATTGCACAGTGCAATATCTGGGTATTAGCACGTCCTGACTGTATGACTTACGTGTGCTGCTTACAGAGCGAAGATTTGTGTGGGACGGGATTTCGGTAAAATGCTCCGCGTAGCCTCACTGCGCTGACGTGAGCCTGCTCATTTTTTGCGACGCTCGTGGTGACCAAGGTGTGCGCCTGGCACCTGTGTGTAGCGAGCGAGCGCTGACGCTAGGGATGTCACCATGCAGATTGTTGTCCCAGCCGTATCCGTCGCTTGGTTAATTCGAGCCGGACGGCCAGGAATATGTAGTCTACAAGACCGGAGGCAACAAGATCAAGCCCAGTATCTGTGGGCGTGAAGCGGAAGGCGCACAGCTGCGCCCTCGCGTGTGCCAATATCATGCAGGCGAGTTGTCGGGCTCAGCCAATCTTCCACTCTGCCTTTGTTCTGCGCAGCAGAACGACCTCGCGCTCTCATACCGCTTTTGTGCATATGTGCGGCTGCCAAGCTACCATACTATGTAGCTTGTAGGTAAGTGGAGAAACTTCGCTCCCTGGCGGTGGAGCATTTCGTGTAGTACCGAATCCAAGACTGTGCATACATATACACTTGGCTAACTGAAGAAATGGAATGGTTCAAAAAGGTCTCGGCAGCGATGCCACATCATCACCGTTCAAAGTCAGCCCCTGACCTACGACTAGCCTGAAGTTTTCGATGCACGCCAGGGTGATCGTTTTTTCGCGCGACGCTACGGGCGAGTATATGCAACGATCTTAGGTCATAGTAACGACAGCGCTCGCTGCATCCTGCCTGGATAGGCATGAATCAAAATAACCAAGTTCCGTTCAGAAACAAATACAGCTACTCGTGATTCATCTACTGTCTCCAAATCCGCTAAGGTGAGATCCGCTTCGCCGTGAAGCGACGGCCGCGCGCGATCTATACAGGATAGACAAGGACTAATCGAACTACAATTGTCAGACTGTCCGCAAGGACAAGCAGTGTAATGGAAAGAATGACCATACTGATTGCAGAGTGACATATGATATTCTCAGACCCGGATCTCAGAGTTCCACTGGAAACATATGTGCTCAAAATGGATGATAAATGAAAAGAGACTACACTAGCAAAGGTATCACCAATAATGATCTTGTACTATTTGTCAAATGAAGCAAACGTAGATGACTTGTATATTTCTGCAGCAAAACACAAACGGTCAACAAGATCTCGAAGAACAGACGGCACAACAAGAAAAATTCCGACACGGGGAATCGAACCCCGGGCTATCGCGTGAGAGGCGATAATGTTAGCCACTACACCATATCGGATTGATAATTACTAACACAATTTTGATCCTCTCACCGATAAACACTCATCGGTGTACCCGCACGTATGAGTTTTACGGAAAATCAGCCCTGTCACAGCACCCTGTCAATGAAGTATTCTCAAAGGTTCAGCATGAATCCGGGATAGCGAGCAGCTAATACGTGTTATGTCCTGCCAGTGCGCCTGCAGTGGTGGAAGAACAGGTAGGGATCACGATCATCGCGGGCATTCCTCCGCTCAAAATGAAATTGGGCCCGCGTGGGTCATTTACGTACAGTATACGACCCCGGTCATGTTCCTAGAGGTGTTTTGAACACTACATATCTGGGAAGAGACTATGTACCTCGAGCTCCCTGAGTCTCCCCGACTAGGTGTACTTACAAGTAGAAATGTGTCCAAGTAAGCGGGTCGACCGGTCGAGTTCCGAGGCGTTTCGGGGCGAAAATGCCGAAGGCTAGGAAAGCTAGAAGTTTGCGGCGAACATCCTCACCGCAGCGGCGGATGTCTGACCACATGGCCCGGTGTCCAACCAAAGTCTGGGACGCTGTGTCTCATCGTCTGTGTCCCGTTGGCGCGTCCAGGACGGCCAGGTGGCGACCATTTGAGTTTGCTGTCTCTGTCGCAACTTCAAATTCTACCATCGCTTTACTTGTCCATATTCTTCCTCCGTATACCTGCTTCTGTGCATACTTGCGAACAAGGTTTGAGCACTTCCTATCGGGACATCCACGATGCGTACCATACACGTGGACACTCCAAATAAACGGCACGCAACGTGATACATAGACTTGACGCATTGAGTGCAAGTAGGTGGGGTAGTTTGACCAATTTGGCGCGACCGCAATCCTGGCTCCTTGCTCGCTAGACTCCCATCCGTCCTTGCCCAAGCCGAGCAGAACGTAGGAGCACGCGGTCTGTAATTCCAGATGGCCAGTGGCACACGAACTGGAGTCTCGAGAACACACGATGGCGGCGTCTCGCCGTGGTCAGGTCACAATCCCTCGCTCATCTCATGCCAGCTATGTTCTAAGAAATTGCATTAAATGGCTGAGCATGAATCGGAGAATGTAGCAGTGAATTCACCTTGGCGTACTATAAAGACCGGAGTATATAATGGAAGCGAGACAATGAAACTTGCGAGCAGAAGCCTGAACGTGGGGGCATGCGGCAACTCGCAATTGAATGGATCATAGTGCTGTGTGTGTGCCGCCTAGCAACAAGGCATCGCCTTTCAGCATTCGTATTCTTGCACTATCCAGTATTAGGACAGAGCGAGGGCCAGGTAAGGGCAAAATACAAGCTCGAGATTTAGATTCTAATGGTGCATGCCAGCGGTGGGTGTCCGCCAGCGGCAAATGCGGTCCTGTGTGTATGTCTTTGGTCGTTGTCGCGACTCGCCACCGCCACCACTCCGGCATTGTCTTCAGTGCTGTTCGTCTGAGCTTTGATGCTTCTATTCGCCCAACCCTGCTTAATATCGGACCCACTACTCGTCTATTTTATGCGTTGCTTGTCAACCTGCATACATTCGCTAAGATATGGTCGTAACATGTGGTAGGTATCGTATGCAATAATCGTCTACATAGTAAGCTAGATCCGCTCGTGGTCGGAATCGCTCAGGTATGTATGCTCGTGGTATTCTAGATGTGCGCTGTGTATCGTAAGTGTGCGCGTATCAGGTTGTCATAAGCTACAAAGTCCTTCGCGGATATAATACACATTAGGGCGAACAGAAACACTCAACTGAATCAACGACATCATATATCCACCAAAGGCACGTCGACGTCTTCTCTCCGACGGTCACGATCGTGGTTTACTTTCTTCGGCATCAACTGCACCGTCCGCGTCTTCTGGATCTCGAGTCCCTTGCTACCAAAGTAACGTCCGCTCTCGAAGTTCCAGCAGTCGTTGCATCGCGGCCAGTTTGCAAGCCCGAGGAGGTATTCCTCGACCTGTCTGTCGATTGCAGGTCCCCAGGATGGCACTCGCTTCAGACCATCGAGAAATTTAGTCTCGACCTCGGCATGGAAGTCTGCCAACCAAGCCATGGCCTTGTCGATATCGTAGTTGTATTGGTGCATGATGACCGTCAGGATATTATGTTGGTCGTCCCCATGGGCTTGTTCCTTATTGTAGGAGGCTAAGTCCTGCAACCCAATCAAAACCATTAATATGAAATGATTGTAATGGGATAAGTGACTCACGTTGTCAAAGATTATGAGATCAGCAATGTGGATTGATAACTCGACGATGACAGGATGGTAGAACACCTCATCGGGGAGTTCAATTCCTAGCTCTAATGGAACGTACGAAGGTCGTGCGCCAATGTTTTCGCGGCGGTTCGCGAGGTAGCTGTCGACATCGCGGATGACGCCGCTGTCACGATCAGCGGCTTGGGAGACGACTGACTCCAGGTATGCCGTGAAGCTTTCGATGAAGTGTCTCTGAGAGCTCGGCGAAGCAGTCTTGACGGCCAAAGCCCAAAATCTAGATGCCATGATGCACGGTGAGCTGCGTTCGACACTGAGCATGCACGAACTAGAATACTTACTGCCGCGTTACTTCCCCTAACAATATCTCGCCATCCGGACGAGGTTTGTGAGGGTTGTTCAGCGCGTCGATAACAATGTCCACCATCATCCGACAAGAATCTGCATCTTCGACATCCGTGTACTCGTCAATTACGAAGAACACGTTCATCAGGTCGCATCCGGTGCGAAGATGTTCTGGAACATAAAGTTAGCCTACTGTTGTGATGGCAACCCGACTGCGGGCCAAACTCACCCTTTCTGCTCCATGGATACGCGAGAGATGCTAATCGGCCTGTCAAGAACGAAGACGATTCGCTCAGGGACTAGAATAACACGCTAGGCAAGCCTGTACTTACAGAAGTCGCATTTATCAAAGGCGCGTTGTGATTCAGGCTTGAAGGCGTTAAAGCTTCTGAACCATGCGTTCGACGCTGCCTTGACCTCTTCGTAGTAAGGGTTGATCATCCTCGGCCATGGCCAGTTGGCCATGGTCTCTGGGAGGTAAAGCATCTTGATCGGCTCGGGCATGTCTGAAAGAGATGTAGAGAGTGGGGAGCTGGGAGGAGGATGTTGAGGAACGCATCACAGCGCCCTGGCTGGTTTTATATTCATACAGAGCTTGGCCGGCCAGGTTGATGTGGGCGGCAGGTTGTGTGTGGGTATGTTCGCGAGTTCCGGCTTGAGCCCGGCCCATTGGCAAATTGAACACAGTGCCATCGTGCGCGCGCTTGTCCATTTTTGCAAAAGATCGCTGCTGTAGCAGTCGGGTGATCGACCTATCATTTAGTCAGATCTTTCCGCTAGCATGGCGAACCGCCGAACCCTGCCCCAACGCACCTCGCACCGGAGACTTGGTAGCAGCTGTATGTCCCCGCGTCAGCCCATGATTCGTTGCGAGCCTGGCTTCGTTCGGAGAGATCTCGTTTCTCCGAAAGAAGGGTCGCTTCTCCTTCCGCCGTGGTATGTCTTCTTTTTTTCTTCTTCATTTCGTTGCCACAACGAGGCAGTCGCGTGGCAATCAATCAACACCCTAGGCACGCTACTGTCCGTTTATAGGATTATGTCGTAAATTGTTTTTTTAATACATGGGAACGGTATTTGAGCATTTGCACTGCCAGTGCAGTTAACCCAACTTTAGGCATGATTGGGCCGTTTGCTTGGTATGTGGGCGCCTACGTATCCACCACAGGCGTTCGTACTTATTAAAGTACTTGGCAGTTACCGCGCTCGTCAACGGACATACACGTCGTCTTTTTGGTGCATCGTAGGTTGAGACCACTGGTTCTCTCGCTTACAATGGACTAGTATAGTATTACCTCATCCCCGACGTGGTAGTTATTGATACACGGTTACGGTGTTTATTTGGTCCCAGGACTTATCCGTGCGATTAATCACCATATATTCTTCCGGGAGCAAATATATGATGATTGTCACGACATGCGGTAGTGCAGTCATCTAGTGGTCATAACAGACACGTCGTTTACTATCATATCACAGACCACCTCAGTTGCGACCGCCGATTTGCAAGACGCGCCCCCTCTTGTGAGAACCTCGAGCTCTACAATGTAAATGTAGCTGAGCTGCAGCGTTCCTGGAGTCCGGTTCAAGACCCTCTCATTCTAAGTAATGAAACAAATCCAATCGATCATGCCTGTTTCGGCAAACATGCTTCTCTGAATCCTGTCACGTTCCATAGGGACTCGGTGCACAGAGTCTAGCATTGAAATCTCATGGGTTTGTCACCGCGCGCAGTCTTCCAAAGCGGCCAGCTGTATTTACACTACGCCGCGTATGACTACTACTTATGCCAGTGCTACCTGGCGGCGGTCGCAGGACTACAGGGCTTTCTGCTTACGGAGCTGGAAATTAAGCGGGACCGGAGCTCAGTGACGGAGGAGTTAGGATGACGTTCCACACATTTGGTTGGTCTTCGCATCCACTGGATTGGTACGACTGCTACTTATTCTAACCGAATCCCGACCCGATGTATCACTAGGTCCCTTGGACGTAGTCATCGTTCCATGAGATAACGCAGGCGACAGCCCGATGCTGTATACGGGACAATTCGAACTTGTCGCAACCCGACTTACGAAACAGTTCAAATGAATAGTCGAACCCAGAGATGTGCATATATTGGTCTCGTCCCCAGACATACGAGGATTCGCGTGTGTGCTTATCACAAGTCTGAAACAAACTGCTTGATTCCGCTGGTCAATGCGAGCCTCGAGGCGACGATATTCGGTATAGGCGTTTGCGCAAAGCGTTCTACTACTGGTTGGTACTGGCACCCGTTTGCTATGTCGACTGCCTCATCGACCCGGATCCAGTCGGTTTCCTCTGGACCAGAGACGTCAAAACTATCAGCAGGTTGGAAGTTGTTGAAAGGTTAGTCCAAGAACTTAGTATTACACGTTGGTCCAAGACATCTCGTTAAAGGAGATAGGAACGTTGAATGTGGGTTCTTACACTCGCACTAACGCGCTTGTCGCGCTGCATGGAATTCGGCAGGCGGACTTGGACGGAGTCTTACTCCACAGGTGTCTGTTTCCGCATGTTTCATGCATTCTATCATTGGCTCGTCGGTTCTTGTAATCGTCGCCAGTGGTGTCCGGAGATTACATGATGATACACTGTACAGTGCTTGGTTCCATTTTGTCCATTTCACTTGTCACCATTCGGAGTTGGATCGATATTCCGGGGCCGGACTGATTTCTGGGTGTCCTCAGTCGAGAAAATACCATGGCATGGCAAGTGTCTCAGCCCATCTCGCTCGTTTAAGCTAATTGAGTTCACGAGTCACAGATTCAAGTAGCTGCTTTTCTTGACATTATTTATGCCGGTAAGTTGGATACTTGGCTTTTTTGTGACCGTGAAGCTCAGATTTATAACTCCGTGTCCCTTGAGAGTTCCGTGCTCCTATCCTGTACGTTAAATATCCAGAAAAACCTACAATGTAATACGGTAATCGTACTTCTCATAACACCCGTTCCGTGTGGCCCGAGGTCTTATTCATCGCGATATTCTGGGAGACTAGCTCTGGTGGCGCGATTATGCAGACTGTAGCCCACGGGCTGGGAGTGTAGAGAAGAGTCGTGTCCCAAATACCAGATGTGTGTACGACGCTCGTCAGAGTATCTCTGTCCGATTCTGACCTGTCCGTCTAGATCGGCTGCTTTCTGTATCCTGGACGGGGTAACGTCGTGCGTGGCTCCGCCCTGTGGTGACGATCTGCTGCTGCCAGTGATGCAGTCCATGCGCAGACTTCACATGTAAGAAAACCAGCTGTCAACGGAGTATACTACATCGAGCTCTACGTAAGTTTTGTGATCTCGAAAGCAAAATGGCGGGTCGAATCAACATCTCAATCTTTCTTGTGGATGCACTGATCATGGTGCTAAAGTTAGACCACGGGGATTGACTTCTCCGGTCCTTGCCCATATAGCAGCCTACATTGCTTGCAGGGTCTATCCTGGAGCTCGGAACCTGATGCCGGAGACGTACGACGGCACAAATCTGAGACCGTGAGTATGGGAACCCCTTAGGCCAGGATTAGGGCCATTCTCATCCATGTCCGTTTTTTTTATGTTCAGCGCCAACATTTAATACCACTTTTCAATCAATTCTTTCAGGTACACGTTGACCTCTTATGGTGGTTTGATCGTCTTCTAATTGCGCGTCACGCACCCAGTTCAAGGCGATTAGAAGATGGGCGAAACAACGCCACCGAAGCTGAGTGCTGCATGGGGTGGCGGTTTGTTTGACGTGATCGGAACAGCAGACGTTACATGCTTATAAGTAGGTCACAATTCTCTTCACGCACTGTGTCTTGCGCCTCCAGACGTTTGGCGAGTTTCAAGAGCGGAAAAAGGAAATGGACATCATTCAGACAACCTCGTATATACGTGAGGAATAATTTCTCGGTGCCACTCAATATGGTAGATGTTATTGCTAAAGGAATGACGAACGGGAACAGGCCACATATGTATTCGAAAGTTGGTCCACTCTGACTGAGACTGCGCTCGGGCTTGTATGGATATTTACGTAGTATGATTCCTGAGGGTGCGGTGGGCAAATGCGAACGGCGAAGAGGCGATATCGGCTAGTATGTCACAAATGAGGATCACCGCGTCATGTAACTTACAGAATCTTGCATGGTAGCGACTCCGGCATGCATAGGCTTATGCTGATACCGGCACCAATGTTCTACACTTGCCCTTCACCTAAGTTAGTTAGGTGCTGCCGATTCGTCACAGTGGTCCTTCACGAAACCAATTCAGTTTACTTACCGTTTAAGGGATCGGGGAAACCTTCCATAGAGAACAGAATGGAAATACGTTGCCGAATCCGAAATAAGGAATCTGCCACTTTTGAACAAGGTTTGCTAGGTCCAACTCATTATACGTTGAGGACTTTCTGTCTAATTTGATTGTAGTGAGCGGGTTTGGACAACAGAAAATTTATCATCCAACCATCCATTCTTCGCAGGAAGGAACTCTCGTCAGATCAATATAATAGAGTTAATGTCAAGATGCGAGTAACAATGGTGTCCAAGTAAGTTTGTCTATTCTGTTAGTACTAGCGAAATGACATTAAATTCCACCTACTCTCCCTCTTACGCTTCTCTACGGTGACGGTACTAATCTTGATTCAAGTTCGAGACTACTATTGTGCAAAAGCTTTGCCACATCGACTTCGGGTGAGCTTAACCAGTTATATTGACGACACTTTTGATCTGAAAGTGTCAGTAAAGTTCGGCGTTGTGTCCAGTAGATTTAGAAGTGACTGATAAGTACTCGAAACTAGCCCCCGGGCCGAATAAACATACACCGGCCGCACAAGAGATTCCTCGGTGCATCAGCAAAATGGAACCAATCTGCCGAATCAATCTGCCGACGTACCTGACTAGACCTGAAACGCCCCTGGATTCAGGTGAACGACCTGAATGACTTTTTGTCCACTCACAACTCCGTCGAGAATGGCTTTCACATTGGTAAGTGCCATCAATTTATACCCTCAGCCCCTCCACACACTAAAAGAGCGATCCAAGTGGCTGGGGTCACTCGCAAGTTCCCAAAGCAGGACCGCGCAGGTGTCTCCGGTGTTTCGGACGTGTCCGTTTTGTTGATTAGTGGACGTGCAAACATGAGTTCCTACTTTTCACTTTTCACTCATCTTAGAAACCATAAGTAAAGCACCCCCGGGAGCCTAATAAATTATATGCAATCATTCTGGCACGTCTGGTCAACGAACCGGCAATCGCTGGTTTTTTTAAATCAACTTGAACACTCCAGCACCTATTAGGGAGAATGAATGTAGGTTCCCTCCTTGGATTAGGAAACAAGCAGCGCGAACACCTGTGACCAATGGACATTCGCAGGCATCCATTCCCTCATTGGGTTGTGCTGTCTTGGTCTCCGATAGGTAAGATGGCTACCATTAAGTCACCTGCTTGTAGATCTGAATACGAAACAACCGAGTCTGCGATAAAAAACTATCAGCCGTGCTTTTTCTCATCGCCAGAGAGCGTAGATCCCTTCAGAAATCCTACGGCAGATTATAATTTGAAGGTCGTAGAGGTTCTGTAATTTTAGACGCCTCTATGATGATTTAAACCTCGTGTGCGAAGGCCACAAATACGGATAAGATACACGCTTGTCTTTAACTTCAAGATATGTTCGCAGGTGCAAAATGGGAAACTGCGAACGTCATTTGAATATATGTATCAGACAAAGAACTTCATCTACTCATTTGAAATACATACAGCGTCACTTGCGTAGTAAAAATTTCTAGCTGCAATTCCGCGATTCATGAGCGATTCACCACAACTGAGTAAAAGTACCGAAGCTTCAGACCTTCAGGCCTCAGTAGGCTTGAGACCCAATATGCCTGGCGCAAATTGTGGCGAATCACTGGCGACGCCTGTCGTATTGCGCGACACGATCACGTGATTGAATATCGTCGACGAAAATTCATTTGAATTTTTGATCCTGTGTCATCGTCCCACTGTGCACATTTGAGTGGCTTGATTCACTCCACTCTACATATAATTTCTTCGGTCGTGGTATGATGGTCTCGGTGACGAAAAAGTTTGTAATCGTGAAGCCACTCGGTGTGAAGGGATATATACGCGATCAGACCGACACCGGCGGCACAAAGCTTTGTAGTTTTCAACATCAACTTTTCTTTACCTTACTCAATGAAGATGGAAGTAAGTGTTTTGCTGAAGTGTATCCCTCTCATAAGACACGCAGTTCTGATGCGCGTAAAAGTCTATTCAAAAGGGGAGGTCGAATGTAGCAGTGACGAGGCGCGCGTCGTCGAACAGCGATTTCACCCATTCGGTACTGCACCTCACGCGCTGGGAACATACCTTGAATATCAGTAGCGCTCGGCCTCTGTTGGAACGTGGAGACACACCAGTGCTTAAACACTAGACGATACCGACGCTGCACTGATGATGATCAGCTCGTCGATATCATCTGGGAAAGGACGTCTGAAGAATGAAAGGGCTGTGACTTCACCAGACGCGTCGAGCACGCTGCTATCCCACTTTCTGGTACGGGCTATCTAGGATTAGTATGACCACTCAAACACTCGCACTCGCTTTTAAACGCTTGAAGATAATCAGATCATGTGGCCACGAAGAGCCCTCCAGGACCACTTCTTAGGTCAAAGGAAAACGTTCGTGATAATAAATGCATAAGCCACTTCACATCGCTAATATCCTGACATAACTGGTAGGTAACTCCTGTCAAGCCATGGCTCGCAGAAAGCAATGTCTCGGAACGAATGGCATGTTGTTGTGTATTTTACTGCCACTCATGGTCCAAGGGGACTCCATGACTCGGGTATCTATCCTTCTAGTGCCGTCAATCACTTTGACTTACGTTGCGCATTCAGTACGTACTGGCTTGGATGATGGCATTGAGGCCAATGTTGTGCCTGGCCCTGCCCCTTAGGATCGACTTTCATCAAGGTATCCTTCGCCGAACATGGTATGTCATCTAGTTTGCGCACAGCTTTATGCAATTTCTCTGAGATTTAACACCAAGTTAGATGGGCGGTCATGCAACGAAAGGCTGGCTCATCCTTATTTGAAGACATATAGCACCTGAATCGAATTTGTAGATGATGGATGGTTCTTCCTCATCCAGTCGTAATGCTTCACGTGTCTGGTCCTGTGACTCTGTTACGTTTCCGATATCATCTTGGCAGGACACCATGATTCTGTTGCATAGGAAATGGCAAAAGACTAGTCTGACATGCCTCAAGTGAGCGCGTCTTGGTTCATAGATCATTTACTGGTATGTAAATTCTCAGACGCAGTGCTCAACCCCTTGGAATTCCTTATCCTCAATTTCCCCACGCAATGGGGGAAGGCTACCGCGTTTGGTCTGATCCTTGCTGCTCTTGTGCAACTCGTCCTATGCCTCGATCCTCCTGCTCAATTGGACGACCCAATAGGTGTGCGCCATCAACGTTCAATACTATGTGATCGCAGGAGGCAGTCAACCGACGACACGCCCGCATCGTGCATCGAAAGTTGTGATGCTGCGGACTATCTACACTAGCGTTGAATATGGCCACGCATCCCACTGCGGGACCGGGCTCGTGGGCACGCTGACGATTACCCGCATCGAACTCTAATATCGCATGCAGAGATGGAGATTGTCATGTAGCGGCTACAATTTGGTGCATGCTCCCCATACTCATTTGACCCAACCTAATGCATTCCCTTGACCTTGAAGAGCAGTAGATGAACAATTTTTGCTCTGTCCAGAGGCGGATGCGTCGACACATTCAGTTTAGTAGCCTGGTTATGCACTAGACTTTCAGCGCGAATCTTGATCCTGTCGATGAGCGCATCGACAACTAAACATACGTCAAGTACTATTTTCAGGAATGTGGATGGTGCGGAGCAGGTAGACGAGTCGGAATTCAGCCATATTGGAACCAGACAATACTCGCTGCGTGTTTTACGCATGCTGTCCGACGTGGCGAGCGTCAAGGGCAAGATGAGAAGGGTAATAGTTCTGCAGCGCGAGTGCATGATATGCGAGGTGCGTCATACATAATCACACATAGTGACCTCTCGCTGTTCCTGGTCCGGTGCACGCTGCCGGTACAACACCTGAAAGTCCATGACCACAATTATCTCACGGCAAGAATTGAAAGTCGCATCAGCGAGGCTTATGGGCTATTGAGGCAACGGCATAGCGACTTCAGGCCTCGCGGGACAAGCACGCAGCCCTACCATTTCACCCAAGCAATGCTTGGACGTAGTCACGAGCACGGCTCCCCATGCCTCATGACTTCTCCAAACAGAAACATATGGCCACTTTATGCTACGTGAATTTGGTCAATACTACAGCGAAAATAGAGGCTGATGCGTGCCTCCACAACCCTCTCCGCCTGTGATGAAGATCTCGCCCGCCCTGGAAACACTAGTGAGGGCGATGTCAGACAACATAAGTCTGGTCTATACGAGAGTGAAGGACGTGATACACAGAAATGGGCTTCGATCACGAGTCGTGCATACCAGAAGGGGCGGGAATCTAGAGGCACAAAAACGAGTTCTGTCGCAATCGTCGGCTGCACGCTAGGAGGGGATTCTGGAAGCGGGAGTGGCAGTTGACGATAGAGGGTGCACCCGTTCCCTCGCGATGTTATATAGGGCACAGCTGTACCAATGACGTCACACGTACTCGATCGAAGGCGGCTGGAATGCCGGGTGCGGAGGAGATGGCGGCGAGGGCGAGCAGGCCAGTGGTAGTGAGGGTATGAGAAGCAACAATGAAGTGTGGCCCGCAATGGGGGCGTGCAGCGAAGTCCCAGGCAATGGCAGGCGAGTGTGAATATAACCGTCCCGGTTATCATCCAAATGGTGGCCTAGTTACTAGCAATCGCTCATGCAGATTCCTGGAGTACAATTTGGTGCCCACTAGCGCGGCTTGGGGGGGCAATTGGCGCACAACACCTCATTCTTGATCAGCAAGACACCTGCACACGCGGACATGGCACCCTCTTCCTCCCACTTGATGTCGAATCGATGTCCCGCCCGCAGGTATAAGGAAGCTGATCTCAGAAAGCGCCACAAGTCCACAAGGCGTTAGCACAAGACTACAACATCATGGCATGAGCAAACTTACGAAGAGTTTGCCTACTACGCATATTGGCCCTGTTCACGGCGCGCAGGTCCAAAGTTAGTCAACACCGGAAGGTCCAGCACAGGAGCCAGACAGCACGCATCTCTCCAACCCTGGTTCCGCCCATCACCCTGGACGGAAGAGGGTCGTGTCTGCGCTCCAAACCCGCGGGTCGATATTGATGCCGTCGCGGAGTAGCATTGTCTCGGCGCGATATATAGTAATGTGCATCCACCACATGAGGAACTTAAGGGAAACCGCAGCGGAATCGTGTCCGCCGGTCACCCACCTGCGCAGCGTGAACGTAAGAAGCTGTTCCTTTCAGTAGCAAAGCGAAGATGGACGTGGCACTGCTTCAACGACTCGCTACGAGACAACCCCGAGATCTGTGAGCATGCATGCGAGGTTTGTAGAATGGGCAGAAACGCATGTGTCATACGATAGCAATTATAACAGCATAATCCAGGCCGAAAGACTTGTCTGCAATCTTCTAGTCGTCAAAGCAATCGGGTTTCCGCTTGCACGAACACCAGCACTCATGGTGACCTGATTCCAGTGTCTTCTCCGGCAAGCCCAGATAAAGCGCATTTCTCCTTCAAACCCTGCGCTGCAGCGTGATTTATCCTGAACGGGGTGCCACTACGTACTCAGGAGAATATCGCGGCCAAGAGATGAGGCGATAAATGGTGTGGATACATCCCTTTTTCGATATCATGCGCCACCCCCACAAATCGCGCCATAGACAGCGGAGATTGCCATGTCGTCGTACATGTTGGCGATATTCTAGAAGATGGAGGGCAAGGACGACATGCACGACATGCACGTGCACCGCAACGATCTTATTTTCGAGAGTTTCGACATAGCGTGTCCTGCAGAGCGCTAAGCGCTTATTTGTGAATGTACCAATCAACATCTGTAATGGTACCGCACCTCGTAGCGCAGGCGCGTGCATAGGTGGAATGGTCGCTGCGGTCGAGAACAATAGCATGCCAACGCTTGCAACTTGCTGTACTTGCGGTGTGATGCGTCAGAGATCTAATATCAGTGCGCCTCTTGCGGCTCGTCTGTTCAGGCTGTGCTGAAAATGACGTGTTTTTCTGGATGAGATGGGGAGACACCTGCAGTTTAGGCAGTTCACAGGTGTAATGCGCCGGCTGATTGAAGATGAGTGCGGGGGAAGGTGGATACCCAAGGACACAGTGCTATCACTATAGATGCCCAGCGGACACCCCCACTACTAGTTCACGCACTGCAGGGAATGATGTTGCATAACGAGCGAATATAGATGGCTTCCATGGGCCGCATTCTGGCTTTGGAAACCTGCATTAATGGAAGATTGATATTGAGAGTCTCAGTCCGGGATATGGTAATCGGGAACTATGGTAAGTACCTATGATAATGAGAGTCTGTGTATGTGTCAGTACAAGTGTATATAGGTACATATAGATGATAGCGAACATACCTCAATCTGGGATATGGTAATCGGGGACTGAGGGAAGTCGACGCACTGGCATCTCTAATAGTACGCAGCGAAGTTGCCGTATAAGGTAAGTAATAGAGCGGAAGTAACATATAGAAAGGAAGATTGTATAGTATCAAGAGTCCGTCTTGAATGTACCTACAATACGCATTGATGAGGAGCGTGCGCACGCCTGTCTCTCTTGAAGTGGCAGCAGGCTGACTCTGAGTACAGGTTACAGTGCCCCGAGAAAAACTGGGAAGAACGTAGCCCGTTCGCCCGCGCTAGCGCTATACACACTCAAGAGCATACTAGCTGTCGACGTGGATGGGAAGGTAATGTTCATCAAGAATGAGTTCCATGAGCACAGTATCTGGTTAACGACACTTACGACTATCGCCTCCCTAGAATAGCGTCTTCTCGCGCAGCGATGCACCGGCTTAGGCATCCGAAGTCCTTCATGTGAAGTCATCAGCCTGCGCCTGAGGAGCCCGGCAACCTTGATCTAGCAGAAGATGGAGGCGCACGCGGACGAGGGGGCCGAGGTGACATAATCATGTTCGGAGATGGGGGCGTTCACGAGGCTTCTTGGCTCGGGCATCGTGTTCTCGCGCTGATGCGTTACGTGTGGGCTGGCTTGACATGTACTAGCTACTTCCAGCCATTGATTGCAACCCTACTTGGCTATGATCCAACAGGGCTTACACAGGTCAGGGAATCATATCCGAGATCATTCTGTCTAAATTTTCAATGCGCCAAGACTGAGCGGAGACAACGAAAGCAAACCCGTTTCTGATCCGCTAGTACATATCGTATCGCTACGGCCGTAGTGTACATTCGCCGTCTGACAAGTGCGCGATCGCGCAGCACAATACGCAGCTAGTGCCACGTCTGTATAGTGCACGACGCGGACGATAACTCCGGGAGTCCAAGCACGGCTGAGAGTATGACATTCAATATCAGACATGGCTAGTGAGGCGCGCAGATTGATCCGCGCATCCGCGTGCAACTACGCCGCCCATCGTCATCGTATTGAATGACCACTCGCCAATCCCGGTCCTGCCGATAGCGCGCGGAAGCAGTGCCCATTCCGAGCGAGTTAAGTTAGATTAGACTTGTGTTGTAGTTGGCAGTCGTTGGCCTATGCATATGCGGGACGCTACATGATAAAGACTTCCCGTTGCACGCTCCACCTCCCAGTGAGAGCAGGACAACAATATAGATCTAAATGGGCCAAAATTCGCCGGCATAGTGGATGACACCGAAGGTCTTGAACACCGACCGTGCATGAGAGATGCCAAGCATGTCTTGTAATGCTTTCAATCACAACTTGCTTCTGACACGAATCCTGCTTCATCCGACACGAGCTATGCTCGAACTGTATTCTGTGCATCAGTCACGCGTAGACCAATCGACTGCAACAAAGCTATACTGATTCTGATGCGGAGTATCTTCCAGTCATGATGAACAACGAAGCGGTGAGCAGGGTACTTACGTTACAGCGTTGAGGCATTGAAAGCGAAATACGCAACTCAATTAATCAGGCGTCACCGCGTTAGCACTCAATGGTATTCCCATCTTCATGTGCTTGCAAATTGATGTCGCGTATGGTAGGTTCGATCGAGGACCTTGGGGTAAGATTTGTCACGCCACGGGATTGACTGCGTTGACTGCATAAGGGATAAGTCAGCCTGAATTGATAGCAGACGATCTTTATAGCGTTCGATATCCATACGAAATTTTCTCGGCGATCCACTGGCTCTGCATGTATGATTCCGATGGCGCATCCCATATTGATCGACGCCCATGAGCGGCAGTGGCCACTGACATGAATACATATCCGTAGGATCAGAATCGAGGTCTACAATACATTGAGAAGCAATGCCGACTAGACCTGGAGATATCCTTCGATTATCAGAAAGTCCACACATGCCGAGATACGGCGCTATACGGCACATACATGCAAGTAATGGATATAGAACTTACCAAGATGATGAGAGGTAATGCATTTGCGGCACCACTAGAGTGGTATGCGGACATAGTGCGAGATTAATTAACGATCATTCGCGATATTTGTGATACGGGTGAAGGAAAGCAGCCGAGACACATAAAATCATGGGTCGGGGTAGTCTCCTAGATAAGGTTGTCCTACCAGGTCTGGGACCAAGTTATATACTCCTGTTCATAACGCAAGCTGTTGATGGTGCCTACCCAGGAGTCGACAATATTGTCGAGCATAGGGCTGTATGATTAGAGCCTTGGTTATTATCTCTGTTACCAATAGCGACAGTAAATCATATACGAGAAGGGGACGGGTTGGTACTTCCTGAGAGACCTCATGAAGGCCGCAGACAAGGTTGTTGCGGCTGGAGGGGATGCGACGCAACACGGGGTCGCGGTCACGTGCCAAACCATGCAGACGCGGAGTCGCTCCGCCCGACTGAATGATTCTGCGGTATCGATCCCGCCCGACTAGCATACTTATTGCGGCTGCCAGCACACAATCAGCACGACGACCCAACCTCCACCAACACATGCCGACATTCTAATGCTACGATATATCCAAATCCTGAGTTGTAGCCATGGTGCTGGGTGTTTAGGATTGTGGACGGTGTGCCGGTGAGCCCTGTGAACCCATGTGGTGTAGGGCATTGTAGACAGGTGCTTACTCAGCTTGTAACTGCGTTCACAGCATTTGACGTACCTCGCCTATGCAAGTTTGGTGCAAATAAGCTGGTATTTGCAAGAAACAATACTCGCTAGAAAGGCAATATTTCGGTCGTGATCTTGTGGACGGAATGGAATATCACGTTACCTTTTTTTTTTCTTGCACAAACTTGGGGTGGTCGTCTGTCTGTCAGAGTCTCGGTGGTATTGCGCGCAATTATATATGAAGAACACTGGTCTTGACCTTTTCGGATCTTTGATGCACTTCTTGTGGGTGGTCTTCATCGGCACGTGAGTGGTCAACGAACGGTCGTTTTACAGACAACTACTAATGGTGCCCCAAAGTCACCAATATATACTGCAGCAAACATTAGAAACGGATACCTACTCCCTTCACAAATTTCGTGTGCAATTCAAACAGTTGCACCGGTGCGAGAGATGGTAGTTCTTGATTGGCGCTACTACGTAACTTCCGTCAGTCTCGCTTTCTTACATGCGGAGTTTTATTCGATGAACAAAATACTAATACTATAACAATAGGTTTACGATTTAGATACTAATACTGTATGGTATACAAGGCCGAAGCCATCAAGTCGTTTACCGAAACTCTGTGATGCGGTCGACCATGGGTATTACCACATCTTCCCGGCGTAGGCTGTCATTGCGCTGTACTTTGGGCATCAGAGGTACCCGCCGCGTTATTTGAACCTCCGGCCCCTTCGAACCGAAGTAGCGGCCACTCTCGAAACTCCAGCAGTCGTTAGCCCGTAGCCAGTTGCCCAGCCCGTCGATATACTCGATGATTTGTCTATCAATCTCCGGTCCCCACGTCGGTATCTTCTTCAGGCCATCCATGAAGTTGCCCTCGATCTCTGTATGGTACTGTGCCACCCACTCCATCGCCTCGGTGACGTTGCAGCCAAAATGGTGCATAGCGAGAGTAACAATATTATGGCGGTCGTCTCCAGTTGCCTGTTCCTTGTTGTACGAAGCGATATCCTGTGGCGCGACACATCAGCAACAAGTTGTCTCGACCGACATGTGACCTCACATTGTCAAGAATGAGCAGATCAGTGATACATGTCGACAGTTCCACGATGGCAGGATCGTAGAACACGTTGTCTGGGAGGTTCATCGACAGCTCGAGTAGGACGAACGACGGACGCGAGCCGATGTTTTCGCGACGGGTCTCCATGTAGCTCTCGATGGTGCGAACGGTGTCGTTGTCACGGTCGACAGCCTGCGCTACAACAGATTCGAGATAGGCCGTGAAGCTCTCGAGAAAATGTCGCTGCGAGCTCGGGCTGGCAGTCTTGATGGCCAACGCCCAAAACCTTAAATTGGCCGCATCAAGTCAGTCCTCCAGGCTATTGTCGGGAAAGCAAACAACGATACTCACTGTCGCGCAACTTCGCCGAGCAAGACTTCTCCCTGTGGCCGAGGCTTGTGGGGGTCGTGCAGCGCGTCGATCACGATGTCGACCATTTCGCGGCAAGTGGTCGCGTCTTCGACATCGGTGTATTCATCAATCACGAAGAACAAGTTCATGAGGTCGCAGCCCGTGCGAAGATGCTCTGTCGATGCAAGGTTAGCTATCCCCTTCTCACTTGTCACTTGTAGACAATTGCTCACCCTTTGCCATCGTTGGGTATGCGAGTGCAGCTAGGCGGCCTGTCCATGCGGCGGATTGGGTCAGCGAATTCCTACTGTACGGCCAGCAATGATGCTCACAGAAATCGCACTTGTCGAATGCTCGCTGCGAGTCAGGGTTGAAGGCTTTAAAGGTTCTGAACCATGCGTTCGATGCCGCCTTAACTTCCTCGTAGTATGGGTTGATCGTCCTCGGCCATGGCCAGGCCGCCATGGTATCCGGAAGAGTGAGTATATCCAAAATCGCAGGCATTGAGATGAGGATGAGTGAGTAGATTGTCTGGTGGATGAGGTGGGTGAGATGGTTCTCTGGAAGAATGGTCTGGTTGCTCATCGCAACACTGGCTTTATATGGTGAATGACTCTAGATAATTGTCCACCGCTTACTCCACAGAGCGTTCCGGCGTGGCAGAGTTGCGGTATCAGGTTACGGTCGGATCTGGCGCGTGCGGGTACTGCTAAGTCTACCGGTGGGATTCATTGGCGTCCTCGTCGTGACCGGATATCCCCGTAAAATGTCAGGACCTCTCAGTGGACTGCCTGCTACCATCCTGTGCGAATGCGCCATTTCACCCCCTATGGGTCGCAAAGTTTGGGTTTGGGACACCAATGCCGGCACCAAAAAAGTGGCCTAGCCAAAAAAAAATTGAGTCGTTCATCTGGCGCATGCGCGGGTTGGCCTATCTGGGATATCCGCAAACACAGCAATCCTTGCGCCTCCCGCGCCGGTGGATATGCCATCCAGGCACTGCACTGTGAGTCACACTGACCATCAGCTCAAACACGCAGCAATTAGCTTACTCATGACTTGCTTGCAGCCACCGACCGCCGGCCACCAGTGCGCTAAACCACACATGGTAGAAGTCGGTGTGTGCATTACGATCGGGGTCTCGTCCAGTCATTCATTCATATGATGCATGATGACTAGAACTCAGCGACCTTTATTGATGACTTAACTCTTCCAAGCCTCAATAACGGGTGCAGTTAAGCGAGGTGGCAGCTAGTATACTGCCTTCCCGCGATATTCATAGTATTATCTGGGCGGTAGTGTCTTGGACGTCGTGCTAGGACATTTAGTGTATCGGAAACTCAGACCGACCTCTACGGCAATGGTGTTCGTGACGTAACGGGGAAGATTATTGCTCGGGGATTGGGCAAGACGCTCAGGTACCGGTGCCGTCCTCTTTAGCGGGATAAGGAATGGATTCGATCGGACTGAGCACAGCTCGCGCTCAGTGTAAAATTCATTCCGCATTAGCAGCGCCAGCGGGAAGCGTTGCGAATACCCGGTGGCTGTGATTGCTGGGCGTTGTATGTCGGTTACAGAAAAGAGCTCCAAGTGTCTAACCAAGTGCGAGGAACTCGGTTATTGGGCATCTGCCTGCGTCGACACCACGACGGGCTCATTTCTTGCCGTGCGATCTAAATGAGCTACTGTAGTGTCCTAGGATAATTGTGATCCGACTGCTTCGCTATTGTGTCTTCTGGTGTACGATACCGGGCATATGCCCACAATATGTATAGCATATCGCTATTCCCTTCGGTGCAAATGTCGTACTCATTCGATCCGTGTATCTTCGGCCGATAAGACGACAAGTGTGTGACGTGACCACAGCTCGTTGTACAGTGTGGCTTGTATTCTGTCCACCGTATTTGATAACCGGACTCAGGTATGGTTCAGAGACCACTGCTCATTTTTTCCAGCGGTTGACGCACAGAACACCAGCTATTGTGAGCTGATGCACACAGCACATCCGCGTGGGCCAGTGCGGCGTCCAACGTAAAGTGACCAATCATCTGAGATATAAGACACAATCAGTACCTTGAAGGAGAGTCTGTGAACTGTGCAATCATGGCGCCACCGTCGCAGAAGCTGGGTGTGGCGTTGAGCTGAGATCCGGAGTGCTGCGAAGCGAGTGGGTGATAACTCCGGACATATTCTATCCAGCCCCATCAGACAGGAAATGCGCCCCCTCCCCGCCGCTCAATTAAAGCTGCTATTTTCCTTACAAAGCCAATACCTCTGGAACTGTGTGCGTCTACTGAGCCGGCGCTCCTAGTAGTAACCGCCGGCGGTGGCCACGGATCTCTACATTGGACCTTCGTGTTCAATGCCCGCTGAATCTGACCAGCATTGTCGCCGACGGAAGTCGGAGGCAAGAATTTCTCATGCATGTCCAAGGAGTTTCTGTTCGTCGTCTGTTTATCGGTGGTTTTCTCTGTGGATAATGTCAGATCGTGTACTAGTAGACACCGCATGGTGACACACTGTAATGATAGACGGTCCGACACATCCAGTCCAAACAGCTGCCTTTGAGGCATGATTGATTTGAACACTGCATTCACGAATGGCGAATAAGGGCGAGCAACAAACCAAAAAGCAATACGCGTTGATGAACCGCTTTTAGTGGCTTGTTGGCTCGTAATCATTACAACGGAGTATAAATACGCTTCGGATCACAAATACAAGAGCTTAAGTATGGCATCACTACACTTGATCCGTTCAAGGATAACCCGAGACTACGTCACTCGCTTCGAGAAGCCTGCTCCCACTTGAGAATTGCCTCCACCTCATGAAAACGCGGTGTGATTCGACATTTGAAAGGAGCCGGTGAACTGCGCGAAACAAGCAGCCTCAGCTCAGCCCAGAGGTATCATAGAAACCAGAATGGTGACTCACACTGCAGCACCGGCATCGATGCACTCCGTGCTAGACGGGACGATGACATGACCGAACTCGTCGACGGCCTTTTCAATATCAAATGCCCACAATAAAGTAGCGATATCTATGAACATAGCCTGGTTGGCGAAGTTGTATCCGGCGCAGATGCTGTCAATGAATATGTATCAGACAAGAGCACTGAGTAAGTAGATCCGAGAGCGCGTACCGCCTGCCAAAGCCATATGTGACGTGGCCCATCGAGTGAGTTAGAGGTGCGAGCGTCTTTTCTACAGCATCATCCAAGAACCGTTCCGGATGGAATACGTCAAAATCTGGGTATACATTGGAATCTCTGTGCCGGGGTCAACGACAGATCCGAGCGCCACAAAACAACGGAACTACCTGTTAATAGCCCTGTTGTGATCATAGATATGTCATCACGCCGAGACACGAGCGCTGCACAAAATACTCACCAAACGTTTGGGATTACAATGGTGCCTTTCGGAATCAGGTAACCTTCGTACCAGTCATCCTTTGAGTCATAACAAATGGGTTTCAGACAGATGTGCAAGAATAGCCTTGGTAACTTGACTCACTTTGATAGTGCGCCTGGGAACAGCTGAGGTGACACCAGCTCAGCGTATTTCATGATGCATACTACTGCTGCCACTAACCTAGGGGACCTACTGGTCTCCACCGCAGAACTTCCTTGCATAGGGCATTGATATAAGGAAGTTGTGCTTGGTCTGCAAACGTCGGCAGTCGCTCACGACCAACGACAGCATCAAGCTCTGCTTGAGCTTTTCGCATGACATCTGGGTACAGAGTCATTGCGAGGACGAAGTAAGACATAGCGGAAGCAGTCTGCAATACGTTGTCAGCATCGTAAGTGGCCCTATCGTCGTCATGCGTACAGTTTCTGCACCGGCAGTGCTGCAGCGTAGATATGATCAGCAATAAGAATCTGATTTATAACACATGAGCAACTCACAATAGAATTCCCGCAAGCCACGCATTCTCCTTTTGCGTGAACCCATTGCGCTCTTCATTCTCAATAAGAGTAGACACAAAGCAGTCCGATTGCTGGTCGTTCATCTGATCGGAAGCAATCTCACCGATCAATTCTGAGCGCAAACAAAACCAGCATACCTTTTTCCTGCGTACACCGTCATAGAACCCTTCAAACATACGCGTGTCCCGTTTATGCCATTCAAGCGCATCACGCTTCCATTTTGCCATCCATGTCGGGACGTATTTGATGATTGGAAAGAAGTCAATGAGAAGTGCGGCTGAAATGAGCGCGTTGGTCAGGCGCGCAATGTGCGCCTCCATACGAGTAATGAGCTCCGATTCTTCTTCTTTAATTTGCGGCCAGCCATATGTAGCCCGCAAAATACTTGATGCAATTGCTCTAGGAAACGGTACAGTATGAGTGCCGGAATGCACTGTGGGGAATACATATTCATACCGTTTGAGGCGTTTTTCCCAATCAGCTGGCGTTTGAACAATATCAAAAGCAGCTTGCGCAGCTTCCGAAGCAAGCGTTGCCTGATATTTCTCCACAGCTTTCGTGCTGAATCCATGGCGGGCTGCTCCACGGAGTCTACGCCAACTGACGCCAGGGAATCAGAATCATCGGCGGCACCCAGAACCGCAGAAACCACTTACAAACTACCGTACCGCGCAAACACCATGGCCATCCCACCTGTTAGCATTTCGCCGGCCATGATCAACCTAGGTCGATCGGAGTATATACTGGAGCGTCGATCTTGGCAAACTCTAATGAGCAACATGTTTCATGATGAGATCATAAATCGTACCTAGGAGATCGAAGGCTACTGTGTGACTACTTAAAACAACTACGTCTTGACCAGCCAAATTCAACGAGTAAATGGGACCTAGGATAGTTTGCCCCGTCAATTAATGGTTCTTCGCACACATCCATTCCATAAGCCGTACCGTATACTTCTTTCCATTCCGTGAAACGCAACCAAGGCATCCGGATGGGAATTTGGAGTGCATTCCCAAGAAGAGGAAGGCCACGTGGTCCTGGGGGCATCCTCTTTCGCCGCATGTGCGCGGAGATACATCCGCGCAGGAGCCATATTCCTGCGAGTAATCCGAGCAAGCAGGCTGAGGAGCTGTAGTCTAGGTACGACATTGTCGACAAAGTTGATGTGTGTTGACGGAGAAGGTGCAGCGAAGTCGAGATGGATAAGGCGGATCTTGTATGTGGGCGAACGATTTCGACACGCTGATACATCGGGCTACCCTTTATACGGCCTGTCAGATACCTGTGAACTTACCTGAAGAAGACGTCGTGCTACTTCGGTGGAGTCAAGCCGCTCGGGCGGGTGCATTGCCACAGAACCAGCGGTAGGTGATCCGCAATCCATACATCGCCGGGACTAATCTCATCGCAGCCACTGACGTCCACGGCGGGACCAGAGGAGACGGCGATAGTCCCACATCAAGTCATGGATATTACTCAGTTGCTCGCACATCGATACAACCGTCCGATTACTAAAATCACCGCCGCTTCTGACGCTGTGTCAAATTGCATTTAACACTACATATGTTCGTCAACTTCCAACCCTGCGGGGGCTCAGAATCAAGGTGACTCGGATCACTGGACTGACACTGACATAGATTGAATGGAAACCACAGCATAGTGGTAACAGCTCCAGACTGTCAAACATGGACCGCATTTGGATTAGGTGCCCACGCTGTTTACGGGACCGATTTTCAGATCATGCAGTGTAGCATCAGACCCGCCGCCGGCAGCGCATTATTCCTGCATGTGGCTCGCCTACACACCACCGGCATCAGCATGGGGGAAATATGCTATGCAATACGCGGATAAAGACAACACGCACCATGAATGTTTGTGCGCCCTAGACCAAATCATTCAGTCAGAACCCGCAACCTCCGACTCCGAAGCGCCTAATTCTTATCATCGCCACTGCCCAGGATCGGAACCGCCATACTGTGCGCTTGCGCCGAGCAGAGGCGCGCTGGGGAAGCCTCGAGCTGCGCTGCTGGGAAGATTCTCTCGGTTCCAAGACTTCCTGAAGCCAACGCTTGGTCCAACTTGGTCTCATTGCGACGTTATCTACTCTGAGACTCGATTCGCAGCCGCCAGTTGAAGAACATTCAGATAGTCTGGAATGGAGTACGCAGTTAACATTGGTCAAGGTTGCGACATAGGCAGGAGGTAGGCACTTCACCGAACGGATCGCGATAAATTGTTGGATGTCCACCATTCGCCTGACAGATGTTCCAGTCCTCATCATGCACAAGAGTACACCGACGGCGACTAGGCTAATAGACACAGGACTCGTCTCAATGTCATATTAGTCACCGCTTCTCTTCATTGGACCGCAATCTTAACAGCTGCGGATCCAAGCATTACAGTCTGCCAGACAGAATACTTGAAGTCAAATCAAGAATTGGAATAGATATGAGAAGTGATATTGGGAAGCAATTATAATGACTTTTTTTGGTTGCCAAGCCACACCAACGTAACATGGGCAAACGCTAGCAACCAGAGTAGTAGTATTGGAGCACAGCTGGTCGAGTAGCAGGTTTGAACCAAGCTTGAGCACAAAACCAGAACTCGACCAGAACAGCAATTGTGGCCTACACGTGACGTTTGATTGCGTCGCACTTGCCATCGAGGTCTGAGCCTATGTCGCCGTATTACCGCAGCACTACTAACTGTTTTGTCGATTTTGAGCTGCGATGTACTGGTAAAACAACCAGTGAAGGCTCCCTGTGCTGCCCCACTAGATCTTAACTCTTCGAATGTCTACAGCTTTTCTGTATCTGTTCTTGTCTACTAGTGGGTTAGCTCGGTTGGCACGAGCGACGAAAAAGCAACTGATATGAACAGAAGAATACGAGCAGACTTTCTTGAGCCTATTCTCGATGTCCCGGGAATTACGGGGCGTCTTCTAACGCGACGCTGTGGAAGCGCGATGTGAGTGTCGAAGTACTAGACGAACCGCTCTGTAACCTTGGAATTTGACTTTCAGCGTCTCAGTACTATTTCCGAGAACTCAATCTGCGAGGGCCGAGCTCAACAATTGTTAGTTTGCAGCCATAGCCCGTGTTCATTTCGACACGGGCTTTGTACGATTTGCCTATGCGATCGTGATGTCACATTGCTTATCTCGTGGAACATCAATTCATAGAAGGCAACGGAGTCCTACGTACGGCTATGATTTTCGTAGTGGGATCGTATTCTGATCCAGTCACATTTGATGGTTGCTCTGATTCAAGTGAGTACAGTCAAAGAATATAAAGCGCAGTAAATATGTGGTGTATTCTAACGCGGGATAGATGTTTCCAGAGACAATGCTTCAAAACAAACGATGGGAGGCTGGTATGCATGTAGACTCGCAGGGTCGTGCGAACTTTTGCCTGGGAGACAAAGTGCGCGCACCTCGCGTAGTAACTGAGGGCGCAATCACAGTCCTGTTATCACCGGCCCGTCTCAATTTCATGATCATCTATCGAGACTGGGGCAGTCTGACGAGGTGGAATGCCAGCGTTCTCATGAGCAGTCTAACTTGTGTCTTTGATCAGGACAGCGGTGATGATAATTAGATGGTTTCTCTCTTTTTCTCTGGATAGACGAACTAGATTGGTTCACTGCTTGGCTACACGGTGAGCGCGGATCACCCGTTCTCAAGCCTACGAGCGACGATTGGAAAACTTCGTCGCGATATGCAACGAGAGATACTTATTGATCCGTTAATCATGGATGGCTACGAGTAACTATTCAGACGTGAATTCATGCCTCGCTGGCCACTCCCGAACGGCACAGGCATGGTCCATTTTACCCCTTTCCTACCCGATCATAGATGAATATTTTGATTGTTCATTTTGTCTCTTGGTTCCCTAACGCAGCGGATCTATCCGCTTTTCCTTCGCCGGATGTAGAAGGTGTCTGCTCCTCGGCATACCGCCCAGGTCTTCTATCGTATTTTCGTGTGAATGCCATAACGGTGCGTGTCTTATTTGGACTATCTCTTCGTCTCTAAGTTCTATTGGATCCATTGATGTAGCGCGAGGCCACAGCATCGGCATGCAGCTCAATCCGCGCACGGATCCAGGTACACTTGGCTCCTTTTCATATCTGAATGTGTCGATTATGCCTAAAAGCTAAGGGCTGTCAACGTCGCAGTCGAATTCGACCCTCGATGCCTTTCATTTTTGGTTTAAGTTTCTTCACTTGTGCGAATGCCGAGCTTTCCACTAATAGCTCGGGCGCAGGTCAGCAGGTATAAGATCCATGCAAGTGAGCAGCATTCTAAATTGTACTTTCTACGTCCGTGTTCTCATTACACGCTTGTACCTGTTGTGATAACGGGATCTAGAACGCTCTAGACGGGATATAGCGTGATACAGCGCAGCTGATCCTTTTCCGCGAAGTTCTATCTCATGCTAATGTCAGTACGAGATATGGATTCTTGCATTCACTTGGGGCCCCGAGTAAACGAAACAAGAAGCTCTCATAACGGACCAGTGGAGAAGAAGGTTTGGGATTTGGATAGATGTGTGCCGTAAGAATCGCGCACTGTCAATGGATCACAAATTCGACGCAACATGGCCTGTCATTTGGAAGCCTAGAGGTGCGCATGCTGATATACAGATAGATACAACGCACAAGCTGAGTAGAGTCCACGATACGATCACTCATAAATTTGGTTTTGTACGTAATTGCTGCAGCTTCAGCACGACCGAACGTTAATTTACCAATTTCCCAGCGAGTTCTGCGGTGGAACTCGACGGTAGATGGCTGTCGTCTATTATAATAGATCGCACCCTTTGCTTCCCAGCCGTAAGTCATCACCATGAACTGAGCGTGATTCACATTAATCACGCCTACACGGGAGCCCCTATCGTGCTGGCACCGGCGCACGTTTGCACAGTTAGCGAGCATCTCTTGGGCTCGACGTCTTCTGGAATGAATGTAGAAGTTCAATTAGCCGGGCCCCCATTCCGCACTTCGGGTGCCGAATCCCGTCAACTCGGACCGATACGTCTCGAGACTCGGATGCACGGGAAAGTGAGCGTTATCTCCACCGGATTCGTACGAGACTTCCCACAAGGAATGTAGCGTCCCTTCATATTCTGTGCAAATACGGGATCCAAGTCTGTCCTGAAGCCCAATCTCAGTTACAATGCGCCCGTCTACATGTTCGAGCAATGCGTGCCAAGAACGCATGAGATCCACTGACTGATTGTTTGCTCAAGCCCGATGACGGAACGCTGAAGATGCTTCTGAAGTCAGATAAGTTCTATCTAGGCGGGCTTTCGTGCTTACCGTGCTATCGGTGAGCGTTTGCTTTGCATCGCTCGCTTGCGGCTTAATGAGTCAGGACTCATCGGTCCTTCCAAAATCGAATCTTGATGTAATGTCATCACAAAATCATCGGGCGTGCAGCCTCAAGCGTCCGGGTGTGCGCTCCAGAGCTATGCATGCAAGCCTGGAGCCCTCAAGTCCACGTCGCGGCTCGCCTTCGCGGTGATCAGTAAAACAAATTGATGCATTCTGCGTCCATGCCAGTGGACGTTGCCGTGAGGAGGGAGCTTTCCGTACGTGTTCGTATCAATGCTGACTGTGATTTGGAAAGATAATTCTGGTTTTCGGGGCTCCATGCTGGGTCTGCAGACGCTCAAAGCACCCTTCGGATGTATCCCGCAACCCAGGATTGAATCGATGATTAGTTCAATCGTACCGTAGAATATCATAGCTGATCTTTTTAGTCCTCAAGTGGGCTATGATGTGGACCATGTCTTCAAGTTCGTCTTGCAGTGTAAATTTCCTCTTTCCAGTCGCTCACGCAGGCATAGATCATGTCATGTCATTAACCTGCAATCGGCCTGTATGCTTTGATCCCGACTTTGAAAACGCGATACTAGTCGTGCTCGCCAGTCAGCAACATCCATATAGTTCGTTTTCATCTACGAGAAGCTGTTTTGGGATATGCGCAGAGAATATACTTCTTCATGAGTGAATCCATCGAGCTCCCGTAGTTCAACGTTCAAGGTCCACGCATTGTGCATACCTTGCCCTCACTTCTCTTCATAATCGTATACTCCGAAGGTCAACCTAAGACGCAGTTGAATCTTAGATTGCCTCGCCGCAATGAATAACTAGCCAACTCGCGCCAGCCGTACCACATTGGCACGTCCTTCGAGCCGCTGAATCCCGTCAACTTTCCTTCCTCTTCCCATTTTTCATAAAATTTACCGGAATAGCCAGAGGGTAGTTGTAGTGGAAGGATACTTGCAGTGCCAGTCAAACGGGCGAGGTTCACTGCGACCATATCGTCCTCAGGACCTACTGGAAATCCACTGTGCTGCTCCCTGACTCCGCAGATAGAGTCCCACTTTTTAAGACCATTCAGTTATACCTCAAGAAAATGATTGTAAGACGGAACCAGGCTGTTGGGGTGCACATGCACTATGCCTCACGGCGAACTTTGGAGGGTGCAGGTTCAAGCGCGCATAGGGCGCTTGTTTATATGCGCATTGCGCATTCGATCGGAAGGCTCTTATGTACTCAAATGATTGTTCCAGTCGCTAGTGCACGGACTTGAACATCTATTACTACTAAGAACACTTACTATCTTGAATACTTGCTTAGCTGTCCGGCAACGTTCTCCCTTCGTCCACTTGGCTCCTCTCCGTCTTGCTTTCGTTTCGCAGTTTGACTCCACGAACTAGCAGCTACTTGGCGACACTCGTACTAATCCATGATTCAGACAAGCGTCGATGGCGGAACTGTCAATATCGACCGTCACGATAAACAAGACTGATTCTATGAACAGCTCGCTACCCTATTTCGAGGAAGTCGATGAAGGAGACATAGAAAAATATCTCTGGTCTCTATTGGTTTGGTTTGTGAAGAAGTCGATTTCAAGAGGCAGATGGAGTATGGAGGACGATTGACCAACATCTGGTGCTCTTGATGTGCAGTACGTCGATTTCAAGAGGCATATGGAGTACGGAGGACGATCGACCAATATCTGGTGCTCTTGATGTGCAGTACGCCGCTGGCACTATTTTCTGCTGTGGTTTTTTTTTATTGACCTGCGAACTTTAGTTTTGTGCTTGCATACACTTCATGGACAGGACGATGCATAGCCGCTGGATTTACTGTTGTTGATTCAATACTTGATGCGTGAAACAAGCAAATTTTATGAGTCGAATATTGTCATCCAGTCCTGACATAGGTACGCGAAACTTTGAGCACTGGATTGTATCTATACATGTAAGCTACAGCCCATCTCGTATCCAACTTCATTTGCTTCAGCGCTCTACATATCATGACAGAAGAATTCGACCCATGGCAACGGTCAGTAGCATAGCCACTGTCTTCGCCGAGGCTGCTGATTTCTCCTCAACTTTATGACCAGCATATGTGTTGTTGCACTGATGACAACTGCCACTTTCTGGTATGGATCATTTAGGATTAGTATTACTGAGATACAAATACTCTATAGATATGGCTATACGTTCCTGATCCACTAATGTATGCATGGTTTTCGACGAGGCATGAAGAAAGCTTTGAGGTGCTCACCTTATATGCTTCACACGTCCTACTAAATATTAATATCCAGGAGAATCAGCCCAGAGCTGAGAGTAAGCGTTGCGAGGTTGAACAACGCACAACTACACATCTGGTTCGAAATTCGCTCGAGAACTTTGGTCCATGAAGCATCGCGGTCCGCAGAGCTCGCATGGCTCCTCGCCCTATTCTCCGTGCTGAACAGCGTGCCAGATAAAGTACCGAATTAGGCGTACCAGACTAGGAGCGAATGATCGTGGGCTCGTTCGGCTATAGGCGATTTTGCTCAGATATTGAGTCGGTAGCGGTGTACTACCAGGACGTGCGGGCATATGTTAGAGCGGTGTGCTTCATCTCTAAATTCGTCAGCGCGTTACTTCTCAGCGTGTTGCTATGGAACAAGCGTCTTGTCTCTTGTGTGCGCAGTGTCTTTCACGGTGTGTTGTGTGTCGCCTATTCATTTGGCAGCCCACTCATTATCCTGACTCGATGTGGGCACGAATACGACGGGTTCTTGTAGTGGCGCTCTCATATCTTTCAGGCACACAAAGCGGGTGGCAGTCAATACAATCATGACTATCGCATATTGCGTCGGTAGCGCGATCGAATTTTCATGTGGTGAGATATTCAGATTAAGGTGCGCTATTTTAACAGTGAATTGTGTTGTCGCTTGAACTCGCTTTTAAAAAATATCGACTAGCCTTGTCTCCTTAATTGTGAATCCATAGCCCCCGCCTCCAGGACCAGGACCTAATTGTCGACCTGCGATTAGATACGCAAGCTGTGCGCGTCAACCCCTGTTTATGACTATTTAATGTTCCAATACATTCATCCCAGTTCCGACTCCACTCTCGTGCGCCAGGATTCTCGCTACCCAGCAAAATCTAGATTAAATCATCGCCCTGCAGAATATTAGCGGCCCTTGGCGGCACCAGAACTGCCCCATGGTGGTCATATTATCCTACCATCTTCGCCACTCCAAGATTTGCGCAGAGGCACTAGTTTATGCTGTCTCCAAGGGGCTACACATCCAGAATGATCGCCGTCCGATATGTAGCCAATTTCATGACAGTTGCTTGAACCATGGTGGACCTTTCTGCTCATTGGTGCCATCGATTTCTTCTAAGGATGCTGCATCTGTAAGTCGCTTGGTTTCCCGGGAAAATAATCGCTTATTGCTCCTCTCAGAGGTCCTCGCCGGGCCAATGAGTAACCGTACGCCCAAGACATCCGAGGCTCATCAACGGTGCACTTGTAGATGGCCCGTATTTGTGACCCCCACATTTTTCTTATTCCTTTTAACCATTCATCGGCGTATGTCTGGCCGAGTCTCGGCCACGAGTATCGATGATTTAATTATGGTCGACATCTGCAATTCGCTAGAGTGCACGCGCACGGCCTCAGACAAATTCTCGCTTACATCCTATTTAAAAAGGCGTGCCGAGCCAATCAACTTGCATGCCGCAGCTATGAGTCGCGGTCACTTAGCATTCACCTGGCAGATGCATATGCTCTCATCGTAGCCACAGGAATCTGACACTTGCAGTTTGGAAAAGTAGAAGCGTATTCGGCGTCATTCAGTGCACCTGAGGTGGACGTACGTAGTACATATAATGCAGCTCTTTACTAAGTTCTCTCTTCTAGAACAGGACATTGGCCCTTCTTGGCTCCTACTGCAGTCTAATCTCATGTCGAACAGTGCTATATTTGCGGCTTCAAGGCGATTATTGTATGTAATTCTATCTTCACGAAGATGCACAGAAGATGGTTTTAAGTATCTTGAAACAGTGTCCTCCAGTCCCAATCATCGATAGCTGGTTCAGGTGAGTTGTGCCTTGGTTGTGTTTACTCAAAAGTCTGACCCTTCATAGTCATACTCCTCTATGAAGTAGTATTCACGTTCAGCGAAGTGGTCACGCTTTTCCAGGCGGGGAGGCGACCACAGATCATTATATTCTCCCTCAACTATTTAAACCTACTTGCAGCGACATGCGTAGGTGTGTTTGATGCACTACCTTGGAAGACAATACCTGTGAGTGCAAGCTACGTCTTAGCAGGAAACGTCTTATTGACGTTTGTACTATGATCCAGAGGTTTGAGCTCCATGTAATATTTTGTGTTGTGCGCAGCTAACATTGATTCAGCTGTGACGCAGTGGTTGTCTTTTCTTTGATTAGTGGCTTTATTAACATAGTTGTCAATGCAGGTCAGTAACTATGTTCCAACCATAGGTATCAGCCCTCATATCATATCTTGCAGCTATTTCATATATATTGATACTAGCTATAAGTCATAGAAATCGGATTCTCTCCGTTACTACACTTTTGGTCGGTTTAGCTTCTATTGGGTTAAGTCTGGTGTGTCACGTCAAGTATATATTACAATGCTCTGACTACGCCTGACCGTGAGTGCCTAGTATGCAGCTATTTCGATACGGGATATATTACCCATTTATGGCATATGTTTATTCTCTTATACTTCGTATGTCCCTAAAGTTTTTTGGATACTGAGAACATTTTGTGCTCACTCAGAATTCCATAGATGGGAGTCCATGACAATACAGTTCGCAAATTCTGTGTGCACTTTGCTCTGCAATGTGATCGTCATCATTGCAGCCTGGTACTACCTCCACAGATCTTTATTATCAGAGAGATTCCTGAGGAGGGCCAATACAATTGCAAGCACTTTATTGAGAGATGGTATGTGCAATAGATTCCTATGATGACAAGGTGGATAGCTGAAATCGCTATCTTGATCCAAAGGGACAATGTATTTTGTGTGCGTATCAATATCTCGCAGTTCTTCCAGCTCTCTTGATGGACTCGGACCCTGTTCTACAGGGTTCTCTCAGCCCTCAGCCTCGAACATATTATTTTATACACATGCAACCCTAATACTGATGTACGATAACCACATCTGATTTGGTTCGTTTGCTCACACATACTTGCAGTATCTAGATGACATTTTGATTGTCGTAGTCAGACTGGTGCGACCGTCAGTGCATGCCTCTATTATCATATGCAGAACCACCAACAATTGTCTATATTGCAGATTGTCCTCTGTCGTCCTATCTCGTTTGCTGCTACATCTTCAGGAAGTCTCATCTGCACAAGCGTTCTACTTCGGTGGTGATTCTGGGATGTACGCTAGGACTTGGGTCCAGGATATTGAATCTGCTCGGTCGCAGATGCTGAGCTCCAAGTTCGTGTCGAGGTTATCAATTGATGAAGCAGAAGTGGTAGACGCAGATAGAGTGGGCTACAGCGATCCAGAGAATGGAATGAATCAGGAGGAATAGGCTGTGAAAGCGCGATAATATAATTTATTCATTTTCAGAGTGCTCGCTCCGATCACCATCTGTATTCACTACTATAAGATGAATGAATCAGCTCCGTCGCGGGTCGGAAGACTGGTCAATCTTCAATGGGTCAATCATTATGATATCCTAGTTAGTTGACACTTATTCATTGTCGATACTACCATCGCCATACAAAGACGTGAGCACAACCTACGGTATCGAATAGTAGGGTAGCTGTAAACAATGCAGCGTACATGAATTCGAAACAGAAATGGCCGTCAAGACGAATACAGTACACGACTGAGGCAGTCATCAGCCGCACTTGGCCTTGGGCTTCTCGGTAAGGACATGCCATAACAATCACACCCTTGAGGAGCCATGAGAACAGCTACCACAAGCCAGATGGATATCCAAGCGTCATGTACCGTGGCGGGTGCTTTCCAACTGCAGCATCGACGACCCTCCTCGCAAAGACGTCCGTGAGGAGCGATTCTGAACTCTAGTTCCTGTTGATCCGCTCCACAGTGATGTTCAGACAGGGTATATACAAGCTATCCGACAGAAGGCTGAACCGCGAGATCATGTTCTGTGCGATGTTCGATATGACGCCTCCAGATGAGACGTGCATGATTGAGACGTTGAATGGACGGCACTCCATCCAGAGCGTATCGAAAATCGCTTGCTCGGCTGCCTTGGTTGCCGCGTAGACCCCACCCCAAGGCGTGGTGCTGTAGCAGGTCTCAGAATCTGCATGTCAAGCAGTCGCGAGCAACAAAGGTCAGACGACGAGTAGACGTACATCTCGCCGACGACAGAGCCGATGTTGACAATCGTACCGCTCCTCCGTGCTGCCATGTGAAGGACAACGACCATTTGAGATACGCAAGACGGAGTAGGTGTTGGTGTCAAATGTGCTCTTTACGTCTGCCATTGGTGCGTCAAGCAGCGGGTCTGGGGGGCCAGTCATGAGGAGACTCCGCGTATGGACGTATCACTCAACTCAGTGACACATGATTCCAGCATTGTTCACGGCGATGTCTATTTTGCCCTCTCACTCAATGATTTGTTGGACCGCATCCTCCACACTCGCATCATCCGTAACATCCAGGCGCAACTGTCCAATTCCTGCAGTGAAACTTTCCATAGCATCCGGCCGACGGGCAGTAGCATAAACCTCGCATCCCCTAGATGCGAATTCCTCGTACCTGGAATGCTACGTCAATGGTCACGTCAGACTATTGGATCACTGGTAGAATCCTACAGTTGGAACCCAATCTCGCCCTTCGAACAGCCTGTGACCAGAACCACTTTGGAGGAGATTAACATACCGAGAATCGGGTTTCAGGTGTCAAGGACGTTGGATTCCGGTGGAGAAAGCAGAGACACCGGTTTGGAGGACACTTGGCCTGAAGCGACAGAGCGACATTTGCAGCGAGGATTGAAGTCACGGAGGAGCTGTGCGAGGATGCTACGCATATTCATGTTTTGAGCCGAGTAACAGCTTGATCGTCAAGGGTTGATTAACCGCTAACCCGAATCGCTTCGGCATCTTGCGCTCAGAAAGCTGGGTGCTTAGGAGTCGATACATGCTATATACTCACTAATTCCTACAGGTTTGGGCATGATAAGTATGCCATTTGCAGCAAATCCATGATATAACGTGTAACGCCTGTCACTGGCAGGAACAGCTCGTCGATTGCTCTGACAAGGTGACCTATCATTGGCCATGATGCCAGTAAGTAAGCAGACTCCGAATCCGTTGCGGAATATTCAACACCCGGTGTTGCAATTGCGATACTTACGGGAATCACACTGATGGCAAGAGGACGAAACCACTGTCAGAGCCTTGTTCTTTACATATTCGCTCGCGATGAGTCGGTGCGTGTCCTGAATTCGAGCAAGTATCTTACCAGCAGCTGAATTTAGGTCATTCGAATTTATCGTTCAAGACAAATCATGACAACGTCAGTTCGACGCCGAAGCTTTCGCTCTCTAAATTACAAACTGACATGCATTTTATGATTTCAGCTGCGGAGCAATTGCACATCGAACTCTGTGACTGTTGCTAGCAGATAGAGGTGAGATGTGTCGCTCTGGCTCCTCTTGTCTTGTGAAGGGTTATCCATCGTACCACTCAAAAACAGTGGCACCACTCGCGGGCTGATCTCCGATATCATTGAAAGGGAACTACACACTTTATTCAAGACCCTGCTATGACTTGGGCGACCCTGTTAGTCGAGAATACTTACTAATAATCCGATTTGGTGCGAATTCCGAGTCATACTTCGATCAAGAAAGACCCAGGTACTGCAGGCAATATCTAAAGTTTTTGAATAGCGGACATGCGGTCGAACACAGCTCGCAGGAGACAGCAAGTTCTCATTGTGTTCGGAGCTAAAACATTAAGAGTGCATGGGTGATCGGTAGCTGCTGGTTGGCTAAACACCCATGTTCGACGAATGTTGCCACAGTGTCCGATTAACATATTCGAGCTCCGAACATGATCAGGAAATGCTGTCTCCAGTGACTGACGTTTTCCCCATGTTTGGTGCTCGACCTTTGGGCATTTCCCGCAGTGAGGCAAAACTCGTACCATCTATGTACCATTCTGCTGAAGTTTTGCTGTCCTCATCTGTTGCATACTGGCAGCCGTTATGGCCGGGTCACTAGAAGATAGGATTGCATGCCCGTCGAGAGGTGTTTGTTGCAAAATTAATATGATGCACCAGTTGTTGTTTGTATTATCATGGGCAGTCTGCCGCATTCTGGTGATTGTTGTTGCCTTGCATATCGTATTCCAAGTCATCCGTGAGTTCTTTCAGCTCCAGATCGCTCATTTCGCGTCCACCTCCCCCAAAACTATAACACTCGACGAGGTCCCTACACTGATACTCTCAAGAAGATCACTTCTGCCTCTGTCCTCGACAAGAAATACATCGAGCCCACACAAGCCCCACTGGACGACGACAAGTTCCCGCATGACTTCGGATTCTCGCTCGTCTTCCTCGCCCATTGGTATCGCTATGCTCATTAATGCTATTGAACTTGTAAGCTTGATTGCAGCTTTACAAACATAATACAGTATTCCAGTATATGTGAGACTTTGTGCCCATCGTTGTACCTCTCATCCTCGGTATCAGTGACTACACGCAAGCGTTCATGGTGTCCATTCTCTACGTCAGGCTATCGTAAAACATCATACATTGGGTCCGGACGAGATCTTCGAAATAATCTTGTCGTTACACTGGATCCGGATGAGATCTTCGAAACGACATCAGCGCACTGGTATGGTCTATTCCTCCCGATTCGTTCCATCCTCTGGATCGCTGTAGCTTGTTCCATCTGCGTGCATCACTTCTGCCACATCCGCTGATGACCTCGATACGAGCTCGGAGCACAGGATCTGCGAGCGCGCAAATTCAAGGTCTTGGAGCCAGGTCTTGGTGTGTGCCCCATAGTAGCCACCAGTGTGCGATGCTTGTGCCTCGGATGAGGCTGCCTGAAGATGTAGCAGCAAACGAGACAGGACGATGGAGGACAGTCTGTAATGTAGGCAATGTAGGCAATTCTCAGTGGTTCAAGTTGTGCGTATGAGAGTAAATGATGCACTAACGGTCGCGCCAGTCCGACCAAGACAATCAAAATGTAATCTAGAACCTGCAGGTATGCATTAGTAAATGAACCAGTAGAATCGAATGTAGCCATCGTACAACACTAGAGTGGCATGTGTAAAAAATGACACGTTCGAGGTTGAGAGCCGAGAGAGCTCTGTAGAGCGGGGTCTGAGTCCATCAAGACAGTCAGTCGGACGGTATCGATACACACACAAGATACATCGTTCCTGTGGATCACGAAAGCGATCAAGTCAGTTATCTGACTTGCGTTTATAGCAATTTATTGCACGTACCATCTCTCAATAAAATGCGTGCGATTGTATTCATACCCCCAAGGGCTCCTTCTGATGATACAAATCTGTGGAGGTAGAACCACGCCGAAAAGATGACAATCAGATTGCAGAACAAAACGCAGATAGCATATGTGAACACGATTATTGCGGAGTCATTCCCGGTTCTATGGACAATTGAGTGAGCATAGGAAATGTTCTCAGTAGTCATCAGCACTCCAGAAACATACAAAGCAGAAGAGGATAGGCATATGCCATACATGGGGAACATCTTCTGTATCGAAGCATTTTGACACTGGGGGCTCACCATCAATTGCAGTCACAGCAGTGTCACATATATTCAACACGACGCACCAGACTCAGCCCAACGGAAGCCAAACCCATGAACAGTGTAATTGCAGAAAGAGTGTGATTTCTGTGACTTATAGCTAGTATCAACATATACGAAATGACTGCAAGGTGTGGTATGAGGACTGCTACACAGGCTTTCCAGTGGAGCATGGTTACTGACCTACATTGACGATCATGTATACAGAATTGCTGACCGCGGAGAAGATGACCACTCCGTCACAGCTGAACCAGTGTTAGCTGCGCACAACATAAACTAGTACACGAGGCTCCAACCTCAGGCTCTGGATGATCAGGGTATGAACGTCGATACGATGTTTCCCGCCGCAGAAGCGGCCTGCACTCACGAGTACTGTCTTCCAAGGTAGCGCATCAAACACACCCACACATGCCATTCCAAGTAGGTTCAGATAGTTGAGGGAGAATATGATTATCTGTGTTCGCCGGCCCGCCTGGAGAAGTGTGACAACCTCACTAAATGTGAATACCACTTCGTAGAGGAGTATGACTACGACGGGTCAGACGCTTGTGTAAGACAGTATAGACACGACTCGCCTAAACCGGCTATTGATGATTGGTACTCGAGCACCCTGTTTGGGCCACAACACCCTTAAGACCGTGTTCCGTTCACCCAGATGAAGGCAAAGCGACATACAATCCTCGCTCAACAGTCACATTTGCAGCGTTCACGGTGCTATTTGACATGGGGTTGAGACCGCGGGGGGATCCAGGAGGGGCTGCCGGCGACACCTCTATTAGAGGAGGGACCAAAGCCGAACTAGATTCTGTATTATATGAACTCGCATCGAACGCCGGCAGATGTGCCATAACCGATCTGTCTTTCCCATATTGCACGCACCAGTCATGTATGGGCGCCTCAGCTGGACACACGTCAATAATCTCGACGGTTTGAAGCGAACAATGAATGATCTAGTGAAGCAAAGAATACAGGGTGTCACTTTCGACACGTATCACCAAGTGGCTTCGAGGCAATACCGGATCTACTCACCCTGTCCTACGATACCGCTTTCCGGTGCGAACATCCTATGCGAGCAGGCTCACGCGCAACGCTCCCCACTCCGTCACCGGACACGTTATTCGACGACTGATACACAACGACCGTCATAGTAGTCCACTGTCTTGTAGCTGAGTGTGTGGCTGCGATGCCAAGTTCGAACTTGTATGTACATTTCCACGACACATGTACAACTTCTCGACTCCGCGCGAGGTCTAGCGCCAGCTCCTGGCGCAGTTCGAGTATTATCTTGTGCCCCCCTGTGTGAGCACAAAATGCCATTGACGAGATGAAGTCCCTCTACTTCCTGTAGATGGATGGGCAGGTGCCTGCAAATACAGACCAGCATTCCCTCAGAGACTCAGAGTACACGTCGCATCCGCACATAGACAGTAACAAAACCTACGAAGGGTCACAGCACCACGCACCGCGCCATCCTCACCGCGCCGCCGACACTGCGCGCATCCCGCTCCTCTCCACAGCTCTCGCCCACACTCTCCTCACCGCCGCCCAGTACCGCTCCGGGTCGTTGCGCATGTGCGCCACATGTGCGCTCGTCGCCAATCGCTCCACCGCGACGTCGAACCCCGCGTCCTCCGCCTCCCGCGCGTGCCGCGCCACGTCCGCGCCCCGCACGATCCGGTCCGCGTCCGAATACACGTACAACCTCGGCGCCGCCTGCCCGCCCGCCGCGGGCCCGGGCACGGCGGGAAGCAGCACCACGCCGCTGAGCGCTGCCCGTAGCTCCGCGAAGAGCGGCGCGTGCCCCAGGAGCGCGTTCGTGGCGGCCCACGCGCCGTAGATGAGCGCGATCACGGGCACGGCGAGTGCGCGCAGGACGGGGTGTGCGGGTGCCAGTGCGCGCAGCGCGGAGGCCAGGCCGTCGTCGCCCGGCACAGAGTCGAGGACGAGCGCCGCGGGGGCCGGCGGGGAGCTGCTGCACGCGTCGCCGGGAAGCGACAGCGGCGGGCGCATCTTCGCGAGCACCTTGCGCAGCGTCATGAACTCGAAGCCGCCCCCTGCGCCGGCGGTCACTGGTCAGCGATGGGTGCCGATCAGCGGGCAGAGCGGGGGGCGCACCGTTGGAGAGGACGTGGACGAGTACGCCCCTGAACTGAGCGCTGTCAGCGATCTCTTTCTGGATCGCCTCCGCGACGGGCACGAGCGCTGCTTCCTGCGTCGCGCAGGACGGCACACGTCAGGGCCCCTGCACGATGCACACGGAAAGGCAAGGACGGACCAGCTGGCTCTGCGGCGTGAAGTAGTAGCGCGAGGTGGACCTGACGACGACGAGCGTCGACGTCCCGAACGCCGCGCGCAGGTGCTCGGCGTACTTCATCAGGTGCGCGACGCGCGCGTCCACTGTATCGCAGGGGCTGCGGGTGAGGTATACGCTAGAACGCAGCCGAGCGGACACGCACTCCAGCCAAAGAGGATGATCACGCTACGGCACCGGGAATGAGGACGTCCACCAGAGTGAATGCGGGGGGCGGCTTACGAAGGGTGCCGCCAGTCGATGCTCTTGCCTTCGCGCGCGAAGAGCAGGACTTGAGGGCTGAGCTCGACGAAAGTCAGCTCCCGCTGGCTGCTTGAGGGCGCCGACATGGTGAGGTGGTCTGTGCGTAGTATGAGTAGTTAGTAGCGATGCGAGCTCGCTGACGACGGGAGCGAGCGACAGTTGCGTAAGCACGGTTCAGTTCTCCGCGGACCAGCAAGCTGTACGATTTGATTTCGCACGAATATCGTCCAAATCTGCTTGTCTGCGTCATAGGGCCATGGATTGGGAAGGCGCTACGGGTTATGCACAGTGTCCCGGATGCGGTCGACCTGAGCGTGCGGAGACAGATCGTATGTCCATAAGTATATACTATGCAGGGCCCATGGAGTCATGCAACTCTACCATCGTTCACAATGTCCACCTGTAGCACGGTGTTTTATGATATCGCGTCGTACGCGCAGAGGAAGAAGCATCCGGCCTAATAGTACCTATAGTCCACAGAAGGCCCTGCTCGACATAGTCAATTTTGCGGTGGAAGGCTTGCCACCAGTATGCGCCGTCAGATGTCAAATGGGGAATGAGACTAGTCTCCTGTAAGTAGAGTAACAACTAGCAACTAAAACACCGGAGACATGGATCTGGTTGCATTTCTCTCATATTTGAAGCAGATTGGGCTTTATATTGTTACCGACGGAACCAAACAAACCAGCCATAAATATGTAGAAGCATATTGTGAATTTGGATCAGTATTTCATCATCTAATATTTGCTTCGTTATTGAGAGTAAAGGTACGTTACATATTGTGATTGAACCATTCTCATTGGCTACTTTCAGATTGGTGAGGCTTGCATATTCTCAAGATAACTTACAAGCTTGTGACTAGTATGCAGTGTGACAACCGTCACTCTTGTTTAGAATTAATAACTTTTCAATCCAGCGCTTACGGCGAGTTCAACGCGACCATGTGACCGCAACATGACACCTGACGCGTCACATCATACAGATTTACTCCTTTGCTAAAATATCCTCCTCCTCTTCCTCCCTCGCGCCCGAACGTTACTCGAATAGAAGTAGAATATGTATAGTGCTAATAACATTAATATTCCTACCCGTCAATGCGTCCACGGCGATATTTGAACGCAGTATAGACCAAGGAGACCCCCACGGCTAGCATAGGCCAGCCAAAGGCAAACCATCGCTGCACGGATCCCGCGACGGAAGATACCCTGTCCGATATCGAACGTGGAGGTCTCAGCTCAGCCAGCTTCGGGCAGTCCGAGTCACAGGCCGAGTGGTCGCCGGTGCCATCTCCGTTGACCGGGTCCATCTCGGCGCCCGGGCCCCCGAACGCCGTCAGGCCGGCGACATATCGCCCCCACTTGTCGTCGGACACCATCGGCGCAGAGACGTACGGCTCGACGTCCATCCGCGCGAGGAGCTCCTCCAGGCGCGGGAAGACCGCATCGACCGCCGCGCTCTCCATCGCCTTCTGCTTGCGCCGCGCCACGCCCGCGTTCTCCACGTACCACGCCGGGTCGAGCTTCAGGCAGCTCGCGACGTACAGGTCGACCATGTCCGTCTCGACGCCCGCCGCGACCGCCGCGTCGTACGCCATGCGATGGCCAATGGCCTGGACGAGGTCCGCACACTCCGGGAGCACCGCGCGGTCGAACTCGCTGCTCCGGTGGTGCGGCATGCCGCTCATCATCTCGCGCAGCTCGGCGAACATCCCCGCTTCGTGACGCGCAAGAAGGCTCGCGGGGTCTGCGGCCGCAGGGACGCTGTACCGCTGGAGCAACAGCTCGGTGGCGAGGCCTGCACGTAGTTAGCGCGATTGGGCACACACGGTGGGCACAGAGTCTGACGTACGGATGGAGAGTGCTAAGAGATCGCCCTCGGCGATGGCAGTGCCGCGCATATCCGCCTGGCGATACGTGAGCGATCCTGCGCGGGCGACGCATTAATGGCAGATACGTACGTGCATGCCAGCCAGCTGGTTCACCTCGAAGAGCCCCTGCGCCCCGCACCGGTCTCCCAGAGTCAAATGCATCGCCTGTGCGTGTTGAATCATCACGACCTTCAAGATCGCGGCGATCGCATAGCGCACGCGGACCTCGACGCGCTGGTCGACGAACAGCCCCACCGCCCACGCCTGGAACGCGTCCATCACTGCTGCCTGCGCGACGGCGGTCAGGATCGGGATCTTCTGCGTGCGGAACGCCATGACGGGCCTGCGCCGGTTCTCGGCGTCGACGACTGTCCGCCGCAAGCTGTATCGAGCCGCGATGAACGATGAGACCTGCAGCGCGGGCACGCCCAGCGAGCCGATGGCGATGGTGCCCACCGCGACGCGCGAGATACTGTGGAAGAACGCAGCCCGCGCGTCTGCGGGCATGTCGGGGCTCCCGAGCAGTGCGCCGCGTGGAAGGCGGACGCGATGGAAGTATGTCAGCGAATGGTTCACCGGACGCGAGCCGCCCCGTTGAGGCAACACCCTGGATCAGATCAGGGCTAGCAGGGGACTGACACGCAGATGGGACGCACTTGGAGACTATTCCGGGGGCCATGGTCGTGCCGTCATGAAGGCGCACGACAAATGGCTTGACCCCTCGGTCTTCGCCGTCAACCACCGTGCGAGCGAAGACGATCGCGACACAAGGCATGCCGACCGGTGCGGTGGGTGGCATGTACCTGCAACGTCGTCCGTCGTGACAGCACCCATCCTGAAGCGGGCAGACTCACTTGGCAGCTCGCTCGTGAGGCGTATGCAACTCAAAGTCACCATTAGGCAACAAGGTCGCTGTAGTCTCAAGATGGATGGCATCGAGGCCGTGGCCCACTTCTGTCAAACAGAACTGCCCCCTACCCGAGATAGGATCGATCACAGCATCAGGCCAGGCTTGCCCTCCGCTCACACAAATCAAGGAGCACTCACGAAACCTTAAACTCCAACACGTCTTGCAAAACCTCGGCCAGATCAGATCGTTCGGAAGCGAACATGGCCAGTGTCCCCGCACAGCAATTGTACTGCAGCGTGACGAGGGTCCCGGCAGCCCCGTCCATACTCCATATCGGATCTGTATGCAACTGCCAAAACTTTGGCGAGAGTGTGATCAGGTCGTGGGGAGTCAGCGCTGCAATCAGCGCAAAGTGAGTGGCGAGAAGCAGATTAGAACAATAGCGCAATCAACCCAAACAACCCGCCTGCGCTCACCATATGCCCGCCCAATGGCCTTTGCGCGCTGGTAGCTCAATCGGATGCGCTCGTCCACAGGTAAGCCCTCCGCATGCTGCTGGAACAGAGGGCTCTGTGCGAGCTCGCGAGTGGGGCGCGGTGTGCGTATCATCCGTCTCGCCCTGTCTGTCTGCAGATGGCCGGCTCTGGTCGCAGTCTTTATAATAGGCGAGTCGTCAAGCATGTCGCTGTGTGTGTGGCCCGCGTCGTTAGCACTGTCAGCGTTGTGAGCCGTTGACATTCGGACGGCTTGGTCTGGCGCAGTGGATCCCACGGCGGTGCTGGAGCACGTCTTCTCGGCGACGGGGATGGCCGTCAAGACCGTATATCATCATCAGAAAACGCGCGCGCATTGAGCATGGAGGGGACACTCACCACCGCATGACCCATGCTGTTCGCCTGATCTCCTGATGAATGGGCGTTCATCATTTGAGAGCCCGGCAGGAGTATGGTACAGTACTTCGTAAAGGCCTTGGAACATGCCTGGGAGGGGCATCATGGCCACCGAAACATATATGGGTTATCAAGAACTTTAACAATCCCAATATACGGGAACAGTAATGTACGCCCGAGGCACGCACCTCCATGTCCATACGTATCGAGGCGCGGCCAAGCTTGAAACGACAAAGTGAGCCCTTGCGCTGGTCTCAAGCGAAATGGTGCCTCACCAACTCTCCTGCTTGCGACGCGATTTAATTCAAAGTATTGAACACACCATCAACAGCGCACACGCTGTCACAACGGTGACTGGACAGTGGCCGTCTCAATAGATGTACCCAGATCTTCTGGTGAACAGAAGTCGATGCCTCCCGTTCCTATCTTCGTTGGCGTTACCTCATTTGTCTTGCACCTCTCGGCTGCCGTAGAACGCATTTTCAGATACGTCATTTCCGCAGTAGTGCATGAAGTGCCAATGGAGCCAATTTTGACAGCGGAAACAGATGCCGTAGCCGTCTGACCACGTCCTGTCACGGCCGATGTCTGGGGACATGAACCTTACGTTAAATACAACCATACAGAACATTAATTACAAGAACTCGTATGCATGCACAAGTATCTAGCTGCTCAAGACTAGCTGCGAAATGAGATCCATTGCAGATTTGGAACGCGGCGTGATTTGACACGTGAAAGGCTTTGGATGCCTAGCATGGCCAGAGCTCAGCACAGCACGCTTGTAGCAAGGCGTGCGTACGCACGATAGATATCCGTCGGCGTATGCGGGACGCATCGGATTCCCGTCTGGGTCCCGCGGGTTTGTAATGTCGAATATCGCCAAGATGTAAGTTACCGCGAAGAAGAAGGACGAGTCCGCGACGTGGGTTCCAGGGCAGCGTCTTTCCGAGAGAATGCGTCAGTCATTTGGAGCTTTACGAGCCCCGTGCAAGTGGGTCCCCGCCAACACACCTGCGTCCAAACCCAAATATGTAATCGCGTGGGTCCAGGGGACATGCGCCGCCCTCCTTCAGGAATCGTTCTGGCTCGAACACGTCCGGACGCGGGAACGTCTCGGGGTCGTGCATCATCGCCCTACGCGACCGACGGGCGGCAGAATGAGCGACACGCTCATATCGTAGATAACAATCCGGGAGATGCGAAACACACCATACGTTTGCCATGATCCAGCTGCCCTTGGGAATGCGGTACCCCCGGTAGATGTCATCGGATAGCGTTGTGTGTGGAACCAAGGGCGCAACAGGATTCAGCCGGTGCACCTCCTTGATGAGCGCGTCGATGTAGGTGAGCCGAGGCTGGTCGTCCATCATCGCAAACCGATCACGCCCAACAACGGTATCAAGCTCCGATTGTGCCTTGCGCTGGACGTCTGGGTAGGCGGCCATGATCAGGAGGAATGATGATGTGAGGGCAGTAGCCTGCATGTGTATAACGCTCAGCGGGCAACTTAGTATGTTAGCGAGAAATGAAACAAAGACGCACAGTATCAGAACCGCCTGAAAACACGCCTCAGAATTTGTGGAAAGTGAACAAAGAGGGACAGGTACCTGCGTATATGCTCGCTGCAGTCCATTTCAGCAGCTCGTCATCTTCCGCGCTGAGTCGCCCGCCGATCTCGGACTCCAAGAGTTCGATGGATTCGCTTACAAAAGAAGTCTGCCCTGCACGCGTAGCCTGTTACGGTTTCCTCAGAAACCCACTCGCTCTAGTGTGCATATTATTGACTCACGATATCCTTTGCAAAATTGTATGGCTCTGCTGAGAACTCATCGGTTTTATGACGAACAGACTGTGCCCAGCGCTTGAAGCCAGCACCCGGAAACCATGCAGGTACATATCTGACTGGGGTCTCATGAGCCCCAATTATGATATTTGATAACTGAAGCTCCACGCACGAATTGGAAATGAATCTACAAGCCAGCGGCCAGGCTCTGAAGCTTTCGCTGTGATGCGCGCAAGTTCATTGGTCAGGTTCACGTAACGATCTTCGCCGGAGCGACCTTTGACTTGATATCCATAGGCGATCCGAAGAGCTATAGCACCATAGTACCTAGGGCCGAGTTGTCAAGCATTCGCCATAATAAAGAGGTCCAACGCACTGTCTTACATGCGCGAGGAAGTTCTTCGGTTCTTCAGCAAGTGCAGATACCAGTCTGCGTGCCTCTTCTTCCTCCAGTTGCCAGTAGTCTTTGGAGCGCTGCGGGTTGAATGCGTTTCGCAACAGTCTTCTGTGTTTCTTTAGCTGTTCTCCGTATGGATGGAAAAGGACGGCCCGGGTCTTGCCCACCAAGTCCGACATGACGGAGCGCGGTCTGTCACTATAGAGTATCCCTCGGTCATCGAAGAGATCGAGCGCGGCTTTGGCTGTGTTGAGAATCACGAATTCGCGGCCAAGGACGTGCATGTAGATGATATCGCCTTTGGAGACGTGAGTGATGGGGAGACAAAAGTAGTAGTTGTGGAACACACCATACTGTCTGCTCCACGAGGCGAAGGTGGCAGCGACGTCTTTCCGGGGAATGTCAAATACGTTTCCGAGGAAAGGCAGCTGCCGTGGTCCTATCGGACATGATCATCGGCTCGAACACATCAGCGAAGACGACGGGGGAAACCCACGAATTACCTGGTGGCAGAGAATGGGATCTTCTGCGATGATGGACCACTAGGACGCACGACAGGAGGACACAGATTGTGACATACAGCACAGCGGAATGAGACATTGATTCACAGCTTGAGTAATGGAAGTTTGAAGGGACACCTCAGCCGCAGTGGTACTCATGGGCCCGTGGTAAACATGTACCACCAAACAACCGTTGCGGATAATAATCCGATATTAATTCTGGAACCTAAAAGACCCATGTGAAGACCATGATACAAATGACACTCAGAGATGCCAGGCCGCGCACTTGAGGCCGCTAGCACAGGCTGTCACCTCGTCTACGCCGTTGCCACATGCCAATCTACTTCCATTCAGTGAGTTCTGATAACAGGTAAATAAATCAATGCGATAACTGTGGATCGCAAAGCTTCATGCGCCCCGCCCGCGGTCTGATAATGCTCTTCAAACAGAGGAGCTGAACCAGAGCAGACGACACGGATTGTGGGTCAAGGGCGGATATGAAAAATGACACCATTGATATTAGGTTCGAGGACAAAGAATTTGACCGAAAAGAAAGTTTGACAAAATCGGTCCGACAAAATTGCGCACGGAGGCAGGCGGCGACGGCGGCCCTGGAAGACGCACGGTACCACTCTTCTTCAGCTTCCATTCGATCGGCGCCTGCAAGAGTGAATATTTGAATGGAAGAGATCCGATCACGGAAATTGCATGTGCAGGGCGGTAGCTTGTTGAGTGATCCTTCGGGCGAAGGACCCCGCAAACCACAAGAAACAATACAAACATATCTCGTGAACTTGAGACGCGGAGACGTAACCGCCGTGGCATGTCTGATCATGAATGCATCAAGTCCTACGCCAACTATAAATGAAATCCCGTATCAACCGACGTCGCCCGCAAAGGACTCGAGTCGCTGGAGTGATTGTCGTGCAGTAGTCTTCCACTGATCTCGTACTAAATCTGCAGTTTCGCGAGAGAGAAAGAAGAGAACTTAAATGAATCCCAGCAGTGTAATTATTCCAACTTACGATTGGCAGCACATACTCGTTGTCCCGTAGATGTCAGATGACCTCCATCTCAACCTCTTCAAATACAAGAACGGGAACCTGGGGCTGTGTTTTGGAGTCCAGCATTGTGACAGACTTCCACCCAAATCCCTTCCTCGCATTGACCTCGATATCTCGGACTTTTAGGAAGAGGCGCATGACGATCACGCCGTCCAGAGACCACGCGATTCTATGTACGTTGAGTGAGATAAATCTGAAAAGGAGAACAGAAGGAGTGCTCACAGTGGCGTCAATAACATGTCGGACGGCTAAACATCAAGAATTAAAATGTTGCACACATCGGATGAACTGGGCATGCATACCCCCCCAACAATGCTGGGCACCAGCTTCGCCAATTGCAGTCCTACGTATGAAAATCAATTCAAATGTACCATACATTGGCGGCTGCAACGAACCAAACAGACACTGCGTGCATTTAGATAGCAACTCAAGGAATTTACAGATTGTGGCTCACTAGAAAGCTCAAAATACCGTCTCGATATAGATTCCGAAGGATCTCTGTATTGTGACGTCGCGGTTTATTGAGGGAATTTCCAACGAGTAAGAGAGAAACATAGATATCGTAAAAGAGCTACAAAAGAAGTCGTCAGTACAAACGTCATGGTTGAGGAATGAACGACGAACCATGGCCGACCACGACCCAATCAAATAATAGGACTTCGTGGTGAACAGACACGACCCAAGCTCACTGCTATACAGCGAGTGCGCTAGTAAAAGGAAGGTTCAAAATAAGCTGGAACATCACGAGGAGCAGCCTTACGTGCCACCTGCACAACTGCGATGATTGTGAATACGATGCCGGCAGCAATCGCCAAGGCATATCCAGATAATAAGGCGTTTCGAATCCGCGTTCGGTTATCCCAGACGACATACACGCGGTAAAGTACCAAGACTACAAAGCTACACATTAGTTTTCGCTGTATGACCCGTTAGTGAAACTGACATTGTACGACACCAACGTTTAAGACTCCATAGAAACCCATGAATTTGATGAAGCTACCGCATCTGCGAAACTCAGATAGGTGGCCACCAGATATCGTACCGTAAACGGCTCACTCCTGAATAATGCAAGTTAGAAATGAGATAAATACTGAAGGCTTAAACGTCGAAATAAATGGACGTACTGTGGTGGTCAATGGAGGCCTCATTCCACCCATCACTTTAACATGTGCCGAGTTAGCTTCAGGCATAAACCAACAAAACGCATCCTAGTCCCACCGTATGCAGTATAGAGTAAGCCACTTTCTCTGACGTAAGAATAAAGCAGCACAAGCAGTGACAACAGAGACCATGGTTGCTGCCATACTAGCGCGAGCTCCCTATCGAAGATAAGAACATGGTCATATAGCGAAACAGTCAAGGCGACCCCTGTAACAATTTATAACATAAGTCACAGAGACTTGGAATTTAGGATCACATCGCCTTACCTGACAAGTATCGCGTCGCGCTGAGGACGTTTAACTCGGAAAACGTTGGTTCGAATGGTAAGCCTATCGTCCTTGGATTTAACACTTTGATTATTAACATTATGGAACCAGCACATACCAGTATCGGCGTTGTAAGAGCTCCCCATGTCGATGTGGGTGAGCGAATTATATTCGAGTTACAGTACGGATGCCAGGTCGGGAGAAGGACTGGTGAGAACGACGCTTTTGAATAGCTCGGGTGGGGACATCAACCATTGTCCACATTTATCGCCGGGAAGACTATGGCCCTCGCCGCCGGCTTGTCCATCAGCACTAGTGAGCCTCAGTGGAGCCACAACCGTTGAAACCACACACATTAGCGCTCTTTGTGCAATTCGCTTCGATGTGTATGGATATGTATGATAATCACGCCGAAGTCTACGCTCGATACCCTTCAGGAGCATATAATTCCAGACCCTTGCTCACATACATGAGCTGTTTATCTGATTCATTGGAGAGCTTCTCGTGGAGTCTTACCGTTCCAAGCCCTCTTTGTCACGAGGGCTCCTCGCTACGCTTCTCCGGGGTCCTGATAGACGTGAGACGCGAATTTCATCGACACTTGCATAAGATGGACTAGAAAGTGCCATCCTGTCAAAAAAAAACAGATTGTCATAAGGACCTAGAAATTGGTACATATCAATCTAGCATGGAAATGATGCAGCCCCCACCTGTTAATCAACTTGTGTCAATGTCCTCGTGTGGTGGTGGTAATAACGTTGAACGTTCCGTTCTCATAGCGATTTCCATGCCGACTTTTGGGCTTCTATACACCGGGGACAGAAAGCAGTGTCCAGAGAGGGAACACAAGTCGAACACGCACCAGTAGGGATCATGAACCCTCAACAGCTTTAAATTCAAATTTAAATTTCAATATTCATTTGATGTACAGAAATACTTGCAAAAAATTAATACTTGAAAATTATCATACACTGAAGAATTTGATCATTCTAAGTCTTCCCTGCATGTTCTGTAAAAAGGCACTGCGGGAATTCGTGATCCCTGTCGGAGCATGTTCGACTCATGTTTTCCCTCCAAAAGTTGGATTTTGCCCCCGGTGATAGCAACGTTGAAGATAAGCCTTATAGCCACGGTACCAATGTGCACAGCTGCAAACGGCAGACCCGATTAGGCAATGGACGATGCGGAATCCGATACTCCTACTCTTTTTGGTACTGTATCTCAAGCCAACGAGGGATGAACGGACGCAATTGGGCACCCTACATACTGATTCATCTGGTGGTACTTGACCGTACTCAAATCCTCAACACTCGACGTTCGACGTTCAACTTTTTTGCTAGCAAGAGCTCCTACTTTGAGCTCACGAGCATCTGCCGCTGCTGCTTCAGCTTGCCATCTCTGCCCGCACCCTGTCTCGCAGCGTCGACTTGGATCCGTAGACAGGTCACTGAGTTCCGAGATATAGAAGTGGCCATTCTAAGGTACCATCTCTTCTATGGAGGTGTCGTTGGGTCGTGGATGATATTCATTCCATAGGTGCATCTATCATGTGCTCTAAGCATATGCGCGTTTGCTAGTGGTATCCTAACATAGAAGATAGTGGCGCTCGGTAACTGTCAGCGAGCTGCGATCACACAAATCTTTCTTCAGCTGGTGTGCTGCACCCCTCAGGCCTCAGGGCTGGTGGTGCACGCCTATTTGTTATTGCAGACACTCGTTCTGACTATGGAGGAAACCTTTACAGCGGAAACGAGCTGCGGAAGGGGTGGGCGGGGAATGTGTTGCGAGATCAGGTTCGCTTCCACCACTCGGCATGGCGGTGATGCTTATTCAAGCCGCATTATTGCATAACCCGCGAACCGCGAGTGTGAGGCTTGAAGATGCGCTCAAGCCTCATTAGGTGCTGTGGGCGCACAGTCCGGCTGATCGCTTCTGTTGTGGCAGAGTGACAAGGTTCTGGGGGTCACTCGCCTCGAGGGTGGGTGGGCAAAGATGCAAACCAACGGTCACCGGGGTGGCCGGGCTCTGCCGTCGCCCTTTCGACCCAGGACGAGCAGATCTGTGCCAAGCGTGGTGGATGTGATCATTGTTGCCTCGGGCGGTATCTCCCCACTTTAGAATCCGGTTTCTGTCCCAGAGACCTTCATCCGCCCTCATGGCTACCACCCCCGATCCCGACGCCCTCCCCCCGACGTCTTCTGACTCCGTCGACCTCGACGATAAACGCCCCGAATCTGTTCCGCCTTTCGCCGACGACGACAAACCACCGCGCGACTTCAGATTCTGGCTCGTCTTTCTTGGCATTAGCATTGCTACGCTCATTACCGCCATCGAACTCGTGAGTCCGTCCCGCCCGCTGTCTTCGTCCGACCTCACATCGTCCCCAAGTCCGCCGTCTCGGTTGCCCTCCCAACGATCGTCAAAGCACTCGATGGGTCCTCCTTCATCTGGGTCGGCTCTGCCTACACCCTCGCCTCTACGGCCGTCATCCCCCTCGTCGGCGGCCTCGCCCAGGTGCCGCGCACGCTCGCTGATGTACTCCCCTACTGACCGTCCCGTCCAGATCTTCGGGAGGAGACCGGTCATCCTTGGCTCTCTCCTAGTCATGATCCTCGGAAGCGCCCTCTCCGGAGCTGCAACGAGCATGAACTTTCTCATAGCTGGTCGGGGTGCGTGTCCGCAATTTCTGTTTCGGCCTTTGGCCTCCTGCAATTTCATGCACTTGAGGCATGTTCTGGGCGCGTATTACCGGCAGCCCAGAGTTTGAACACGCTTAGGACAGCATCTCCTGCTTCCGCAGAATCATTGTTTCGTCCGTCGTGTCGCTTTCCGGTCCCACCTCCGTGTCATATGCCTGTCCGAATGGTGTTCCAGCTGCTCACACTCAATACCTTACAGCTGTCCAAGGCATCGGCGGTGGTGGAATCTCCGCAACGACCACCATCATCATCTCCGATATGGTTCCCCTGCATGAACGTGGCGCATTCAATGGCCTCATCGGCATGTACGTCTTATGACCTTCATCCGCCCCGGCCTCGCGAGCTGAACGATACATGACAGCGCGTGGTCCGTAGCTAGTGGCATCGGACCCATCATCGGCGGTGCCCTCGCGCAGAACGGGCAATGGCGCTGGTTGTTCTGTACGTCTATTCGATTTAGTTCTCTGGAGTTTAGGCTGACGTTCCATGGGTGTAAGACCTAAACATCCCTATCGCTGGTGTCGCCGCGGTGCTCATGGCCCTTTTCCTCCGTGTGCCCACGCCACCGGGAACCATGATGCAGAAGCTAGCGAAGATGGACTGGATGTATGTCGCAACCCCATGCCCATCAGCACTGTGCAGCTGACCCTTTGACCAAGCGGCAACGGTCTCGTCATCGCTGCGACGACGAGCTGCGTGATCGCGCTGACGTGGAGCGGCACCCAGTACGCGTGGAGCGCTGTCCCCGTCGTCGTGCCCCTCGTCCTTGGGCTCGTTGGGCTCGCCGCATTCCTCGTGTACGAGGCGATCGTCCCCAAGACCCCGCTGGTGCGTCCCGCTCTCCGCTTGTCACACATACATTGCTCAGCTGCGCCGTGCTAGGTCCCGTTCGTACTCATGTCAACCGCGACGGGGATCAGTGGCTACGTGCAGACATTCATAATGCCCATCGTCATGATGGGCCTGATCTGTGCGTGCGCCCGCCCAGCCCTGCATATGTCCCCGCGCTGAGTCTGCACGCCGCACAGACTACTTCCCCGTGTACTTCCAGGCGTGCAAGGGCGCGTCGCCGATCGGCTCGGGCGTGGATGAGCTCCCGTTCGCGCTCATAATGGCGCCGTTCGGGATCATCGCCGGGGCGTCGGTGAACAAGACCGGACGGTACCGCCTGCAGATCTGGGTCGCATGGGTGATCCTCCTCCTCGGCACAGGACTGCAGATCACACTCGAGTATGACACCCCCCGCGGGCACGCGCTCGGGTTCCTCGTGCTGTGTGGCATCGGGCTCGGCATCCTAGCGACGACGACGTACTTTCCCGTGCTTGCGCCGTGTGAGTGGTCCCGTGTCCGTCCAGCTGGGTGAGACGACTGACGGATGTGGCTGCACGCATACCCGCCGGCAGTGCCGGTGTCGCAGAACGGCCCCGCGCTCGCGTTCTTCATATTCCTGCGCAATTTTGCCCAGGTGCGCCCCATTTCTGACTTTCACCAGCACCACCACTTTCTCACTACTCATATCGCGCGCTCACGCCGTACACGCAGGTCTGGGGCATCACCATCGGCGGGACAGTGCTGCAGAACCAGCTGGAGAAGCGGCTGCCACCCGCGTTCCGCGCGCAGCTTCCGTCGGGCACGGCGATCGCGTACGCGACGATCCCGCTCGTGCGCGGCCTCGCGGAGCCGCTCCAGACGGAGGTGCGCATCGCGTTCGCGCAGAGCCTACGCATCGTCTGGGCAGTTCTCGTCGGCATCGGCGGGATCGGGCTCGCGGCGAGCTTGGCGATGCGCGCGCTCCCGCTGCGCAAAGCGGTGGATAAGAATTGGGCGCTGGAACGGAGCGGCGAGGAGCTGGAGCGGAGCGGTGGAGAGCAGGAGCGGACGGTGGGTGCAAAGGCGTAGGTGCGGGCGGTGACCGGAGCGAGGAGCGTTGCGCATATGATAAGGTGCTGTCCTACTCGCACAGGATTCGGACTAGAAAGCGGCGTCGGAGGACAGGGTGAGCAGATCCGTTACTGCGAAGCTATTGGTACGCGTCGAGGCCGACACCTTCCCTTCTTTTTATGTTTGCTTATGGCCTGCCGAAAGTGCATGTACGCCCCTTCTTAAAAATTTCCCCTCGTCCATTCACGGGTTTGGTGTGTGCCAATCTGGATACGCCGCACTCGACATCACGCGTTCGGCCATGACAATGCAGCTGAAGCGTTGAGGATTACGTTATCCAGTCTTTAGGAGTGCGGAATGGACGCCATAAGATTCTTCGGATTCGCAGTGGATTCATCTTTGGTAATGCTGCCTCCAGGTTGCGATGTTCAATGATCCCATCTTTTGCATGCGCAGCCGCCCTCGTCTGGATTCGATGCGATGGACTGTCAAAGGGCGGATCCCGTGAGAGCTGTACCAACGTTGGTACCTGGTCCAAATGCTGCACAATAGTGGCTCGCGCTTCACTAGGTTCATTGCTCGCTTCGAACCGTCGACTCCCCACGTCGAGATCATCGACATGTGTCCGGCTGAGGTGGAATGTTAGGAAAGAAAGATCGGCTGAGGCACATCCCCCGGCGTTCCTGCATGCCCACAGAATACTGGGCGGACATGCGAGTACATATAATACAGATTCCAGTTCGACTTAGGTCCCTCCTCTGAACGAGCCATCACCGGCACCTCCTCCTGGATTCCCCTGCGGTTTTAGTCCTATGTCGAATGGCACCGTGACCGCCGCATCTTTGATTTTGGAGCAAGAACTTGTGTATGTCGTTTCATCTTCATCCGGGCGTGCGGAACACGATTCTAAGTGTGCCGTAAACCAAGCAGAGTGCGTGAGTCTCAATCATCAGCAGCCGGTTTAGGCGAGTCGTGTCTCCGTTGTCTTGTTCAAGATGTCTGACCCGAGTCGTAGCCATACTCCTCTACGAAATAGTATACACATTTAGCGAGGTGGTCGCACTTCTCCGAGAGGGCCGGCGAACACAGATCATCATATTCTCCCTCAACTATCTGAACCTACTTGCGATGGGATGTGCAGGTGTGTTTGAGGCGCTACAATGGAAGACAACACTCGTGAGTGCAGGCCGCTTCTGCGGCGAGAAACATCTTATCGACGTTCAAATCCTGATCATCCAGGGCCTGAGGTTTGAAGCTCGTGTACTGGCTTGTGTAGTGCGTGGCTAACGCTGGTTCAGCTGTGACGGAATGGCCGTATTTTCCGTGATCAGTGACGCTGTATACATGATCGTCAATGTAGGTCAGTAACTATGTTTCATTGGCGGCCCTGTGTATCAGTGCTCATGCCGTACCTTGCAGTCATTTCGTATATGTTGATACTAGCTATAAGTCATGGAAATCAGACTCTCTCAGTGATCACGCTCTTAATGGGTTTAGGTTCCGTTGGGCTGAGTCTGGTGCGTCGTGTTCGATATACGTAACACTACTGCGACTGTAACTGATAGCAAGTTCCCAGTGTCAACATGCTTCGATGCATTTTCTCTCCATGTACGGTGTATGCTGGTCCTCTATTACTTTGAAATTGTATGTCTCTAGAGTATTGATGTACTAGGAACATTTCGTGTTCACTGGATTGTCTATAGCACCGAAGATGACTTCGTAATAATCGGGTCCACATATGCCATCTGCGCTTTGTTCTGCAATCTGATTGTCATCGTTTCAGCCTGGTTCTACCTCCACAGATCTCTGTTATCAGAGGGAGTCCTTAGAAGGACGAATACAGTCGCAGGCACTTTATTGAAAGATGGTACGTGCAATAAATTGCTATAAATGCAAGTTGGACAGCTGACTTGATCGCTATCGTGATTCACAGGAACGATGTATTTTATGTGTGTATCGATATTGTCCGGCTGACTCTCTTGACGGACTGAGACCCTGCTCTACAGGGCTCTCTCAGCCCTCCACTTCCAATATGTCATTGATTACGCATGCACTTTCACATGCAACCCTAGTGGTGTACGATGACTACATTCGATTTTACTGATTCATTGACTCACATGTATCTGTAGGATCTGTATAACATATTGGCTGTCACGAGCGGACCATCGCAACTGTTAGTGCATCATCTACTTTCATGCGCACAACGTGAATCTCCAACGATTACCCATATTGCAGACTACCCTCTATTCTCTTGTCCCGTTTGCTGCTCCATCTTCATGAAGCCTCGTCCGGCGAATATTCTGGGACACACAACGGTGGGACACACACCGGGACCTGGCTCCAAGACCTTGAATTTGCACGCTCGCAGATCTTGTCCTCCGAGCTTGTGCCGCAGTCATCAGCCAATGAAGCAGAAGTGATGGACGCAGATGGAGCGGGATACAATGATCCAGAGAATGGAATGAATCAAGAGGAATAGGCTGTAACAGCGCAATTATACCATCCGCGCTTTCCAAAGTATTCGCTCGGATCTCCATCTATGGGAGAGTAGACCTTGTATTCACTACTATAGATTGAACTTGAATAAAACAGCTGCGTTGTGGTGCGGAAGACTAGTCAGCCTTCAACTTTACGTCAATCAATATGATATCCTAATTCAAAATTGACACCCGTTCATTAACGATACTACCATAGCCTACAAAGAAATGAGCACAACCTACGGTATCCAACAGTAGGGTAGCTGTAAATAAAGCAGCATGCAGGACACGACTGAGGCAGTCTTCAGCCGCACTTGGCCTTGGGTTTCTCGGCAAGGACATGCCATAATAGTCGCAGCACCCACCCTCGAGGGAGCCACGAGAACAGCCACCATAAGCCAGATGGATATCCAAGCGTCATGTATCGTGGCGGGTGCTTTCCAACTGCAGCATCGACGACCCTCCTCGCAAAGACGTCCGTGGGGAGCGATTCCGATCTCTGGTTCCTGTTGATCCGCTCCACAATGGCGTTCAGCCAGGGCATGTACAAGCTATCCGACGGAAGGCTGAACCGCGAGATCATGTTCTGTGCGATATTCGATATGACGCCTCCAGATGAGACGTGCATGATTGAGACGTTGAACGGACGGCACTCCATCCAGAGCGTATCGGAAATCGCTTGCTCGGCCGCCTTGGATGCCGCGTAGACCCCACCCCAAGGCGTGGTGCTGCAGCAGGTCTCAGAATTTGCATGCCAAGCAGTCGCGAGCGACAAAGGACGACGGGTAGACGTACATCTCGCCGACGATAGAACCGATGTTGACAACCGTACCGCTCCTCCGTGCTGCCATGTGAGGGACAACGGCCTGTGAGATACGCAAGACAGAGTAGGTGTTGGTGTCAAACGTGCTCTTCACGTCTGCCATCGGAACGTCAAGCAACGGGTCTAGGGGGCCAGTCATGAGGAGACTCTGTGCATGAACGTACATCTCGACTCACAGTGACATAGGATTCCAGCATTGTTCACGGCGATGTCTATTCTGCCTTCCCGCTCAATAATTATTTTGACCGCAGCCTCCACACTCGCATCATCCGTGACGTCCAAGCGCAACCGTTCGATTCCTGCAGTGAAGCCCTCCATAGCGTCCGGCCGGCGGGCAGTAGCATAGACCTTGCAACCCCTAGACGCGAATTCCTCACACCTGGAATGCTACGTCAATGGTCATGTCAGACTATTGGATCACTAGTGAAATCCTACAGTTGGAACCCAATCCCGCCCTTCGAACAGCCTGTGACCAGAACCACTTTGGAGGTGCTTGACATACCGAGAATCGTGTTTCGGGTGTTGAGGACGTTCAATTCCGATCGAGAGAGCAGAGACACCGCCGGTTGGGCTTGACCTGTAGCGACAGCGCGACACTCGTAGCGAGAATTGAGGTTATGGAGGAGCCGCACGAGGATGCCAGGAGGACGCTATGCATATTTATATGTTTTGAGTCGAGCGAACAGCTTGATGCTGATTGAAGTGTTCCCAATGTGTACTTACTTACCCGCTAAACCGAATCGCTTGTCTTTGACAATGACTATCTGGGCACGAGACCAAATCACTTCAGCGCTAGAGGTGAGATATGTGCGGCGCTCTTATTCCTCCTCCCCCTCGTCCTCTTATACTATCTTGGGAACTTGGACCATCTATCATACCGCCGTGAAATTATAGCTCCGCGCGCTTCCTTATCTCTGACATCACTTTGAAGGGGACTACGAGGGAGCCGGAGAGGATGTGCCACGAGAAATGCCGTTTATTCAGAATACTTGCTAATGAATAGTTTCGTTGCGGACTCACATTTTGATTATGATGTGCGCAGGCACGGTTCCACCTTTTATTCTGCTGGGATTTTGCTGTTCTCATCCTTCGCATACTGGCTTGGTCCACAAGAGGATCATGTGCTTGCCAATTGGGAGCGTAGACCTGTTGCAAAATCAATACGGTGCGCGAGTTGTCATCCGTATCACCATGGGAGGCCTCCTCTTAGACTACATGGCGCACTGTCATCAGTCTGCACATGCATAGCCATCCGTTAATTTGTCCTGGGAGTTGACATTATCGCTGCGCTCATTGCACATATTGAACTTGTTCGGAGCCCGGATGTTGCTTCGCCACTCGACCATAGCACAGCATTCTAGTATACAGTCTTAGTCGCTCTTCCATCAATTGCCAAACCATTCGCTGGATCTTCCCAGTACAAATTCGTTATACTACTCGAGTTAGTTGAGGTGTAATCATATTTTATGCCCAGTGGCCAGCATGCAGCCTGCAAGTGCAGTTGCTGGGTCTCTATTCCTGCGGTGACTATATGTGTCCGTGTCTACAGTGATACTACAAGCGAAATTATTTGAAAAGACGAAGAGACTGTGGTTACGGAACAAGCAGCATACCATGATAGTCGACGGATGAAGAGCAGACTAACTTGTCAGCGTGATATACGGCAGCATAGAGGCGGATATACGTTTGTCGTTCTATGGAGACGGCATGGTTGAGGATATCACTCGAGCTGTCTCGGGCGCACGCTGCCAACAAAACGCAAGTAAATGTTCCAGCGGCATAGTTCTTTGAACAACTACGCACGCATCGATGCGGCGCTTCCTCCGCCTGCAAATTGGTACTATCAGCAACACAATCAGTGATTTAGATTTCAATCCCAAGTCTCGGACCAAAATGCGCTCACACGATAGTTGGCCGCACCACCACCGCCGCCTCCAAACACGGGCTGTCCGGGACATAAGATGAGCCGGTGGGATGCGCAATTGCAAACTGCATGAATTTCCGTTCATTCATACCTCTTCAACCTAAGACACAGCGGCCTGTGCAAGTATCATTGAAGATGAAACCAGGCAACAGAAAATAAAATACAGGGAGTGCAGAAGCTGTGCCTTGCATGGGGGAGACAGGAGAGAAAGACAGTCGAACCCGCACCGTGTCTGAACGAGTAGTACTGAGAGACCGATTTGTGAGGTGACACGTAAGTCGATGGGGTTTTTATATTCAGTAATGGGAGCCAACTTTCATAGGTAGTTCAGTCACACGAGAAAAAACATGATATATGCAAATGCAGTACTGCAGGCTTAGTGCTTTGATCTGAAAGTATGCGTTTGGGGAGCTCGGGTACTTCAGGTGGTGGACAAGCTCCTTCCTCCGGCATGGGCCTTTGAATGGCAAAGATTAGACTCTTTGCGAAAGCACTACTTATCGATGGTGTCTCCCTTTCCAAAGGCTTACTGTCCTACCTTCCGTATGACCTACCCGCCGTAAAATACTTACTCACCGATTGTCATAAGACAATATTCCGCATAGGTGCACTCCACGACCATGCAAATAGTACCTGATGCAGTGATGTCCTGGGACGATGTATATTCCAATGTGGGTATAAAAAGTCAAATTATCGGAAGGTGGACTTGACTCAACTGAGTTAATCTTGCTGACCATGCATTTGTTCTGTGTTCATAAATTCAACAGCAAGAGTCCACTATAGTTCTATGGTTTGATCTGTGGATTCAGACCTTAACATAGAACCAGTGCAGCAGATCCTGATCAGCATGGAATATGGGACTTACTACTGTCAACCTGTTGCGCTTACGAATCCCAACACCCAGCGCCCTTGTCAAAGACTCAACGATACGGCCTGGACTTGGTTTGACATAAATCACTGAGCCAGGTAGTTCTCCAACCTAGATTGTGCATGGATTCACAGGCCGTCTTCTTGACCAGTCCTTTCCTAGCGACGGGACACGGTACTATAAGTATCCGTTGTCCAATGACAGGCACAGGGAGGCTGAGCATGTACCAACTAGCACTGCCGGTGAGCGCTAAGCCTTGGACGCGATCAAAAGACGACACTCTTGCAGCACATAAAAATGGAGGCCTCACCGACAGAGAGGTCCCTAACACGCCCGGGACATGCAATTACGGGCGGTCGTCAACAGCCGTGTGCTGCTCTTCGCTCTCTTGGTGGTGATCTCCATCTACAGTGATGTAATCCTCGTCAAGAAAGTAGAGAAACTCGTCGCGGAAGATAAACGAAGGCCTCGGAGGCGAAATCTAGTACAGACGGGGACATATTGTGGGTACCAACCTCTAGCACAAAGAAATCTGACGCCAGTCTCACTGGGCTCCCTCCCGAAGCATGGATTGGGAGCGACTTCCCGCGATATTTTCCTGTCAACGCAGGCTCAATCAGGATGGTAGCTGAGGAGAGTGTGCACTACCCCCTCTCGGATTCTGAGGCACACGAAGAGTGGCTCTGGACCGCACCGCTCTTCGGCGACAACCATGTCCGCCTCGGGCCCGACAAGCGCGTCTTCGCTGTGCCCATGTTCCACCAGTTGCATTGTCTGCGCACAATGCGGGAGGCCATAGAGGTTGGACTGACAAGCCTCAGTCCAGGTTTGCAGGGGCATATTCATCACTGCTTCACGTACCTGCGCCAGTGGACTTTGTGCTCGGCGGACGTGACGCTCGAACCAGGCGATTTCATGACACGAAATTTTACAACGGAGAGAGTGGGGGGAACATATAATTGTCTTGATTGGGAGCCTGTATACCGTGCGGTGGAAGCGAACTGGATAGATTGGATACAATGGCGAGACGAGAGCGGGTTGTCACCATCTGAAGCCGCGTAGTTTGCTGTATGTTAATTTCATGTACGATGAGGTCGTGAGTTGATCGAATACAGATTCGGCCATACTAAGCTCCCGAGATAAACCGCGGAGTTTTAATAAGCGCCGAACATATTGTAGGTCACTGCAGCTGGTGCAAGTCATGCTATACTCTGGTATATCATCACCTCCTACCATTTGTCAATACAATGTAGCTACATTGCACAGAAACGATGCGTAAGTAAAGCGGTCCTCACAAAGCAAGGCGCTGGCTCGGAGTTAGCCGCTCGCGCCCAGGCCAGGCCGGCACCTAAAATGCAGGTGCTCAGGATGCAGAAGAATACACCTTGAGGGGCTTGCGAAACACGAGGTAAGATTTCTCGCGACGGAAGAAGAAGCATCAGTACCACTCAAGTGAGCGGGTTGATAGGCCATACATGAATGACAGACAAGGTGCAGGGTAGCTGTAGCCCAAGCAACATTCTTCAGGCCTGCCTCGAAAGCTGCGCCTCCGCTTCCTTCTGCCGTCGTGCCGCCGCTTCTTTAGCCTCTTTCAAAGGCTTTCGCCATTTGGCCTCCGGAGGGTCCCAGATGCCGAACTCCTCCTTCATCTCCTTCACATTCTGATTCCACCGTTCCTCCCAGTACACAGTGATCAGGCTCCTCGCACTGCTTCCACATTTGACGGCCCAGGGAACAAAATCCCGGAAGAGTCGCGCGCGCTGAGTGGAATTCAACCGAAGATGACCAAACGCGGCGGCGAATCCGGTCATTGGAAGCCCAAAGTTGGCAAACTCGAAGAACTTCAGCGCGAGCTCGGACTCAACGTTGACTGGCATGTTACAAATGCAATGGTAGAAGTCGTGACATTCCCGATAGCGCTGCAGTACATACGCAAGTTCGGGGTCGTCCACGTAGTGTACCTGTGGTAGACATGTACGCCAGGGAGATCAGTAGGAAAGCGAGAGAGCGCACTGGTTCACGAGTGTCTGGCGTCACTCCGCACCGCTCGAGCCAGGTTACATACGCGCGACCGAAAGTTCCTTCTGGCAGCATGGCCAGCTTGTCCATGTCGACGGTCTGCGAGTTCACTCTTGGCCTCTCTTTCAAAATTTTACGTCCTTCAGCGCTGTCTAGCATGATATCCCGCAGCCGAGGGAGAACCGGGCCAGAGGTCGTGTCTCCCAGTGCAGCAACCATGTCTGTTGAACAAGATGTGTATTCAGCAGAAGCGGAGATCCAGACGAGTACGCACCTCCTCTCCGCGGATCTGCTAGGGACATAAGAGCAGACCCCACGGCCAAGAATCCTTTCTCAAATAGATTGAGAGGAATATGCCCATCGTAGGCTGGCTGAGAGCTTGCCCGGCGCACACCCAATTCGACCATGCCGGACTTCGCGATCGCAGGAAGTGTCCTCTGTGGAAGAGCCCGGTGAACCAGTCGGAAAGACTTTGATAAAACAGACATTTTCTATGCAATCACCAGAATGTACGTCTGAGTAGTGAGATAGTGTGACTGCGACAAATCGAAGGAACCTGGCAGACAAAGTTGGCGAGGCGCAACAGGCGCGATGACTAATTCCGCTGCAAGCCAGATATGGCTATTGCCGCCCTTCGACACTCTGGAAGATGTACTCTAGTTTTCTCTGTTCATAAAAATGCTACTTGAGAGAATTTGTTAATTTTCTAAGAATACAACATGAAAGGCCTTCGAACTACAAGGATATCAATTGGCAGTCCCCAGGACACCGAGTGTATGTCAAATGGTGTAAAACAAGTCTCAGTCTTATACAACAGCAAAACAGAAAGAAAAGAGAGACGAGTGAGTGAGAGTGGTATATGCCTAGAAATGGCCAAACTCTAGACGAGCGCATAAGAGGCGGGGTGGTGGGTAGATATCAAGCACGAGCGGATGAAAGGAATTCTATCGCGGTATTTCCAAACATCCACACGAACATGTACATCGACGAACCGATGAATCGAATTACTGGTTGAGGGGAATTTGCACGATGAGAAAATACGTGTACGAGAAAAACATATGACATACGAGCAAGCATAGCAATTGAGTAGAGGATGAAGGTGAAGTATCCGCTAGAGTTTTTGTCGGTGCCCAATTGTACCGACTCGACCGTTGGAATCTTTGAGCTGATACATGGCTTGTAAGCGGAAACAGAAAAGAAGACAAAATGCGCTCACGAAATCGTCGAAGCCAGCAGCGCCTGGATGAATGATTCATAGTAAGCACGTGAGAGCGATTGAAAATGTTGAATGGCTCACATTGCTCAATACCCAAGCTAGTAACACCTAGGGAGTTCTAACGTCAAACCACTGATCACAGACTAACATCTTAGTCAAGTGATACGCACGTTCGTCCTGATGGTCTTGAAGAAGTCCTCAGAGTGAGTTGGGTCTGGCTTTTGGTCCACCACTATGGGCTTCGCTTTCAACACAAATATCGCATCGTCATATGCTCTGTCTAGTTCTTCTTTTTCTGTTGGCAGCCTGAGCTTGACTTCATTCTTGTTTTTTCCCGGGACAGCTTGATTAGGATCCTTGTCTACGACTTCCGTCTTCGTTCCCCAGGAGATGTCATGAATATTGGCAAACTAGATGAATAGAAAATGAGTTGCATGCAAACGTTGATGAATGGAACGCTACATACTGCATAAACATTCAGGATCATGATGTAGGACGGGGCGATGAGAAGATACTGCACAAAAGACGTGACCATATGCCAAGGATCAAGCTGTATTCGGCGAGAGACATCGCGTCAGGAGCTCGTCAGATCAACTAGCCGCTCGATCGTTTGAGCCATGACTTACCGCAATCAACGATGAGATTATGTACAACCCGTACGTTGATAGTAGTGAAATCACAATGTCTCTAGCGACGGAATTTGTGAAGATGCGGACGATGAGCGGCCCATCATCTGTTCCATCGAACTTCAGACCTTGATATGCCACAATAAACGATGCCATCTACAATTACGTTCAGTCACAATCGAAGGATATTAGACGACGAAGCAACTCGCCGTCATGTAAACCGTGAGACATCCAAATCCGAGGAACGCGATCATATACATCCACCTCGATGCCTGGGGCTTATTGCCGAGCGCGAGCAGGAAGGACATGATCAGCAGCCCAATATACACGTATTTCAGGAAGACGTTGAAGGACCCAATGCTGGGAGCGAGGAATTCTAGAGACGTGCTCAGGATGACGAAGGCAATGTAGTAATTACCCTGCGCGGGAAAACGCTGTGCATGAGTTGTGATGAAATAGGGCGATGAATAAGACCATGCACCAAAGCGAACCAGGAGAAGAGTAAGTTATACAGCTGATACGCCATCTCAACGTGTATCCAGAACTTCCGCGCAAATGTATGAGTCGAGCGGTAAATGTAGTTGAAATGCCAGATACTGTGGACTGCAGCGAAGAATGAACCATTTAGCCATCTTCGTCGCTGCGAGATAAATTCTGGCAGCTTTTGAATGGATTTTGATCAGCAGGGACATGAAGAACAGAGGAGGTCAACTCGCCTGATCAGGCACGTCTGTCTCTGCGTAGGCTGACTTGACGTAGTGTAGAATGTATGCGCTCTTGCGTTTTGAAACCAGCTCCCAGCACAATACCTGTGTGATGCCTTAGCGATTGTGCCAACGTAATGGTCTTTCCACTCACTCGATCTTCTGCAAGATACATATTCGCTGTAAAGATGTCGGTCGTCTGACCCGCCTGGAGATCCCCCATAAAATATTTCTGTAACGGGCCTTCACCTAGCTCATCGTTCTGAAGGGCTGTGTATCGATAGGCACTGAAAGCGCCAGGGAGCACAGTAATATAACCGAGCACAGATTCGAGCGGCTTGTCCAGGATATTCGCCATCTTGTATTCAAAGTTCTGGGCAGCGACCAGAGGGTTCACCAGATTTTCTCCATACGTGCCCTTCATTGCAACAATCTCACCACACGCACCGGCGACGCCTGGGTTCATGTCAAACGCCTTCCAGAGATGATAGATCGACGTAGGGCCGGGCATCGTCCCAACGTCGAGCAGGACGCAGACCTCGGGAAGCAGAATGGGGCCAAAGGCATTGAAGAACCAGCGGTGCGAGTTGATCTTCTTCTGATTTTGCTCCTTGAGGCAGAAGATAATTTGTATGGGGGGCACGCCCTTTTCATCGTCGCGCGTGGACGTTGGTGCGATGACCGAAATAGGAACCTGGGTCGAGTACTCAAAGATGTGCGCAACGACGTTCTCGTCGTTCACAGTAGTGACAGGAACGGCGCTCTGATATGCGCCCAGTGCGGCAATTGCGCAGAGAGATCCCACGTTGGCTTTGAAACGCCCATCGCTAACGATGCAGACAACCACCTTTTTCCAACTCTCGTCGTCCCATGTAGCGTCCTTGCGCTTGTTCAGGTTCGTGATGTTTTGGAAGACGCCATGCAGAGTGCGATACAAGAGTTCCTGGTCCTCATTGTACATGGTGATGACGATAAATAGTTCCGTTACGCGCGGGGGATCGTATAGCTGCTGACGAAGACTGAACCCAGACTTCTTGAAGTCATCTGGGTCACAGGTCGCGGCAGAATAACGCATGTAGTCGAACTCGTGTTGACCGGTCAAAGACGAATATTGGGAGACTTGAGTTGGGACTGGTACGTCGAGAATAAGATTCCCGTTTACTAACCTGTGAGCGAGGGGAATTTCAGAGCAAGTAACAATCAATTCGCAATTCTACTAACTCTCTCGTAATTGTTTTGTATTCAGCCGGTGTTCGCTGTGGAATACGACCGCCAACTAAGTCTTCTCCCAAATCTATCGCGATGTGACCACCTGGTCGGGAGGGAGCCTGATGTAGAAGCGGTCCAGTTTCGGTTGTATCATCTAGGTCATCCTCTTCCTCTTCTTCATAAGATGACGTAGTGTGTTGTCGTGCCGTTGAGGAAGCCGCTGTTGCTGTTAAGGAAGTACGAGGTGTACTGTGGTCAGCCTGGAAGCCACCAGTTTGGTCGTGTTGATCAAACAACGACCCAAGGCCACTCTGCGATAAAGCGTGAAGAACACCATTGATGTAATGATCAAAACTCTTTTTTATAACTCACCGAGTGATATCCAGACATTTACACTGGCCGAGGTGATTGATACTCAAAAATGCAGTACGGGGGAGAGAACACGACCGGTGGGTTTTAAACCCTGTACAAGCTCAGAACGCTGCCTTATGTACCTCGAGCATCACATGAGCGTCGTTCGAGTGTCTGCTGCTGCCGCTCCCTCCCATCTGGTCTAGGCATATCTCCATCTAGCCCATGCTCATCATGATCACGTCTGATATGCGGACTGTATGCGGGGAACGCACCATAGGATTATCGATTGCTGCCGTACGAGTCTTTTTGGGGCTGAACGCTGTAATTTAATGATCTCCGTCTATCACGTACCTATACCACAACGTGCCTTGATAGTGTGCCATTCGAGTGACTCCGACCCCGTGGTAGGAGCAAATAAAACCGGCGGATTTTTGTGGATCGTGAGACACCATCGTTTGCATGCCCCGACAATAAGATGGTGGAGGTTCTGTGGCACTGGTTAAATGACTGCTGAATATTTCGCCAGAGGCTCGTTGAGTGTCATGGGATGCCCCAGATTCGATGAGGGGGGCACGTCTGTACTCGTGTCTGAGAAAATTAATGAGTCTCGTCTCCGGAAGCTTCAGCACCGGAGTGAAGAGACGTACCTGTGACATTCTTCACAGAACACTACGCCTTTCACGGTATAATGAATTCGGTGGTTCACCACAGCGCTGCAAGTGCGCGGTATGCGCGTGGCACAGACCCCAGCATGCTGCCTTATCAGTCAGATTCTGATCTCGTCTGTCTCCATCCCATCTGATGCTACCCCTTCATTGCTCCTTCCACCGCTCTGATTCCGTTTGCCAACCAATAAGTCGTCCTTCTGCTTCAATAGCTCGCTGAGTGATTAGATATGACTTAAAACTAAAGACAGAGGTGCTGCGACCAAGACAGAGAAGTATGCACATGTACGTGTCAGTTGGTAGCCTCAACTAAATATTCGGAGGACCCACTAGTGTACCTATGCGATCACAGAACGGTCAATGAGATGGGATCACGGTGCCATATGGAACGTCTTGCTCGGTTGGTCCTGCAGCCTCTGATTAGTGGCTCAGATGTCAGCTATGTAAGCATCGTGCGGACAGTCACAGAGGGCTCTGCACCATAAAGGCTTGCTGATTGCAATCCTGAGCACAAAGAACAGGATACGGCGTCAGCATGTTGGCATATTTTGCTCTCCGTTCAGAATGTGTCCCACAGTGTCGATGTGCAAACCAATATACTTAAGAGAGACATGAGTGTCACAGGTCAACACAGACTAGCTCCGCCCGCACCAAGATCATTGCTCTCGTCGATATGGCCCCTTGTGTCGTCGAGAAGGGTTCCTCACAATCATTTGGCCAAGTCTATTCGAGCCGTGATCCAAGGTGGACGACTTTGACCCCCGACTGTTTCCGCATGATAACTGACTGGGTCTCAGGCCGTCGATGACCACCTTCTACTTGTTGACGAGAACTTTTGCGGACTGAACCATTGACTACGAGGAGTTGGCCGTGCGAAATGTCACAATTGCTGATATTTATAAGAAACAACTCGATAGACCGGTAGATTGATATTATAGTGCCTAGCACAATATATAGCCTTCATGGACAAGAAGTTGTGAGGATGCTTGAACAACTTGAAATGACCAAAAGAGCCGTGGCTAACCCGTTCACCACCATGACAGCTTCAAGTTGACTTTGAATTTGTAGGTGAATGGGTAAGCTGAGCTGAATGTATGATGTGCGAGAGGGGACGCTGTCGTGGACAAGGAAGAAGTAGCGATCACCGGCACCCTTGTGTGAAGGAAGCAAATTCATGGCCCCATCGCTGTGACTACAGTACTGGCTCAATACTAGCTGGATCAGATTGCAAAGACGTCATACCTATTACATAATATATTGATTGGGTATATCACACTATTTGACTAAATACTATGTCCTAAAGCTCTAAAAAGCTAGCTTAATATGATAATAAAAGAAACACTAATAGCCCTTTTTGGTCCAGAAAAGACAGAACAAGATTCTCTGCCCCGCGCCTAATTAGCTTGTTACGCCTTCTTGTACTTTACCTCAGCTGATGCAATGCATCTCTCACTTTAGAGCGTATTGTGAGGAAGGTAGAGGCTTTGATTCTGCTGTCCAATCAAGTGAGACACCCTGAATGTACATAAACATAATATTTACGAATGTGGCTTTCATTCAGCCGTATATGTCTTTCGTTCATCCCGTCCCTTTAACCGCAACCATAACTAGACTGATATGGCCACCAACTTCCTGCCAGTCCTTTCTGCAGCTGATGTGCAACGGGCTACCGAAGTGAGTTGGTATTCCAAGTGATTGCAGCTTTATGGTGTTTACGCTGTGAGGCAGCTAATCCAGCAAGCCTATGCGCCACAAAACCACTTGTCGTCAGAAGACCAACGACGCCTTCAGCAAGAACTCTTTGAGATTCAGAAACGGCAAGAAGCTTGGGGACTTGTACTCCCATTTCTTTACCACGACGACCCTAATGTCCAGTTCTTTGGAGCACATACTATACAAGTAAAAACCACTCGTGATTGGTGAGTGTGGGTATGGGCAAGCAGACCGCGTCTAAACTTTCTGATATTAGGGAAGGATTCCCCCAAGAACATGCACTACAATTGCGAGATATGGTGGTTGATCTGACGGGACGGCTTATTGCGGCGGGGAGGAGCAAGGTGATTTTGCGGAAACTGTTCGTCGCGGTGCGTGTACAACCTGTATTGCACGTTCTCAATCTTACCGCTAGTGGAACTAGATCACGTCTCTCGCGCTGAAGCTTTGCCCTGGAACTCCGTCACGATGGCCAGATTGGCTCACGTACTGTGTGAATACTATGTCTAGTCTCGGCGGGACCACTGAGCATATCCTGGATTTTCTCGCGATTGTTGCGGAAGAGGTAGAGACCGCGGATTTACTGCCTCCGAGTAAGTGAGTAGTCCATATATACAGTCTTTGAAATTTCGTAACAGTACTCGGTTTAGAGGACAAATGCAACGAACGTTGCTAGAATTCGTTCCAACAGTCGTGCAAGCAATGTCAGCATGTATCGCAGGACCACAAAGTCAAAGTTCTCCGCACGAGATGATTTCTGCGCTCAAGTGCATGCAAGCGTGGTTAGGTATGATGCCAGCAAAGTACGTTACCGCTGAGCGTGATCTCTGACCTCATAGACTAAGACACAATATACTTGCAGTGATTTGACGCCGCTTATCCCAGCCTTAATTGCGCTTCTGAACCCAATTGACGGAGAGTACCGTGAGGATGCTTTCGTACTTGCATCAGACACCTTTCAGGAGATTATGGCCAAATCAGCTCTGTCTGATGGTTCTGGGACGAAGACATTGACGGAACCATTGCTCCTATGGTCTGACGCGCATGGACGGAAGATTATCGAGGCTACATTAAATGGCGAGTTTTGGCCCTGCGCATCACAATTTACCACTGACGCAAGAGAATAGCGGGCTTTGTGGATAACGTTTCACATTCATTTTGCAGACTCCTTGTTGCACTCGGGGAACACTCCACCTTGTACCTAGCAGCAAATATCGCCTCTCTGAAGGTGGTATCCCCCTCCCCGCCTCCTCCTTTGCCTACGACACTTCCATCTCCCATCCTGCCGACCAAATCACATCTTGTGCAAACATTCTTGCGTTTAATTCTGGCATACACCGCCCTTCCCGGCTACTACGCCGTCGATGAGGAGGAGAGCGAGCTTACTCTTGGCTTTTGGTACCTTTTCCAAGAGGCGCTTTGGAGCGCTGAATACGAGCAGGATTTCGAGTATACGGATGGTGAAGCTGTCGGTGCACCTGGTGGAACTCTGAAAGAGGAGCAAGCACACTTTCGTGTCGCAAAAGCTGTTTACTCGGAGCTTGTGCAGATTTTAAGACGGAAAGTTGTGTGGCCCAATCCAGTGGCATTGCGTGGATGGCCTAGAGGTATTTGCAATTACTCGTTCGATTCCACTTAATTATTTGTTTGATTTCCAGACCAGAAAGAAAAATTCCAAGTGTAAGTCTCAGGCGACGTCCCACAGTGATTTTTATTCTGAAGTCAACATTAACAGGTATCGGCGTGATGTTGGTGATACACTCGTTAATGCGTAAGCCTATACTTTGTCGGATGAACTAAAACTTACACGCAGTCGTAATCAGTTACTACATTTTGCGCGATGATTTGTTGGGATTCTATGTCAATGACATATTAGAGCGCCTTGCCTCAAGGCAAGAACATGATGGATGGGAGGTAAATCATTCATGATTTTGGTAGATTGGAACGTTATATTCATATATCTCCCAGGAGATAGAAGGGAGTCTACACTGTATCATGGCCGTACAAGAGGCTGTACCTATTGAATCAAACCTGCATCTGACACGACTCTTCGGCCCCGATGTGCTAGGCCGTCTTCCTGTCTCTAAAGGCGATCGCATTCGACGTACCGCGTTGTCCTTGATCGGTGAGCACAACTATGGAAAAGCTTTGCTATCCTGACACAGTCTAAAAGGTCTACGTAGGATCCTATGCATCATGGTTTACCAAGCAGTCTGAGCAGTCCGGGTCTGCTCTGCTCATGAACTCGGTTTCGTACGTAGTGTCTGCTCTTCCAGATCCATCTCTTTGTCTACCTGCTGCGAATGCCCTCCGCGACCTTTGTGACGCAAATCGGGAAGCGCTTGCGCCTCATATCGGCGCATTTGCTGAACTACATGCCACACTCAGTGGCATTCCAGTAAGTAGGCCGCACCATTTAAATCGTGTGGCTGATACGTTCGTATAGGAATCCGAACAGAGCAAAGTGCTGCAATCAATTGCTAGTGTCATTCAGGCTCTGCCGCCTGCAGACGCTATCCCTCCAATTGAGGTAGGCCTAATGAATTTAGAGATATTGTGCTTAGCTGACCGTGCCAATGATTGACCAGGCAATTGTTAACCCAGTTGTTCAAAAGCTGTACAATGCTCTACAGACATCCCAGGAGGTAAGTCTGATTCTGAAAAAGTTATCAATGTCCTTTTATACCCTGATCAGCTTCCGGATGAAGCGCGGATTATCGCACTCCAACAGCTTGAGACTATATCTGGAGTCGCGCGAGGTCTCACCCGTTCGACTGACTCTCTTCTGATATTCGACGACGCACCAGAAGTACAGGAAGAGGCAAGGCAAATGAGACTGGCAAGAGAAGACCCACGGATGGTCAAGCTGCGAGATGCTATCCTCGATGGAATTAGGAGGATAGTTGGCCTCTGGTCTACTGATGCCAGTGTATGCGATGTTAGTAAGCCCCATCGCCGTCAGATTGTTGTTGTTGAATAGCTCTCTCAGGCGCTGAGCGAAGTATTCAAAGCGATCACCTCATTGCCATCAGATGTCACTTTGTTGTCTTTGCCTCCTGGACCACTACTCGAAGTGATATGTCTGGCATCACAAAAGCAACTCACAGCTGTTTGGCTCAGTCTGGCCACTATGCTAATAATTCAACTTGATCCTCCTACACTGGTTCCAACCACCTTCAAACCGATCCCTGGTGGGGAAGCCGATGGCATTGTTCTGAGCGTCCTTGCGATACTCTTACAGACGGCTCTGAGCTTTCTGGGCCAACCCGGAACAATGGAAGCGGTGTGTATTGATGCCGAATTGGTCCTCGCTTTCACGCTAAGTCTCGACGCGCACTACTTAGAACCCCGACATTGTCCAATCATTCTTCAGTTGCATGGATACGGTATGTATCATTTTTCCATAAAGCATGAATATTGTAACTTGGTGCATCCCTAGATTGCGCAACATTTCATCACAACGTTTTATCGACTGCCTTCGGATTTGTTCAATGCGCTCATGCAATGCGCAATCACCTCAGTAGGACTGCAGGAGCGATACTCTCTCGTTTCTGCGTGTTCGTTTCTGGTTAGTGGTGCTCTATCGTAGACGTACTGTGTTCTTCCTAACCACATACGATAGTCGTCGCTAATAAATCGAACCTGCACTACGGATGAACTCAGCGAGGCAAAAATCATGCTCGCGCAAACGCACGGCCGTTCCATTATCAAGGTCATCATGAGCGGCTTTGCTGGAATGGCTCCTCGGACGGCTACCCAGAACCTCATAGAGCTGCTGTCGGTGTTCGTGACCCGATTCCCTGCGGAAACTCGGACCTGGATGACGGACGTCCTCCATGCGGTGTGTACCTTCCACGCTCAGATGGTCTGGTCAATATTCAAAATAACCATCACAGGAGGACTTTGCGCAATCTCGCGCGACTGTCGAAGCCAAAGAGAAATTCGTGAAGACGATCTTCGGGTAACTAATCTAATTCACATGGCGAACGCTCTCATTCATTCATTAACCTTACAGGTCCCGCTCCGTGAAACGTATTAGGGAGGCCGCTCAACAATTTACTCTTGTTGCAAGGGGTCTCGAAGGAACCAGCTTCGGATATAGCTCAATGACAATGTGATGATTATTAGGAGGAACATACTGTAATGGAATGACGGCATTGAAGATGTAGCCGAATGTAATAACACGCAATATGGTATTTGCAATTCTAGGACCCTCCAGATTTTCCTTCCCTCCCCCACTGAGACACCTCTGACCACCATAAAGATCACTATGGATTTCTGAGGAAAACAAAAAGAAGACACTCATGAATCTGCAAACACTGGCTGAGCTCTCCTCGTCGATATTCGGGTACGTTTTCTCCCCATTTCCATGACCCGCTTCCTCCGTTCTTTGAGCATCCTCCTTGCAAACTGCTCAGCATCAGTCAAACGTTCAGATCGTACGCTAGACAGCCTCGACATATCTGATCCTACAGAGCAGAGCGAGGACGAGACCCGTGTTACCATAGCCGGACGTCGCATGGTACGCGTCTTCTTGCGAGACGTAAGGCGGGACGGCTTGATCGTTGTTTTGCGCGAACGATCCCTACTAGAACGAGCAGCCGAGGACGCTTCCGATGCAGATGAGATGTCGGGTAGGCGAGGGGGATCAGGATACAGGATCCGCTCCTCCGCCGATGCGCTGGACAATACACTGCTCGTTCGTGAAAGGTATCCTATTCGGGGATGCGGAACAATGCCGCTCTCGTGGTCCCGCGACTTTATAGCAGCAGCGGGCCTGCTGGGGATGTCCTCTTCCATGAACGTACCAGAGAACCATTCAGACAAGTCGGATGGCTCATCGGGAAAACTGACATGCACGGCGCCGATATCATCATGAGCATCTTCCTCAAGCGACACGTCCTCGAAGCCAAGATGGTCGGAATGAAGAGTGTTCAAGATGTCCGCTGTAGGGCTCACATCATCAAGCTCGCAATGGGTACGGGCTTGGCGACTCGGCGCAGTGGTCAAGCTGTCTCCCTGGGGCGCTTCATTGCTACCTCCCACCACGGCATTGAAGGCACTAACGAGGTTGGACTTGATCGAGGCAGCCCACCCGTTAGCCTCTGAGCGATTGTCACCAGGATACGGTAGGGGACCCCAGTCTTTCTCACTGATGCGATTAGGGTGTTCAGTCCGCTGCAGGCTCGTAAGTTGCCTTCGGGGCTGCAGAGAGCCCCACGAGACGGAAAGCCTGCTTCCGTTCAGGCCCTGGAAACGCGGGCGCTCACCAGGTGTAGAAGGGTATGGCGTACCGTAATTGGATGGCGTCACACGCGAAACGGAGGTCACGTCAAGTAGAGAACCGGTTCGGCTTGCTTCATCACTTGAGATGTCTCCTGGAGCGAGGTTGACGACCTGCAGCGTCCCCATGTCCGGAGCGAGATCGGGCACACTGCTGTTCGCACTACACAGCTGTATAGTCGGGTATGCACCGCCAATATCTGCCGTATGCATGGAAAGCGGCGGAAGGGAGTATGCGTGGCTATCTGCCAGCACCGCACCGTCGTCAAAGGCTGGTCGAGAAAATCTCTCACCACTCCATTGATCAAAAGGGCTGCTCGCTACCGGGCCAGTTTCTAAGTGGTCATGGCTGCTCCCCACACCACTGATGTCATCTTTCTCCCATGGCCAAGTCGTCGTACTCTCCAGAGCGCGGCGTCGCGTACGTTTCCGGCTTCGGAACCACCACCCGCACAAGGCAATTATTAGTCCAACGACTGCGATAGCTCCTAAGGCTACCCCGACGTAGAAGCTGATGCTGTGCGCAGCCGATGCGGATCCAAAGGCACTAGATGTATGAGAAGCGCTTGCGGTAGGATGGGAAGACCTAGTTGATGAAGATAACGAAGAGACTCGGGTAGTATGAGATGAAGAAGATGGTTTTGTAGACACAGAGGTGGATACGAAGCTATCCGACGACGAAGCTGAAGGTATCGGGGACATCACAGAGGGAGGTTGTAGGGTTCCAGAAGTCTGTGTAAGGGGTAAGGTAGAGGCCGAACCATCTGTGACAATTGCTTCTGCCGAACTCATGATCGGGCTTGGGGTCTCTTGTATCGAAGGCTAGAGGAGCGTTGAATTAACCTAATATGCATTTTAAGGTGTGTACTGTTACCTCATCTGTAACTGCCTGCGTTGTAAGCGCGGCCCCAGGAGTGGAACCATCGCTGATCGTCTGGGGCTGGCTCGAGGGCTTGTCCTGAGGTGTAGGCTGATCCGAATCCTGCGATGCAACGTTGGGACCACCATCTGCATCCGCAGGAGAGACTATCGAGGCCTGGCCTCCGGGGCCGAAAACGAGGCTATTATCTGCAAGTATATAGTCGCCACCAAATGATTGGCGAGGACGCAGAAATTGTTTGTGCATACGAGGCTGGTTGGCCTGGTGAAGCATCGTTCGGGTATATGGCGCGCCCGGCGCAGTGCTGACAGAACAGCAGGCACTGAGACAAATGGAAAATTAAAGGGTCAAAGTGGGAAAAGAGGACGTCGTGAGGGGGATATCTGTGTGTTGAGGAACATAGCCGACAGCCCAGTGGCTGACTATCATTACAGTGGAATTACGAGTGAGACTGACCTCGGACCGACTGTTCAGAAATCATTCCTTCAAAATCAGAATCCTATTGCAATACACTCCTTGAGAGCCTTCGTGTCTCATTTGTCTATGCCTCAAAGCTCAGCCGATCACTTGGAACATGGCATTCGAAGCCCTGCCCTTGACTTCAACGTCTTCGATGACTGGGCTGTTAGAAACTTGTGGACGGTTGGCTTCATATTCCAGTTGTCTGAGTCGAGCTAACGCAGCGAAATGGTCTCGCAGTCATGTGGAACATAATCACAGTAAGGCAAGATGAGACAAGCCGCGAGCAATTGACGTGACTGTATGCGCGAGCGTTCACATCGAGGAGTTGATTACGAGAGCAGAATGCAAGGATCCGATAATCTAACCTTATTTAAATGAAATATTTTCTGAATGTAAAAATACTGTCCTTTCAACGTCATCCTGAGTTATCACGCTGCTGCTTATTTCACTATTTTGTACTGACAATTTGACGCAAAGACCGGTGTTCTGAACGCCGTCACAGCGCATATACATAGTATTACACCTCCCCACTTAATCCTATCGGCGTCCAAGCTCTCCGAAGTCGCCAACTGAATTTGGATTCGGTCAGTTCTCAATCTTCAAAGTCGTTAGGACAAGCGTAAGATACGTCTGGGTCAACGGCACTTGCCTCGAAGGTCCAATTCCCGTGCCGAACCATGGCCGGCTCTCCTTCGGTCTCCGCGATAGAGGCCTTCTCTGTTATAAGTACTGTCGTGGAAGTGTCGACATCGGTGTTAACCATGCTGTCAAACACAGTCCCGCGGTAGTGCTCCCGAGCGTTGAGCCTGCATTCAATCAGGTTGCATGTAAAGATATAGATAGATCACTATCACTGACAATGACAGGCACGACCAAGTATATGCTGGGAAAGGACATCGGTGAGAGTCACCAATGGACAAGGGAAAATGGCGCGCGTACTTCGGATCAACACAAAGTAGATAGGAATGTAAACGAGGTTGTACATGCTCGCCAAGAACTGCACTTAAGTGAGATACAAACATTCAAAAATTCCATCAAATACTCACCACAATCATAGCAGCGATCGCCAATTTACTGGAAAGTATTAGTTATACGAAGAGCAAGAAGTTGTTACACCTACGTCGGCAGGAGGACTAAACGATGAATGATGAGCGGTGAATACACGAGCATGTGTGAATACGTACACGTTATGGTGTTGTAGATTTGCAGACGATCAGCAAGACTTCGCACCCTAAATGTACAAGTCAGGAAACATCCGTATATGTTAACAGAAGACCCTACTTACTTACGACTACCAACTTGGCGAATCATGCGAGGATAATACAGCATGCCAACCGATATGAACATATCGCACATGACATTAAGACCAAGTACGGTCGTAGTCATCGGCTGTGTGCTGCTCAGGACCGTTATGAACAACTCTAACTATGACCACTCACGATCTGCGGATTTGAAGTGCGCCGGACCCTGACGCTATGAGGATTGTGAGTTACATGGCTGGAACGCGACTATTTATTCGCCTGCTTACCCGTTCACAACATATACTGCAAACACGGGCAGGCTCGTTCAATATATATGAATACAATTGGGATTTCTCACCTATTGCACATGCTGAACTATCATGAGTATCCCTGACACCTCGTGGAGTGTATATCGCTTACCCAGTTGTGCAAGACTGCACCCACACTAATCATATTCCTTTAGTCAACCACTATTACTTTGAGAGATTGAGGTCGACTAACTTACAATGAGAACGGGAACATGGTGGCGCTTCTTTCCAAGGGCGCTCAGAACTTCAACGCGAGTCGATAACCGGCGCCATGTGAGTCTGACGTACGGGGCTTACCTCGATGAAGTCGATATCCGAAGAAGCTATGAAAGAAAGGCCGATACATTGGCGAATCGCTGATACTGGTTGCCGTGATACTCACAGTTGAGCAGCGGTTGCCAGTACACTCTGCAATACACGTTAGCTGGACGTTTCTACGACCACAATCGGAATCTTTACCCCGACGAGAAACTGGACCTATCAGACAGTCAGCAGTCTGTATAAATGACAACAAGAGACGCACAATCAGACTCCTGATGGGGAACAGGATTAAGCAGGTCAACGGCTTCAACGAGAAGGCTAACTGACCATGTCATGAGACGATCGACTTCATAGTTCCCAAAATTCGTGATTGAATAGTCATACAGCGCATGCGTCAGGAGGACGACATGTAAGGTATCGAGGACCCTAAAAGGATATTTCAGCACCAGTATTTCCGCTAGAACAAGGAACCACATACGCAACCGCAGTGACCTCAAACACTCTTCGGTCAGTCAATTTATTCGCGAATCAAGATGACTGCTCACGAAGAGCTTCAATGCCCGACCATCGTGTTTGGTATGAGTGGTATAATACTGATATACTTTCAGACAATTTACACCGTATAATCTGACCGTGAAAAATAAACATTGAGTCTATGAATACGCACACATTCAGTAGACACGCTTACGCCGTAGAGACTACGATCCCGATGAGGAGGGGTCCTAGATTATAGTCCAGGTCGGACATTGTGCTGGTACTCATGTTCAGTACTACGTTCTAGTAGTAATACCACTAGTGGAGGGACTGGCAGATGTGCCTGGTGATGAGGGGCCGTGGGGGAGCGTGGTGTTGTATATATGGAACCGATTGCGGCAATCCGCAGCCGAACGTGAGTGGCAGAAAGCACGCAGGTCACATTTACTCCATGGCCTTGCCATGATCTGCGGGTACGACCGGGTCTGTCAGACTTCAGTCAAATGCGGTCGAGAGGAGCATTGCTCCCGGTCCTACAATTCATCGACGCCGGGACCGAGCGGTCCGCGGTGGCGGGCGCAGTCAACCCAGAAGAGGTCACCGAGCCAAGGTCAAGCGCGAGGTTCAATCAAGACTTAACAGGCCGAGCAGCAATGTACTGTACATGCACGTGAGTGAGCTTGGTGAGTCCGGAAAATTGCCCAATCGAATAAGCACCTTGAAGTTCGCATAGTGCCATAGTTTATGTACCGGCGTTTACAAGATGTGCGCACACAACTTGAAGTTACTAGGGCAGATCGATATCATCGACCGAATCAAAAGTCACCATTTAAGGGCTGCCTACGGTAGACTAGTATCGGCCCAAAGCTCAGGCAGATGTTAGGTGGATGTATGCAGGCGGTCGCATTGAACATATTATTTCTCACAAGCGGCCAACGGATAATAGTATCGAATACACGGTGACCTCCTGCGAAAATTAGCTCGAACGACACCCGGGGCGCGGTATAGCCAACAGACAAGACGTAAAGCAAGCGGTCGCTATCATTACACTAGTATTCAATCAACAGATAACGTACGACTATCAAAGACACAGTACAGAGAGCCTGAGAGGCACGCAACGTAAAGAATAAGTAGGATTAAGGGCCCCTAGCAAAGGTGCATCGAGGTCCGTGACAGAAAGTAGTAGATTATCGTGTATGTCTGGTGGCTTCGGTCACCCCTCGTATTCCATGACCTCCTTCTCGTATTTCTTCTTCATGACGCTCACTGTTGAGGACATCAGCTTAGACCCTATGTTATTGTTTTTGGATAACATACCTTCACGCGAAATTTGACCAGATGATAACCAACCGTCCGGAAACGCACCAACGATCTGCACAGGACGTAAATTCACAATCGCACGGACAGCATGGCAACATACCTTCTGGTATAGTGTCTTGCGCACACCCTGATCACTCACTATCTGATTAGACCCTTCCAATACGCTAGAGTACATCAGTGCTATACTCAACACACTTCGACTTGAGTACTCACTTCTTCTCATTTTCGATTCGACAGCACTCGTTGCTCAAGCACACCAGCTGCCAAATGACCCCCTTCATCGTGTCCGTCAGCCGATACTTCTTCCCTGGCCGATGGGATTCCTTGCTCTTGCCCGTCCCAGTCCCGGCACCATCATCATGCTCCACCCCCGTATCATTCCCGCCATCATCTAAGGAGGGCCGCTGTGCGAGCGGCGCCGCCCCAATCCGCGGAGTCGGCTGCGAGTCCGACGCTGCCGGTGTCCCTTCCACAGAATGCGCAACAGAACCGCCGCCCGCCTCCGCCTCCGCCTTTGCGCGTTCCTGTCGCTTTTCTACAGCGCATATAGTCAACATATATGCATCGATGACGATAGCGAAGGCCACTCACCCCATGAAGTTACGCTCTTCTCCCACTCCTCCCGTGCCTTCGGGAACCCCTCGTCCGCAAGGATCTTGAGCTCCTGGAGTAGTGCATTTTGCCGCTCAAGCAAGAGATTCGTGTGTTCCCGCCAAATCGTCCGCTTGATCAGCTTCGACATCGTGAACTTGTTATATGGGAACAGCCGCGGCATCATGTTGAAAAAGTTGTCGTCGTACTCGCCAAGCATCACCGCCTTCAATGCGACTTGGGCAAGCAGCGGTTTTAGACTGGGAGGGAACTTGCCTTTGACTTCCCAATTCTCTGCATCTAAGGGCTCAGCAGCAGAAAGCTATTCAACGGCATGATACACACCTTTCCCAATCGCCGCTCTGAGTGCATCGAGCATAATCTCAAGCTCAGGGTTAAATGGTTGCTGGAATTCGTCAGTATCACACCACAGGTTGAGCAGGAACGCGAACATACAATCTCGACTGTTTTCCTCCTCTTCTTCGATACACTCTCCTGGGAATTACTGGCCGGACTCGGCGCGGGGCTATGTCGTTCTGCCAGTTTCCGCTTCATCCCTTGCCCTTGCTCATCATCCACATCCGAGTACAGGGGAATTGGCTCGTCGCGCGAGCCATGCTCTGACTTGGGCTTCTTCGGCGATGACGGCATCTTTGATGTACTTGGAGCAGGGGGGAGGGAGAGCGACGCGGCAAGAGAGGGTGGAAGAGGTCCACTAGAGAGTGCTGCGGTAACAGAGGCGGAGGGTGCTAGAATGTTGAGCTTTTTTGACTTTGGCTTTTTCGGCGTCCTGTGCATCATCAATGTCAGCATACGATGGCCAGACGCGCATGAAAAGGGTGATTATAGGGGGAACACGCAGTCCTTAAGTAGTGTATGAGTCATGTGTATTGCCACATCTGGAAGTACGTCCTATGCGCACAGAGGGCGCAACGACAGAACGAGGAAAGTGTAGCAGATTAGAGCAAACGCAACACCTTCCCTGCGCCCTGCTTTCAAATTGAATCGAGACGGCACCAAATCTCGTTGTGCCGTCGGTGTTGAGCGATACATCCAAGGTCGCAGACCACGGAAAGTTGAATAGACAGCAAGCTGAAGCATATGACTTCGGTCTAGTCCGCGGCCACAGCCATCAACTAATCCAGTCAGCTCTCGAGTAGTACTCGGATCATGCGCACTGCTGCGCCTAGGGATGTGATGTTCATGAGAGTTATGCATGCGGGTTGCGCAGCAAACGATGGCAAATTAGGAGGATGTGGCAGAGTGTTGTAGCCCCGAAGATCCACATCATGGAGAAAGAAAATCGTAGTACGTACTTGTTAAGCAATGCAACCTGCCCACTAGAGACATAGAAACCTTTTTGCTTCGTCTGTGCAAAAAACGTTCGCTCATCTTGGGCGAGCTCCGAGTCGTCGATGAAGGGGTCGGCGGTGTCGTAGTACTCCGATGAAACATTCTTCCTCTGTTTATCTATCAGTACGAACACGACCGCATAGATTTGCCACGCACCTTCTTCCGCTTCCGCTTATCTTTCTTGCCGTCGCCCTCGTCATCGCCCTCGCTATGGCTGTCGTCGTCGCTGATGTCTCTCTTCGAAGGGGGCACGGGGGTGGATGGTCGCTGGCCCGTGGCCTTGCTCAGCAAGGTGATGTCGACCTCATAGTCCTCCGGGCCGCCGAGGGGGATGTCGAGGCGGATTGTCTCGAGCGGCGGGCGGGCGGGAGGCGGGGGAGACGGCGAGGGCGAGCGAGGAGCAGCCGACTTGGTTGACTTTGGTTTGGCGCCCACGCTGGAAGCCGGTTTGGCTGCAATGACGCTGGAGGGTTTCGCCTTCCTTCCCTTCGCCGCTGCGCTGTCGTCGATGCGGACGACGCTGGCGACTTTTGATCGCGGTTTGCTGCTGACAGAGATGTTAGGGACAGAGAGACGAGAGTCATCGGAGGCGTCGATAGGGATGGACGAGTGATGCTGCGGCGACGGCGACGGGAGCCGTGACGAGGACGAGGGGTAGACCAAGACCAAGTCGTCGAACACCTCCGCATCGCTGGCCATCTTACGTGGCTCTAGAGAGCAAAAGGGCGAGGAGTATGAGGAGGAAGAGGGGAGGAAGTTACCTAATAAGGCAGGGCTCTGGGAGAGGGGGGAGGAGGGGGGGCGGGAGGCAAAGGCGGAGGCATATGTGACCAGAATTTCTGTTTCGGTTCGCCTGTTTACTAGCCATTTGACCTGACTTGAGAGATTCGGCGCGGCCTCTCGTCGCTCGCGCCCTCCCTGATTGGCTCGGCATTCCCCAGATACGACGCCGCCCTATCCTCCCGCGTGAAGAGTTCTTTCTTCCACTCCCGCTGATTTCGCTTTCGTGTCCTTCGCGTTTATCCTCAAACCGATACTCTAAATTCGCAGGCTACTGTCCAAATGTGAGCGTGAATCAAACCACGCCATATATGCTCCTCGGGGAGTTGCGGCTGAAGATGCAAAAACTATTATCCTGATCCCACCCCTCCGCTAATAAATTGTCCTCCGGAAATTGATCTTCGGTATGCAAAAAACACCACTGTATACAGAAAGGCATGTGCTATGAGCCTTGAAATATATCAGCATATATTCGAATGCATCCTAAGCATGCTTCACGAGTCGTTTGAAGAACTCGAAGTGGGAATCTGTAATGGTCAGTCAAGATAGTACCGTCATATCTTTAACCTTGTGTATTTTCTACAACGTCTCCAGTATACAGAGTTCAGTCAAATGGCTCAAGAGATCTTCTGCTTTGTAGCATTGATTCATTTGTTCTCAATAGAGCTCGAGCCAGATGAGCACATGGAGAAGAGAAAAACTAACGTCAATATAGAACTATGTTCTATTGCTGCTGGCGAATTTAATGAACTGGTTTAATCCTGCCAATGGGTAGGCGTCTTCACACGCAGATAGACGCAAGCTTCGTCGGCCCGCCCTATCCAACATTGCGCAGCTTGCTCTCCGAACGTGGAATGAAATTAATTCACAGTGCCTAATCGAAGGTGCTATATAGACGAAAGCACATCAACTGGAGCGCGCCGTCACGGCGATGTGGTAAGTTGATCTGAACCACAAACATACTTGGACGTGATATCGCAAGGCTGTCTAAGCTGATCGCCCCCTCTAGCGAGAAGGCACATCTTTGGCAGTAAGATTGTTCCAGAACATCGCTTCGCCCTCTATTTCCTCTCGAACGAACTGTTCAAATTCGGTCTCTGGAGGAGCGGTGCCAGCATCATCGTGAATTACCTCTTGCTGATCGGGTATATGCTCTTCGGAGCGCCATGCGTTATCAGTACCCATTGGTGAGTCGTAGGTGAGTTCCGGCTGGTGCTCTATATATACTATCTGCTTCCTCTTCAGCAGAGGGAGCATTTCGATCAAGGCTCCAAATCCATTTGGCCACCAAATGAAAGCGAGTGCTCGCAAGTCGGAGAATTGGGCCTGCGAAAGATGGCTGTCGACATGATGGAGAGCGATCTCAACTTCATCCAGATCGAAATTGCACCCTCTACTGCAGCAGTGGCTCTGAAAGCCTTCAGCGTTGACGACAATTTGTTGAATATGGGGCGCGGAGAGCTGACACAAGAGGACGCACATGAGGAGCACGAAGCTCCGAAAATTTGTGCAGTTCCTTGAAACGCCAAATTGGAATATGCCTGCATCATTTGCTCTGAAGGTAATGTCGAGCGTCTGCAGAGACCGACACTCGGACGGGCAGAGCGCCTTTGCTGAGACAGGTCGACATTTTAGCACATGTTTCACATTTGTATGACAGGAAATATGTTCATTGCTCACCGATGTCCCCAATATAAGATCTGGCCAATCGAGTCCATAAATCAACGTCTTCAAGAAAATAATCGTCAAGGCGATCCATTAGAACTCGGGTCCCATCAACGTCTGGAATCATTATTCCAATTTGCAGATGCTGAAGATTTGAACTACAGGAACGAATGAGCGACCCGATTCGTTGGCCATTCGCAAAGGGCGAAATCTCCCCAAGGGATAATGAGGTGAGAGATATTGTACTGCGCCCAGGAGCTAACCAAGTCATCATGCACATCAACTCTGTCAGGCTCAATCGCAATTTAAGCTTCTGCAGCCTCTGAAGCTGATGGCCATCTTGATGCGCGTCCGAGGTTTGAATGTTTTCTCGCCATGTTACCTGGATGCAGCAGAGCTCAGAGAGGTTAGGAAGCAAGTAGATAAGATCCCGCAATTCAGCGAAAGATCTGAATTTCAGATGTGCGAGGTTAAGATGAGTGAGTGCCATAAATTGCGATGCCGTAAACCCTGATTCAGGTGGGTCGACTGTTACTGATAATGTCCTGATATGGTCTCCAAGAATTGCCAGTTGCCTTAGGCGCGTGAAGCACCGACTGAACACGGTGCGTGATATCGACAGAGAGAGCTTGCGCCTACGAGCTAGACAATGGTGTATCGCCAGCTCCTCGACAAGTTTCTCAACTTCGGGAGACAGCTCCAAAAACCTGTCGATATCCCTGCGGCGATAGAAATGGATGACTCGGAAGAGGTGGTATCGGGCCCTTGGTGTACACACCGTACTGGCAAGGGCAAAGGCTATGAGTGTTGGACGATCATCCTGGCAGAGGTCGATAATCTTCTCGATGAGTTCCGTGGGTATCCGCTGGCCCTTGCGGGTGCAGCTTGACTCGGAGTAGGGCGTGTCGTCCAAGCGAGCATGCGAAGGCAATCTCCCCGTCGCAGTCGGTATTAGGCAAGGGTCCACGTCCATCTGCATGACTCCGCCCTAGATCTCAAAATGCGACCCTGTGAATACGTACGTACTCAAGAGAGTTGCCGAGTCGCATTACCTTCAGAGCTCTCCTTGAGAATGGGGATGAAGGGGTCGACCCAACTTGGGATGAGCTGAGCGCCGGACCTCCCTGGCGGTAACTTACTGCTTGTGTGAGCCACGCATTCAGATTGTCAGATGGACGGATCTAATGCTGCGTAGCCAGACGCGCTGTTATTCACATGTCCAAGTGCACATGTATGTGTCCGAAGAACCTTTCCAGATAGAGATACTTGTGATACAACAGTTAGGGGAACAACGTAATGGCTACAGTGTCTATAGAGTTCGATTACGTGCATTGATACATCCCGAACTCATCCGCGGGTGCATTGCAATCGTATCCCAGATCCCGAAGGGAATATACCATTCTCAAATGCGCGCAGCAGCGAAGCCTCAGCCCCTGACGCGTTCGTGAGGCTCTTGCCATGGAACCCCTGGAGGATGAAACATATATTTAGCAGGGCCGATGTGATGCCCACAATTGCTCACCAAGAATGTCCAGAATCTGTCGCTCGGACTCGGACGCAATGATGGTTCCTGAAAAAGCAGAGCTAATGACTCGTCTAGGAATGGAGTTCAGCGCCTCTCTGACCTTCGTTAAGCTTTTGCCTTTTGTCACTAGGATTGCGAACCACCCCAGAGTATAGCCCTCTCTGATTGAGCGAGTATCCCATAACATTTGCTTTGAGACGTAACGAGCGATTGAACTGTATGGAGCGCCAGAGATGAGTGAATCCACGTCACGTAGTGCATTGACCAAGTCTTACAATATCATCCCCCTGGAATAACAATTGTGGTTTGACATCACATCGATGAACACAACGAGAAGAGACGCTCACCGTATAATACAGCAATGCAGCACCCCTCGACTCGTATGGTACCGTAAGAAAATCTTGCGATTTACGACGTTTGAGATGAACAGTAATACTTCATCGCAAACTACGAACTTGCCTATTCGTCGTCGTCTACTCACTGAATTTCTTCTGCAAAGCCCACGATAAATTACTTCAAGATCATCGAATGAGTCCGGAAGACATAGATCTTCTGTAACAATGCCTTGTCCACGCAGCTCCCGTAGAAGGCGTCGTAGTACTCCTGAGGCAGCGAAGTGAGAAGATAGTGTAAACATGCAGGAACACTATTACCATGATGAGTCTTTCCGTCGTCCGTGGGACGTGTGATCAGAATATCGATGTCTCCACAATCTGCCTTCCCCCTGCAATCACGTTGTAAGTATCTGGAGAAGGGGGGTATCATGGGGTATAGCACCTTCTATAGCTCCCCATGATCTCGATGAATAACTTCGGGTCAATGTCCAGAGCTGCTAATATTAGGTAGACTTCAGATAGCACGACCTAGAACACTTACCCACAGCTTTGATCATGGTAAATATCTCGGCGGCTTCATTTCTTGGCATCCTGGAGTTGATGTCTACAGAATTTCCGAGTGAGATTCAAAAGCATAAGGGTCGCAGGTACGTGGGAGGGAACATTCATACCGTCATAATACTTCAATCCAGTTTCTTGCGCGCTGGTCAGCGTGATGCCGCCTATTCTAGCTTGGACATCGTCCAATGTCCTGCATCCGTTTGCATACCACTTGTGAGCGATATTTCTCCCTGTTGGAAATTCAATTATGTCAGCGTACCCGTGTATAGAAAACATCTCGAAGCACGGACGGCACTCTCACCTACTCCATAAATTCCTTGCAGAATGCTGATTGCTCCGACATCATCTGTCCTCTCATACGCAATGCGACGCAAATCTCCCGTTTCCAGTATCTCCATGATCTAGAATATCAACGATCAGGACGTTCTGCTTCTTCTCGGGGAAAGATTCACAACCTAGGCTTACCTTTCGGGCGGTCTTATCTCCAACACCTCTGACAGTCCGCGCCTCTTCGAATGATCTGATTCTCGTGGGATGGGACCGTAATGCTCTGATAGCTGCGAATTCAGACACGGCATGAGAAGGTATGACATGAATCGCCAACATATGGGCGACAAGCGCGATAGCTACCTTTCCCATAACTAAAAACCCGCCAGTGATCTTCCTCGCTTGGCTTAGCCTTATGGATTTCCATCAACTCTTCTAGCTACACATAATGTTAGCACGCGGAAAGGGCGTGGTGGGCCAAACCGCACATACCTTATCGATTACATCTTGATTGATACATTGAATGCGCTCTGGAGCTCCTTTAGCGTCGCACAGAAAGCCCTTGTACGGCCAGAGAGGATCGCACGGTCAAAGTTAGATATGAATTGCCCCTGAAAGCATAACACCCCATGCTCACCCTCTTCTGTTCGCCCTTGTGGCTCGCACGAGGTGGTGCCTTCTGGATTGAGTCTTCACCGTCGGAGTCGCTATCAACACTGTGGTCATGCAGCTTAGAGAAAAGCGGCTAATCAGCTACCACTCGGAGATCGGATACTATAGAAAATTTCCAGACCTACTTCTGCATAACGTTCGGCTCGAGCCTGAGCGTAGAACTCGGCGAGTGGGTCAGAACAAATACGAGAGTCAACATCCTCGCCACCGTCAACATGTCCTAACGAGCGTTCTTGTCGATTAGGCTTGGCCTTCTCGTCCAGTGGGGACCGAGGAATCTGAGGCGTGGATGGGAGTGAGGTGTTGTCTGCGTACACAACAGAATCGCGAGATATAAGTTTGTCCGATGTAAATTCCCTGTTTGGCGACCAAACAATTGAAATTTAAGTTTACGGAGTCATGCTAAGCCGACATACGAGATCCTGCTTAGTTTGCTAGTTGCATCTCCGTTGACCGCAGCGCCCAGCCCCCGAGACCCGCTGGGGTTACCGCGGTTCGTGGGATGATCAAGGTTTAATGGATTTTCCTTATGTTTTCCGCGGTCCGTCTTTCGCCACAGGCTAGGTCCAGCGTCCAAGCGCTCTTTGAACGACGCATGCATCAATTCGTAATCCATGACTTCGTCTTCGCTCTCATCATCTTGCCACACGGTCGTGCCCTTCTCATCACTTCTATCTGCGCTCTTGGGCTGGCGCGGGCGAACTCCGTTTCTCCTACCAAACCCAGAGAGGACCCAGCTCCATTTAACGGTGGGAATGTGTTCAGGAATGTCACCCAATTTTCGGAGACCTAGAACACGAAGAAGCGACTTCTCATGAGCGTCGGTCACAATGTGCGTGACCTCTGCAGGGTCGAAAACCGGGACGAGGGTTCCGCCATGCCTAATAATCTGTGAGATATATGTTATCATTATCTTGTATTCTCGATCCAACATAGCAGGAATGGAAGACGAACATAGTCCATCCGTCCTCTCGTTTCAGAGCTAGCATATTGCATATCTCCGCCGCAATAGAAAATCTTCTTCCCGCGTAGATACGGCTTAGTTGATCTCTTACCCTGTGCCTCGCGCTCAGCCAATTTCGCCTGCAACAGTTTGGCATACTCCAGCGGCGTGATGAGTTCTTTAACTTTTTTCTTTGACTTCTCTGGCTTCAATAGCGACGGTTCGGCTTTACCTTGTCCCGCTGCCCTTGCGGACGCGGATTTGTTATCGCGGATTGAGGATCTTGAAAATCGCGTCTTGCTGTCCGCCGTACTTGCTGGTGTAGTTATTGAACTGGTATCTAAAACCCTCGCCCGAGTCGTATCCTCTCCAGTCAGCTTGATGACCTTTCCCCGGCGACTCGAAGATGCGTTCCGCGCGTGGCTCAAAATCTTCATTCCCAAATTCGGCAATGAATCATTTTTCTCCATAATCGTGGGAGATGTAACTATGTGAGATGCAAGTCGTCCCTTTTCATGCAACGTCGCTTCAAGATGTTTCCGCTCTTTTGGTTCATTGGCAACCATTTTCCCGGGAGCTCCAATGTTTCCGGTGGCGAGATGAAAGTTGTCGCCCCCTTGATTAGATCGCCCTTGCACGCTAGAGGGTACTTCTGGCCCACCCGGCCGATAAGAGCGGCCTAAAAGGCGAGCATCAACATCCACAGGATTTTGCTCCGAGACTGGATGTGTATATTCCATGGTATCGCTATTTGTTATAGGCGGTCTCAAAATACAACCGGATCTGAACAGTCAGAAATTCATAAATGCTCCGACGCCGGAATGCATGGAGATCTTCATGATAACTAACCTCTGGGTTGAATATCAGTTGATGAAAAATTTAACACAGTTTATTATGTGGAAACTGTACAACTTACGACTTCTTCACCCACGTTGCGTCTCTTCGCTTGCGGACCACTTTCCGTGTCAGGCGACCTGCGTTTGTTGCTAATGAATGGTCAGCGATTCAGACGCCGAAAAATTATAGATGAAACTAGTAATTACATTTTCTTGATGCATCTATACGACTGACCACCAGGTGTGTCATCTCCGCCCTGGAGGAAAGGTGTGGTTGCCCCTGACCCACAGCCACGTTGGCTCATGCTGTCCTGCTGCCGCGACGGTTCAGTATGTTTTGGGGTGTTCGCTCGACCATTTGCATATGTTCCAGAAAGATACACACTAGAACTCGCGATGAATATAGTGCTTTTGTCGTGGAGGGAATACAACTGTGGTGTACCTCTGATGACTGCGTCCCACACGCTTGAGGTACTCGCCAAGGTCCTCTTCCGGCAAATTCATTCGCTCTTCTTTCTCTTTAAAAAACGTCTCAATATCTGACGGGGGCATGGTTCATAAATTAGGGTCGAAAGAGAGAGGTGAAATGTTGAAACTTGAAGCCACATAAACCCAAAAAGGTCAAAACGGCGGGACTGATGTCTTCTCACGCTTAGTTTGCCGCATGCTCGACAAATACGGAAGGTCTTGCAATTCCGCCCCGTTTGAGGACTTTCTTTCCGGGTGTCTCTGCTTGCGCATACTCTGAGGCTGATTTTGTACCGCACATACTAGGATGCATCATACTACTGCTACTGCTTGCATGCGCATCACCTGCTGTGGTATTATGGTCATCATGGCCATGATGGTAAACTGGCAACTTGTTACTATCAAGTGCCGAAGATTGACAAGCTGCGATACCACTGGTTACGCATTATTGTGATTTCCGACGACGACATTGATCATTCAATAAAAGTTTCATGTAAACAAGGACCTTGAACTTCCCTGAAGAGGCGAACTGGCGGCATGTTACTCACGCTTTCAAACCCCACTTAACGCCTGTGAGTTTTGCTGATCTTCTTCCTCGCATAATTGTGAGAATGATCAGCCTGTCAGCCTATACCTCTTCACACGTTGTGTCGCAGGAGGAATGACATCTTTTCTTAATATTATTTTGGAAACAAAAGTGCGGATTTCCTCTGGCCAACACTTCCCTTGTCCGGCCGGACCGACATCTGTTTATGGACCCACAAGAACAATTATTCAACAAATAAATATGTCACAACAAGCCCGTCTGAATTGCGAAAGAGTTGTATGTGATCATGAACCTCGGTCAGTTGTTCAAATCAGCATGATGTCCACGAGTCCAAATTTTAGACGGGACACCTTCGATGCATGCAGACTCTTTGTGACATGCATATGAATTCCTTCTAGCAATCCTCACGTGGAATGCGTCGGCGCGGATGATGGATTAATAATACGTGCGGGGTCAGTGCGCCCGGGGGACAAAAGCGTCCGTCCATTCCGAAGGCCAGCGACTCGTGCTTCTCCGCACGCGGGTTTGGTCGGTTAGTAATATCCGACATTAGAACGTCCATGCCCACCCATTCTGGGGATCCCACTCATCGGCTGCCTTGTGCCTAGCCACTCTGATGGGCCGATCGGAGTGGTCATGGCTGGATTTCTCGCTCCAATGCGTCTCCTCATACCTCTTTTGGGCGACATCTCGCAACCGGCTGGCGTTGTAATCCATCGCTCTCGGACCCACATTTACTCATATACACGCTTGCTGCCAATGTGTGATAGACATTCACGGCCACCGCGACTGCTTCGTGGACCTGTCGAACCAAAACGCCGCATACACGTTGATTCTGCAAACTGCTCTCCGATCGATATCTTTGCCATTGGCGACGCTACGCCGCTGAGTTAGCGTCGCCGCTCACAACGGTCGGAGTTACTATATATCAGCTTGTGTTCAAAAGGGACCAAGCAGGGAGTCTGGCCGTCGCTTCTTGCGTCCCAACCTGTGACTTGTCGCTCATGGCAATCGTAATCGACCCCGCTTCTCAGTCATCCGACGACGACGCTAGGTCCAACACATCGTCGGAACTGACAGAACTAGACCCTGGCGATTTTCCCCAGTATTTTCGTGAAAACCTAGGGCGACTCTTCCATTCTCATGGTCAATCCCCGTATCCCTTGCCGGTGGATGCGGCGGAACAGCATGTACGTTACTCTCACTTTGACATCTCTTATGGAATGGCTAACTGATGTTTGGTCGGTGATTGCTGTGGTTGCATCTGGCCAATTGCAGAGATTGAACAGACAACATGCTCTTCTTCAATCCTTGATCCGCGGCCTGTTCGTTGGGCCAGTGAACCAGGCACTTAGCGGTATTAATGGGAGGAAGAATGCAGTGGATCTATGCACGGGTACCGGCAAATGGTGTGTGGCGTCGTCTTGATTCTCTTCCACTACTTCCTAATGCTCCAGACACAGGGTTATGGATATGGCATTGATGTTTCCTCATGTTAAGTTTCATGGCCTGGACATTGGTATGAGCTAAACTATTCTCTATGTAGGGCATGGACTGATGATGCTTCCTGGATGAAGTGCCTATTCAGACCAGGCATCCTTTACCCAATGTCTATTTCGTGATCCACGATGTAGCTGCAGGGTTGGACTATACCTCTGGAACTGTTGATCTTGTCCATGCCCGAGATATTTCATATGCTGTAAGTGACAAACTCGTGGATATCATCTTTTGCTTAGCTCTCTCAGGTTCGTAACTACCATCAACTCTTGTGTGAAGTTATGCGCGTTCTGCGCCCCGGGGGTCTCTTCGTAGCTGGCGAGTGGGCTCCGTATCCTAGTATGGGCAATATCTACAACATCCGGGATTATGCTCCGCGCACATGGGAGTACTTCGACCTCCTTCGGATGGTTCTGTCTAATCGCGAAATCTCCACTGTTCCCACTATGATTCGCCCCTGGATGGAACAGCTGGGATTTGTGAACATTGAAGTACGGGAGTATAGGTTACCCGTGAATGGTCGACATGCCACCTCTTTCACGCGACGTACCAACGCAAATTTGCAGGTATATGTGGAATCACTGCAACCGATGATGGCTGATGCAGGATATGGGTCTCGTGCGCGGAGCCTTGCAAACTTGATGTTCGGAGAGATCAGTCGAGTGGACGGAATATTCTTCACCTATTATGCCATTCACGGCGCGCGTCGGGCCAGGGCTTGAGGTGGTTGCGTCTGGAGATTGTTGTATGTAAACGTTGGCCGCACTGAATATGAGTCTATGTATATGCTGTATGTAAATATGAATTGCTCTGAATATGAAGTCTATGACTATGTTTTTTTGACGGTGTTCAGCTGTGCATGTAGGTATGCCTTTCATTTCATCTGCTCTGCGTCACTTAGGCGCTAGGTGTTGCCAGCGCGCCTCGGCCGATTCCGGAGAACAGTTCTTGTCATACCGAGCTCACCGACCTTGCATTCGACCTCCAACATTACCTCTCCCCACTCCCTCCATGCTGGCCGCCAGAGCATCGGCTGCGCGCAGTGCGTCGCGCATAGCCCGTAATTTTGCTACCGTCGTCGACACCGCAGGCGTGAAGGTCGCGGCAGTCGACAATGGCGAGCCGACTTCCGCCGTCACTTTTCTCGTCAAAGCCGGTAGCCGCTTTGAGAGTAAGCCCGGTGTTGCGCATGCATTGAAAGGCTTTGCATTCAGGGTAAGCATATTTCTGAGTCAATCCAGAGGCTGTAGCTCATCACTTTGTCAGAGCACAAGCAAGCGGTCGTTTTTGGGAACTATTCGCGAAGCTGAGCTGTACGGAGGTGTGCTTTCATCAAGCCTGACTAGGGAACATCTCGCTCTTACGGCGGAATTCTTGCGGGGCGACGAGTGAGTATTTGCTGTCACTAGAGTCTTTTTCGATGCCAGGACTTGCCGAAGTCGGGCCTGCCTGCGTCGTGTGCTCTGTTAGGCCCGTTCTTGGTCTGCTGCTCATTTTTACGAGACATGTGAGCCCAGCGCAGAGGCACGAGTGTTGTTTGTGGGTAGTTTCAATGCGTGGGCGGTCCGGTAGCGGGGCCCGCGGCTAGTCACTTTTCTTCATTTATCAGGTATGGCTTAAACTTATCTGGACTCCCACAGGGCCTTCTTCGTGGATCTCCTCTCGTCATTTGTTGCCTCCGCTAAATACACACGACACGAGCTGCACGAGTTCGTTGCGCCTGTCTGCGAGGCTGAGTCGGCAGCTGCGTTCGCCAACCCTGCCACGCGCGCTCTCGACCTCGCGCACCTGCTCGCGTTCCGCGCAGGGCTTGGCTCCTCGCCATTCGCTTCGTCTGGTACACATATCTCCGAAGTGGACGTGAAAGCGTATGCGGATAGCGTGTTCAGCGCTGGCAACATCGCCGTTCTCGGTACCGGCATCGGCCCAGAGCTGCTCCAGAAGCTCGTAGACCAATCTCTCGGCAGTGGGCTTTCCTCCTCGACAGCACCCACGTCAAGCGCGAGCGCGTACTTTGGCGGCGAGTCCCGTATTGACGCCCATGGTACGCCGGAGACTCTGTTCCTTGGCTTTGGCACGGTGGGCGCGCCCACTGCTGAGCTGGCAGTTCTGGCCGCGCACTTGGACCCTACACCATCCGTGAAGTGGTCTCAGGGCCTCTCGCCTATTGCGGCCGGCATACCTGTTGGCACGTCTGTGAAGACGGTTCTACTGCCGTACTCGGATGCGGCTTTGTTTGGTGTGCTTATTCAAGGTGCAACTGCAGAGGGTGTCAAGGCTGCAGGGAAGGCTGCTGTGACTGCTCTCAAGGCTGCTGGTGAAGTTAAGGGTGAGGAGTTGCAGAAGGCAATCAAGAAGGCTAAGTTCACCGCTGCTAGCGCGACCGAGGGACGTGACGGCCTTACTAGCGCCCTGGCTGCGAAAGTCAGTACTGTGTTGATGTTTCTGACGAGCGTCTCTGACTTGTTCCATAGGTCTTCGGTGTCTCGACCAACTCTCTTGATACCACGCTTTCGAGTCTTGAGAAGGTTGATGCTTCTGCCTTCTCGAAGGTGCGTGGCTTGTTCAATATCTACGTGATCATCATGCTAAATATGTGATTAGGCGACGTCTTCTCTTCTCAAGAGCAAGCCGACATATGTTGCAGTTGGTGATATCAAGGCTTTGCCTTACGCGGATGAACTTGGGCTATGAGTATAAAAAAATAGATAGACTTTTTACGATGTCTTGAAGACGTTTCACTTAGAATGCGTTTGGTGTTCATTGAGAACGAGCTTATCCTGAGGCACGCTCGCATGTTGAAGTTATCCAAAAGAGCCGAACCCACTGGTTTGGCGCAAGTGTAAGCAGAATGTGAGCCACTCCCACCAGGGCTAGCGGTGCTGCTTCTTGGCGCGATTACGGATTCCGTACAGGGTATGTATCTTTTTTGCCCAACTGCTTGCTTTTCACCTCATTTTTCTAGTTCGTTTCCAAATACAGCAATTGGCAGATAATCATACCTCGAGAGTCAGTTACTGGCATCGCATCTTTCTTTGATCCTCCTGTAATTGAGTGGACAGCTCTGATAGTGAACGGTCCACTTACAACTCAAGGACCTGCATTGAGTAGCTCGCAGCAATGAATGTCCTTCTATTTCATTGTTAACGCGCGAATGCTACTGAAGCCTGAAGGTGAGCGAAAACTTTGGTCGAGTTGGTACTTTCGGCATTTGTGCGGCATAACCACTACAACTACATATGCAAGTTGCTGCGTTCTCAACGATGGTACGACTCGGGGTCCGTTACCACGGTGGCGTAGCGGGTACACCTTATTGGCCCAGGCATGAAATGCACCCGAGCTTTGATCCAAAAATAAGATACCTCCGCATCCACTACCGCATTGTTAGGGCTGCTCAGTTCTTACAGCTGAAGTCGTTTGCGGCCCGAGGTGAACTCCGTGAATGTGCCTCCGCTCACATCCGACCGTCTGGCAATATTTTCCCGCATCCTCGTTCGTGTGGTATGAAGGCACTTCATGGAATTGACCTGATGACCTATTTTCGAACTCGTCTACATTGTCATGAAGGTGAGCCACCTGTGTGCTGTACCTCCCGGAAGGCCACAGCGGTGATTTGGAGTTGAATTTCTGATATACAGAGAATGTCTTCAGCATCTCGTCTCCTCAGGAGGGAAAAAAACGCGTAGAAAACTGGTCAGATGGCGGCTGGTAGACCAGGCAGCTATGATTATATTAGACAACTTTGCATACTCACGGCTATCACACACATTATACACAGGGATCACACCATCTTGGGTCGCAAACAACCTGAGCTGTGAAATGGAGCAGCCCTATTCGAGTCTCTTGGAATCTGGTGCTGGTGCACGCTCCGCGCGTGCTATAGTTATGATTGAGGGACCTGGTCATTAAACCAGGTGACTCGAGGAGTGCTGACAGAGTGCCTTTGACGATGCAGCTGTATTGTCCTCATGTGCGAATCTTGACAGCGGGAATCTGGCCGGGTTTCAAGCGGCGCAGTGTCGACGGGACTTGGACCCGCGCTCGGATATAAGGAGTGGGATTTGCGCGGTTTTCTCGTCGTGGTGAAGCTTACGCTCCGCCCACTGAGAATCCGGCAATCCCGCTCTGCCACTATGCCCGGGCTTGTGATTTCTTTTCTCCTAACAACCCTTGTATTTGCTTGGCCGGTAGCAAGCCAGGTCGCCGCCGCCGCCGCTTATGCACCCACGCTGACCCCCTGTCCTCCGGGCACATCACTCGTTCGTCATGCGGGGACAGGCCCAGCCCAATCCGTCAGCACTGCTGAGGCAGCGTATATTTCCTCTCGGCGATCTCAAGTCTTGCCATCCGCTTGGGCCGCTTACCTTGCCAATGTCCAAGCGAACCTCAACGCTTCCCATGCTGCGTCACTACCGTCATACGTTTCAGATATCCTGAGCGGGTCGAACGGCTCTTACCCTGGATTCGGGATCGCCACTAGCGGGGGTGGCTACCGTGCCGCGATCGTAGGAGCGGGCGTTCTGAATGCCCTCGATGGTCGAAACACTTCATCTGCTGCAGCGGGCACCGGGGGTCTCCTCCAGAGCGCAACATACCTAGCCGGGTTATCGGGGGGTTCGTGGCTGGTAACTTCCCTTGCTCAGGCCAATTTTCCAACCCTTCCTGACCTCATCTTCGGCCCATCTAATACAAGCTCAGACGCGTTCGGTGGTTGGCTCGCACAATTGTCTTTCGCGACGCCCAGCTCGGATGCGGTCCTGGAATCAGCATATGTCGATGAAGTCATAGCGGAAGTTTCCGGAAAATTGGATGCAGGTTTCCCCGTCAGCGTCACGGATGTCTGGGCCCGTGTGCTTTCTAGACACTTTGTGAATGGGACGAGCGCTGACAACTTCTTCGACCCTCTTCCTACGCATGGCGCGGGTATCACGTTTTCATCTATTTCTGGCGTGTAAGTTTTCGGTCCGGCCGCGTGTTTATGACCTCACCCAATCTCTTCTCTTGTTTAGCCCAACCTTCGCGTCTCGCACTCAGCCTTTCCCCATAATCGTTGCGGATTCGCTCTCCCCGAACGGAAACGATTCCGCATATTTTCAGGGCGCCTATGTGCCCCTCACAAATCCGGTCTATGAGTTCAATGTTTGTGCGTGAACATGCATCTGTCGTATGGGTCTTCATGTTAATATACACTAATTTCACTCGTTTCTCTCATAGATGAGATGGGGTCGTTCGACCCGACATTGGCAGCTTTCACACCCATGGAATATCTAGGCTCGCCTGGAAACTCAGTGTGTGCGACAGGTTTCGACCAAGCCTGCTTCATGACAGCCACCTCTTCAAATGTATTCAATTCTGTGAACTTAACTGTACGTTATAATTCCGTTCAACATTCAAGGAGTACTCCTGATCATACAGTCAAGGAGCTTCTCCCGCCGGCACTCGACCCTATTCTGACGTTCCTCGCCGATCTGTCGGACAATGGAACTACGCTCGATGGAGTGGACACTGCCCGCTATCCCAACCCATTCTACGGAGTACAACCTAGAACGTTCATCGATAGCAACGAGACAGTGCTCTCGCTTGTGGATGGTGGCGATGACGGTGTTGCTACGCCGTACATGCCACTATTGGCGAAGGCTCGAGGAATTGATGTTATACTGGCTATAGATGCGGTATGCAAGCTGTGGCCGTTTAAATTGGAAGTTTTTTACTCATTTTCATGATGCGTCAGGCTGCTGACACTGACGACAATTGGGCTGCTGGAGTCTCATTAATGGTATGTAAAATTCGATTCAGGTGAAGTGCCTAGCTTACATACTCTATGCAGGCCATGCAAGACCGTGTTTCCTACTATCCGACGACATACTCCTTCCCTCCAGTTCCAACTTCCACTTCAGTCATGCTTTCTCAAAACCTGACGAAGCGCCCCACATTTTTCGGATGCAACTCCTCCCTTGAGTCTTCTGAACCGCTCATCATTTACATCGCGAACGGCGGACCTCCGCTTGATCTCCCCCCGCTCACAAACACCTCCACATTGCAATTAGCTTATCCCGCAGACCAGATTGATGGCATGCTCTCAGAGTCATTCGACTTTGCTACCCAGGGTATTCCGGTAGAGAGCAATGGAACGTTGACCAAGGACCCAGAATGGCCGGCGTGCCTTGCCTGTGCAGTGGTTGACCGTGCACGAAACCTATCTGGAATTTCGCGGAGTGGAATTTGCGAACAGTGCATGGAAAGATATTGCTGGAGCTAGTCCTGATGAGCTATATGACATGTATCATATATGGTGTTAACCTTCTAATGCCTGCACAGCAACTCGAAAAAGGTGCTACTGCTTCTTTGCTGGAAGCTGTGCCACCTTCGGTTTGTTGAGGCGAGGACATTATGACAAGTTTATTCAATGAATAATAATAATAATAATAATAATAATAATAATAGCAGCAATTGATTTATCAGCAATATTCCTTATCATCCAAGCACAACAACTTCGATCATGGGCCTACAGTACATAATCTGTTCAGGTTATTGATGTCCACTGTCTCGCTAGCCGTGATCCTCCAAACTGTTCAGCGAGCAACGCCAGACGCACCTTCATCCTTCTGCCCTCGGACTTTCCACCAGGCGAGTTCCTATCTCGAATGATAAGATCGCTGCGAAACCGTAAGCATAGACCGTTGTGGACTAAAGACTGAATATGGCGGCTACTTCCAAAGGCGCCCGCTTCATATTATGATTCCCTCCTCCCCAAGGGCACGAGGCAGGCGACGTCTAGGCTTCCAGGTCCAGCCGACGTTAGCGCTGCACACATCTCCTCGCTCTTGCGCACTCTTAAACCATGGCTCACCCACTTTTCCTACCTGGAAAGTATTTTTTCTATCCGATTGGCAACACCTCGGCCGTTTGCCTCACACGGGATGTGTCTCCCGAAGAATCTGCCGATATTTTGTTGCTCGGATGTGGCGATCCTCGAAGTGTTTTGTATACCATCTTTTCGGAGCCACAAGCAGGTGCGTAGTGATACACAATTTGTAGTTTCTTGCTCACTTATGCATGAAGCTGTAGCATCTCGGCACCTGGATTTTACATGCTGTGACTTCGACCCGGGAATTCTGGGTACGATTCGAGCTGCCTCAATTTTCGCGCACACTCATCATTTTCAGCCCGTAATGTACTGCTCTTTACGCTGATCGCCGATCGCCAACCAGCGATGGGGGTGGTATGGAACATTTTCTTTCACATGTATCTCGATAAGGCCTCGCACACGGTCCTAGTTGATCAGTGCAAAAAACTATTATCCATCTCCGACACGCTCCAACGTTGGGCGTCTTCATCGTATGGATCTTATCTGAAGATGGGAACTGAGTACACGCTCTCAGAAGTCCGGCGTCATTGGTCGCTCTACGCAGGCATGCAGGACCTACCACCAGCGCGCCTGAAAGCTATCACGACTGCATTCAGCAGCACGCGCAAAGGGACATTGGAGAAGCATAGTGGCTTGCTAATCAGTCCAGCACGTTCTGCTGGGCCCCTCATGATGCTTGCAATTCCAGTAATGTCCGAGCATTTCAAACGCTACTGGAAGACTGGGCTCTCATTGTCTGACCAGAAGCAGGCCGACTCTGCGACTCTGGTGAACCCCACGTTCGCGTATTCTCTTGGAGGGGAAGGCTTTAATGTACACTATGGTACGGATCCTCTAGTTCCATTCCACCTCGCTTCTGTGTTTGGCAACGCCAAAGGCACTGCATCCGTTGTGGACGTTGTAAAGGCCGCCAAATCCGAATTCAAGGACTGGTGTGACGCTTATGAGGCGCGCGTTTCTCCAGATGATCGTAACCCCCCCGTGGTTCGGTTTATCTTAGGCGAAGTCACCGCTGTGTGTCGAGCCTTCCATGCCTTCACGTCCACGGGGACAGTGAAGTCTGAAGTGCCCGTTGCACAGTGGAAGACACAGATATTGAAATTGAACGAGGAAGACTATATCTCCGGTGGAGCTCCATCGAAATTTCATGTGATAGAGACCTCCAACCTCATCGACCACGTTGGACTACTCAATATCATCGTCGCTGCAGCTCCCCTTCTATCAACCTCTGGATCTCCGGGGGTGTTGTACACCGAGTCCCTTCTCTTCCGTGGGGAAGATGCGACGAAGGATTTTACAGAGCAGCTGTATGCGAACCTCACGATTGTGGGTATGCTTGTCGGGCTCTATCCTACCGACTATCTGTCAGGATTCACCTCGCGGTCAAACACACATGAGCTGATGGCGTACATGGTTGTCAAAAAGGATACGACGCAGTTTCATCAGGTCACGACGTGGAAATCCCCAATTTATGCGGATGCGATTGCGGGTCGCTACGGAACGCAATATCGCCCTCCTATCTTCGACCCTCTCCAGCTCGGTACATTCTTATATGACATGTATCACCAGATTTTCGAGCAAGAAGATGCGATGAATTGGTGGAAGCGCAATCAGAACAACATGCGAAATGCCCTAGCTAGTTCAGTAATCATTCACTATATGCGCGAGAGCTTTGCTCTCTTTCTCAAATTGGTCCGGACTACTCTCCGCACACCGGATGATCGGTGGCGGATAGTTATGAATCGGTTTTTCGATCTCAGGGAGGAAGACAAGTCTCTTCCGATGGACTCAAACAACTCACAGGACCTTTTTGGGCAGCTGATGCGCTATGGCATATACACCGCGCCCTACCTGAGCGATTCCCCGCCTCGCATTGGTCTCTTCTCACAGTGGGAGACCGTGCCTCCTCTTGTGCGCATCATCCTCACCGTCCCGCGCGAGAAGTTGGCCTTGCTATATGACACCCTAGACCAGGTTGGGACGCCTCCTCTCCAATGTGACCTCCGGGGACAGTGGAGTCACAATATCTTTACAGCCGTGCATGCCGCGTTTGGGACTGCTATTCGGATGGGTACGGTGGCGAAGCCGTGGGTGATGTTCAATGAAGATCCGGATGGATGGAAAGGCTCCTCGCCCCTCGTCGTGTCCTTCACGGTTGCCACACCATTCTTGACTGATATCGAACCTCAGACGAATCTCAATGTCCGCTTTGGTGTGCGCAGTACGCCGGGGACAGTAATTCTAATTCAAAAGCTGGGATTTGATCTCATTATTTTCTCTGGGAAGTTGCTAGATGAAGCTTCAGTGTTAGTCATCCCAGAGCCTTCGGTTCCATTCAGGGCCCCACGAGTTGTCCCGCCCACATCTTCGATTTCAGACACAATTCAAGCTGCTCAGATAGGTACGGCGGAAGATGTATCAGTACAGCTTGATGAACAGTGTGAGCTGGTGGAGTCCATGACGTGTCGTGTCATCGTCGAGGATTCCGAAGTCAAGGGCGTATTCACAACTGGGACCAACCCGCAAGTTGAGCAGGTATCGCCATGTGTGATGAGGCTCATGATAGCGGGTCACAGCCAAGATATTGTGTATCCATTTCCTGTCATCGGAAGTAAGAATAGATGCCGTCTTGCACGCAAATCGCTATATATTGAGGTCAGTCTCATTGTCAGGGGCTTCTGTGTTAGGTCAGAGGACTGATCACACCTTTGGTAGGTCGTCGTTCCGGCGTCAGGCCCTTTCAAGGATGACGGAATGCAGTATAATCCTTATCCAATGATCGTGCGAAATGAGAGTGCAAGCATTTGGAGCGTCCATCGTGTCAATCTCTCTCGTCTCCCTGTTCTCGGCATCAAGAATTCTAAAGACCTATATCAGTGGCTCAACCCACATGTCGGTTCCATGATGTCGAAGCGCGAACGTTCAGCGCGGAAGAAGAATCAAGATGATACGTTGATGTTCGTCAAGGACACCCTACATACAATTATGGTGCGTGCCTCTGGCATCCAGCAGGGGCCTTCGCGGCGGCTATTTGCGCTTGTGGACAAGGCCACAAAGAATAGCGACACCGTCATATTCATTAATGACATCAGGTTTGATCAGCCTTCGCATACCGTAGTTTACGATGGTTATGTGCTCGCCCTCACGCACGATCTGCTGGCGAAGATAGAGTCGAATTTCGCTAAGCTCGTCACGCAAGGTGATATTGTCAACGTTGCGATGTTTGGTAAGGAGGTGCAGGCGTGGAAGCAGCTCTTACCTGTATTCGTTGAGCGCTGCCGTACGTCATGGGTGCATGGAGCCAATTGCGAGTACAAGTCCCAAGGCCGGATCCCGCTTTCGGAGGACATGGAGAACGACCCACTGTGCAGTTGTGGCCGAGGAATAGATACGGACGGGATGACCAAGGTGAACCTCTGGAGACCATTCGCGCCATACGTGACCAGGATTGCACTCTCTCCGTTATTCGCAGTCTCGTACTTGGAGACCGTGGGTCGCGATCCTTCCGCGCATAAGTGCTTTGTGTGTCGAGGAAAGGGAAAGCCGAGGCTCCTTGCATGTAAGGGATGTATGAAAGTACGCTACTGTTCGGAGGCGTGCCAGAAGAAACACTGGAAGGCGCACAAGGCTAACTGCAAGCGGTGATTCATGATCCGTGTCGTGAGTTTGGTTCATGACCGTAGAATACATCTTGGGGAAAAGAATATCATGTAACAAACGGTCTGTGGCGGTACCTTTCATATACACATGGCTGAACAATGTTGGTTTGTTGTACATAGGATGAAGGTAGACGTAAACACATAACAAAAGTCGTATCCCTGACGAATTCACGCAACCTGTGGAATCATGCCTATTTGTATGGCCTTAATTTGGAGTGCCTGATATTGTGCGGTTTAGCATTCCACAAACGAATATACCGTGCCGACTCACAAGCTGTTTCGACAAGAATCGTGACATCGTGAAGTCTCCAGCGCCGTACCACAGCTGTAAGACATGCGAACATGCATGAGTCTATATGTACGTTGCCAATTGGGGGAGGGCATACCCCTGGATGGCCTGTTGGTCTATAACATCCCTGGACCTCGCCCTCCTCATCAAGATCCCAAAGGGGTTTGGTTCGGTCAATTAGCTCGGCACCAAAGAGATCCCTCAAGCTCTCGCGCGGATCTGTGTATCCCGTGCTATAGAAAGCGAGATTAGGGGTAGAGCGTCATAACAGGATACCCAGACCCACGCGAACACGACAAGATCCGCAAGGAGTTCGGTTCCATCGGTGAACATCAGTCTGTCCTCCTCGAATCGGCTAAGCTCGACGCCTTGCTTAATCTTTACTCTTCCTGATTCCACCATGTCGGCAAGACCGACATCAATCCCTAGAAAACTTTTAGCAAGACCTAGGCGATGGGATTGTGGAGCTTAGCTTACAATATCCTGGTAAGCAAACCAATAGCATGAATAACCTCAGCATGACAGTCGTCAGCACTCCACGCACCGCCAATACGCTCATAGACCAAGAAATGCTGCCCGGTCCCGTCTTTACCCATGTTCAACTTCAGTCCGCTTCCTTTAAATTTTGCATGTAGTTCTCTCTCTTGTTCCCACCTCTGCGCTTCTTGGGCGCGCGCCATGCGCCTTTGCAGGTTCAATGGCATCGCGTTGAAACGCAGATCGCACACTTCCGACGGCATGCCATCTGGATAGTTTCGAAACATAGCCTGAGTCACGGACTTTATCGATACCACGCAGGTCGATGAGCGCTGAAGCATGGTCACAGTCTCTGCGCCGCGGAAGGCGAGGTCTTGGCAAATATCCGCAGACGTGTTCCCTGCTCCGATCACAACGGCGCGCTTCCCCGCAAATGGCTCTCCGCCCATGTAGGAGCTAGCGTGCATTACTGTGCCTTTAAAGCTCCCTTGTCCCGGGATCTGCGGAACTCGTGGTGCACCGAGCGTCCCGATAGCGATCACGATATGTGCGGGGCGTAAACGGACGTTGACACCGTCTCTGTTGACAACAACATCCCACCTCTTCCTCTGAGGGTCATATGTAGGGGTTGGCAAGATCTGCGAGTTCGTCCACACGACGAGGTCCTGCGATTCAGCATACTGCTTGAGCCAGTCAGCGACTTTGTCCCTAGGTGTGAACAGCGGCCAATTGCGTGGATAAGGCTGATACAGAACTGCGGATGTGATTACTCGAAGTAGGACCATCACGAGTGCAGCGGCTCACATGTATGATGGTTGCGCGTTGTATGCAGTGATAGAGTTGGGTAGCGCTGGCGCCATTGGTCACCTATCGTTTTGTGCTTCTCTATGACAATCGTCGGGATGTTCATCTGCTTGAAGCGCGCCGCGATCTGCAGTCCAGTTTGGCCACCACCCACTAAACCGACATCGGGTCAGACTGAGGTATGAGCATAGTAAGCTCTGGTCGAACTTACTGATAAGGACATGCGGATCGCTCTCAATCCGCGCTCGACGAGCGCCGTTCACCTCCTCCCAGGCCAACGTGTGTCCCCCATAAACACCTGGTTCGGGCCCTGCCTCTTCGTGACCCTTGATTTCCTCTAGATTCATGAAAACAGATAGCGCCTTCCAATCGCCCGTGGCCTCATCTGGCTGCAGGTACACGTATCCGTGACCGAGACGATCAGGCATCTCAAACGCAAATCCCGCGGCGACGGCGCTGCCATTGAGGGCATACTCTGCACACAGCCCAGGCCTCTCATCGAGTTTGAAATTGGACAAATGAACGGCGGCCAGCGTGTCGCGGAGGTACGCTGTTATCGTGTCGCGGCCGTCCAAGGATCGAGTGTCCCAAGTGAACACAAGAGCATCACGGAGCCATCCGTGGGGAAGGAATGTATCGACGAGCTTTGAGACGTCGTGAGAGAATGCTGCGAGACCAAAGCCCCGAAGCCAATTGGCAGCTATGTCCTGGAGCTCGAGGTTCATGGAGTGTAGACTAGACCAGATGATAGTTATGAGCAGCAGTGCGCGTCGGCAGCTTTATAGCGACCTCGGCGTGAGAGGCTCCTCTCCAGCATGAGAGCAAGAGAATGCATGCGCACTCCATTTAGGCAAGAATGGAAACGGAGCTGGGATTGTTATAGATATCTAAATGGGATAATATACGCTTCACATGAGCTCCACGAACAGAGCCTGGTACGAAAGCGGTGTCAATTCAGTTCGACCGCCGCCGATATTCCGAGATACGCACCTGCTAAATGCACTGAATGGTCGGGCTGGAAAGGCTTTCTCGCCGTATTATTATGTGGCTAGACATTCACCTGTTCGACGTTCGCAGGAACCGATACTTAACTGCTTCGCGTGTACAAGTACACTGCGAATGTAAAGGCGCTCGTAGCAAACCAAAGGATGCTATGAGCAAGCCAGAGTCAATCCATCCGCCGGTACACTGGCGTACTCCCACGTTGTCGCACTGCAGGATCAGCGTCCAAGCAAGCAAGGGCTCGACGCGCTCGACCGTGACCTCGTGGCGTCCCGTTTGCCAATTATTCATCTTTGTCACAAATAACATCTAATGCAAGTATGACTGAAAGTAGAATTGAAGATTAGTAAGAACATTTGTAGGAAATTTGATGGATATGTCAGCTTACCTCAGATGTCGTGGGTACCCGTCTAACTGACGTAGAGAAAGGCTCGATAGATAGAAATACAGCTGCTATGAAGATCAGAATGGTATTCCGAAGCGTACTGTATTACAAAGATGTTGCACGTATGATGGAACGAGATGTACATGGACGTATGAGAAAAGAAGCACGACAAATAGACGGATCAATGAGAGCTCAGCGCAAGTGCATGAACAATTAGCAGCAAGCATGGCGATAGCAGGAGTCTACGTACTCAAAATCAGGACACAAATCAAACAGCTCGCCCGCGGCAAGAGGATCACCTCGTATCGTCGGAGATGATGTTGCCGATGCTCAGCGGGTTTTTCTTCCCAGGCACAGCTCTCTCCCCCGATCCAGGAGGAGGGGAACCCTGCCCAACGCGAAGAGGCGCCAGTCGAATCCCGTTGTGTATGCGTCCAGGATGACTTTCGTAAGGATACGGATCGCCTTGTACCATCGCGCCCGGACCGACACCCCACGCGCTCGCCGCCGGCGCATATCCCCATGCGCTTTCCCCGCTCCCACCAGCATTACCCCCCGCACTCGGAGGACCACCCGTGCTCGCATTGACGGGGCTGCTCATGCTCGCGCCGCCTGTATTCGGCGCAGGCGGGTAGACATTAAACCCCGGCGTCTGATGAACATGCGGTGGAGTGCTCAATTGGTACTGCCCACGCGACCCGCCTCCGCCTCCGCTTCCGCTAGCGTGGCCTTGACTCGCGCTCTGCACCTGGCTCTGAGGCGGTGCAGCGGGGTATTGCGACGCGTACGCCGACTGTGGTGCCTGACCACCATAATGGTGCTGTGCGGTTGGGCTTTGCCCAGGCCCGGACGTGGGAGGAGGGGCAGAAGCGTACTGCGGTGCCCCGTAACTACGGGATGCGTGGACCGAGCCCGCAGACCCTTGTACTTGGGAACGAGTATCTGTCGGGCTCCCGCCGCCGGAAGGAGCAGCATACTCGTACTGTACAGTCGCGGAGGCCGTCGCTGCGGAGGGTGACGGCGGAGTGGGAACGGGTGCGTAGCCAGAATGCTGATAAGAATGATGCGCGTGTTGCGCCGAAGGTGGCGGCGGTGGCATATGGTGTTGACCTGGGTGCTGCTGGTGATGTTGAGGTGGGCCGGGCTGAGACGGTGGTGGTGGCGCGTGTTCGTAGTACGCATATCCCTGGGCGTAGCCCGGATATTCTCCATACCTGGGTGGGGGCGGTGGAGCATGGTGGGCATGCGGATGGTGTGAAGAAGGGGGGGGCATAGAATAATGGTGTGCGTAAGATTCGTACCAAGGGCCCTGCCCCGGGCCCTGTGTTGGCGGATATGGGTACCCTGATACCGGGTGGTGGACGGGGGGTGGGACATGACTGTAGTGGTGCATCGGTGGGGGCGCTCCATAGTGATGTGTGGGTTGGGGTGCATGAGCAGAATCATAATGATAGGGCGGGGGCGCTTGCGCTTGTGCAGGTGCGGATGCTTGTATAGGCGCTGCGGCGTAACGGTCATATGATACAGCACCGGACGCAGCTACAGGGGAAGGAGCTGGTGCATAGTGATGTTCGGCCATCGTTGTCTGAGCCTGCGAGACTTGAACACTAGGCTGAGCTTGCTGCGATGGTGCAAGCGTCGGGTCAATTGGACCCCATCCCGCACTGGACGGGCCCGCACTTGCAGGACTGGCATCCGTGCCCTCTGGAATCCCACCGCTCGTATTGATCCCAATGTTCCCATCATCTGCTCGAGCTCGCTTTGCACTTCGCTCACCCATACTTTCTCTCCTCCCACCAGCCTCGGCAGATGGCCCTGCACCACTATCTCGCCTGCCTGACACCCTCCTGGGCTCCTCCCATGGACTCTCCCTTTCCCTCTCATCGTCTCTTCTGTGTTCGTAGTCGCGACTGGACTCCCTTACGTCAACTTCTCTCGCCATCTCTTCCTCTTTCTCTCGCTCCTCTTCGGGTTCCGGATCATCTAGGCGCACTGGTACCGGCCCAAACGCTCCTCCTGGTGGTGGCCCAGGCATGGGCAGAGGAACTGGCGCGTCTCCGAGGGCTTGTATGGGCCGCTTGCGCACACGGATATCCTTCCGGATACGAATTTTAATACCCTGGTCCGCGAGGGAGCACGAAAGCGGTGTCGACTCTGTTCGCACTAACAGTCAGCGTCGCCAGACGCATCCACTCGCTGTGGGGCACACCTTCCATTCCCGGGAATTTCTTGGCTGTATATACATAGAACGGGGCCGAAAAGATCGACTTGCAGTGGTATACGTTTGAGCTGTACGGGCGCGTCAGAAATCTGCAGTTCCGAACCGCCTGCCGATACATGGGCCAGGAGGATGGCGCACGCCCACATCCTGGACAGGCGTCCGCCATGCCCCTGACACCGACGCCGAGCCAAGTCTGCGCGCGCACGGGAGCCAACGTCCCGGAATTGAATCAATCATTACATCTGGCAATTTCATTAACGTACATCCACCCGAGTGATGTTCTCCGTCTGGGTACTTCGTACTCACGACGAACGCACGTGTAAGCTCCCATGACTCATACCGGCGTGGTCCACGCACACGGTGTTTGACGGTGACTAGCACAAGACAATGCACACTGGGAGAATATGGAAACACTCACCCGACGACCTCGAAAAGGCTGAGTTTCAATCTGTAACTTCCCTCCGTGCGGACGCTCAAGTCCGGGAATACAAAGAATCCGGCATCTTCTCCACCTGCCTCAGCGTCCTTTAGGTGATAAAGCGAGGAGACGACTGAACCAGTCGTACAACGAGTCTTGCCATCCTGTGAAATACAGATCTACTGGCTCGCTCAGACGATCGGAACTAGCGGACAAACCTTGAGCCAATGCAACTCGACATCCTCATCAGGCTTGGCGAGGCTAGCGAACATGAAGTAGTATGGGTTTTGCAAGAAGCTCTGCGACGCGAGAGACGCAGCTGCACCATCTGCGCAAGGAACATGAGTCTGGGACGAGATGGGAGAGGACGATGAAGGACGTACCGGGCGAACTAGAACGCGAATCACCAGACTGTGGTCGACGCTGAGAAGGATCGATAACACGCAGCTGGACGATCGGCGGAGGGTCGATCGGTCGTCGGTCGGCTGCAAAAGGCGCATATCAGCATCGAGTCAAATGGAGACCAGGGATGAGGATGTGGCTCAGAGACATGGAGGGGGAATGATGGGGGTGAGAGGAATAAACCTTTACCGCCTACTCCGCACATGCGAGCCTGTTTTGGTTCCTGGCGCACAGTAAGTTCGTATTCGCTATCGTCGGAGATTGTCGTCGACAGACAGCAGCCAAATGAGTGATAGGACCAAAAGTGAGGTGATTGAGAGAAAACAAGGAGTCAGTGATGATGAACTAGGAGCCGAGGAGTGCGAGGAGGATTCCAGGATACACCATTTGTGCCCCACAGGGCGCGAGAGGGATCCGGGGATATGGTGAGGGCGAGATTGGATGGACTCACAGTCTGTCTCTGTCATACTGGGAGTGGACAGGCAGCTGGGCGTGCACGAAATGCTGCTGGTCGTCGTCCATGGCACTCTGGACGCCGATGTTCCGAGTTGAATGGAGGGAGGGTCGCGGTTGGGAGCAAGCCGGCGGGCGATTATGCGACTGGGAAATGGTGCGCCTGCTCGCGCGCTTGTCCCGCGCAGACGGGCCGCCATTTCCCATCTTAGAAAGAGTTTGATTCTCACATATCCAAGCTTCAAGACTCACAGTAGGTAAAGTAACCAGATGCTCCACAGGACCCTGTGATATGCGAAAATACCGCGCATATATTCTGCTTCCGAATGTCTATCAGTGGATCCAGCAGTGTTGAGCTTCAGCAACTTCAACGACCTGGCGCCGCGACAATGCCGTCGGTGAGAATAAGTTATTTATGCCAGCATTCATAACGTTAAAAGCTAAGCACTACGGCCCACTCGCATACTCCTGATTACTCGAGCTCCAGCTAGAACTGTTGCCATCACTTATTTATGCACCAACTTCGTCCATGTTCTGCGCGATGTCACGCCCTTCACCCAGCACGCATAGGGTGTGTTCATCGTTGTGGAGATTCTCCAGCTCAGCTCCGCGCATATCAGATACATATATGGGCTGAAGCGAGAAAACCGTTCGCTTCCACGGGACAACTAATGCCTGAATCGCAAATTATGAAGAGTTGGGAACGCATCGTGGTTCTCAGAATTACATATATCCACGGACCAGTGTCTAGACCAGCATGCCTAGACGCCGTGTGTGTCCACAAATTTCATTTCAATCCATGTATGTCCTCTGTCATACCTCTTGAAGAACGATTTCGTAGTAATCGCTTGCTTCTGGACCCAAGAATGCAGGGGTATCAGCAGGAAATGGGCGTGTAACCGGTGTGTTTCTAAGGGTCCAATTCCCAACTTACTTCCAAGTGCTTGCCGGGGAATGAGCAGGCGGTTCGCCTGAGGTGTCCGACAGCACCCCAAACGATGTGGATACATGCATGAATTCGGAGCTTCGATAGGGCTCATTCTTGGCGTGGCGTAACGCTGAAATGTCTCCACGGTCCCCATTTTCCTGTGCTTACACGTACCCCATAACGTACTGCACGACTGCATAATAGAATGGCCCCACCCCACTGGCAAGTTTTCCATGCACAACCATAAAGCATTTTGACACGTTATGGATGATCTATGCGCGGGTCCCCGGGCCAGTAGAACTCATTTTGTCAGGTCGCCGAACGACCTGCCATGTTGACTCGGCTGCATTACACTGATATGTAGATCCTTGAAGGCGTAGGCATCTCTGAGACAGCAGAGGTTGGCCACTGAGCATGACATCTACCAGATACTCAACATACGCTTCACAAGTGCTCATAACGCTCGCATTCCTTCTGCGCTTGCGAACTCTCAAGCAATTTTGGCAGGATATCATGACTGCTCGTATTATGAGAAGTGTCATTATATGTAAGCTCGTGCTCGTTTTGGTGACACCATATCCTATGTTCGCAGAGCGCAGACCAAGCACGATTTTTTTTTTCACGGTCATTATGTATATGCTGTGCTCTTTTGTGAGTGGTCCAATCAATCACTGGATTCCTTCAGGTTAACTTGTATTCATCTTGGGCTCCGATGTGTCCGACAAAACATGTGAATATAACTCGGATATCGTATTGCCTCAGCTCACCGACCTGCGCTGTTGCCCGCAGCGAGCTGCGGCATTGCTCCGGCCGGATGACTGAATTCTGATTGATAAACTTGCTACTCTGCTGTAGCGGGGAATGAATGGCCGCGGGTTTGGTCTCGCGAGAGTCGCACAAGGTAAGCGACCCTTCGAATGAAGCGCATAAGTCTGATGGGAGGTTAGAACGATCGAAGGCACTGATGTTGAGTTGTCTAATTCCGGTATTTGTGCGGCATTCTTGCGACTGACCGCAGTGTCTTACGGTAACGATGCTGCATTGTTTCCTGCTCCCGGGACTGCGGCTCCATCAAGATGCTCATAGTGCTTAGGGGGTCATTCTTTACCCTTTTACCATCAGGTTCTTTTGATGTAATCTCTGAAAACGAAGGATATGTAGGTCCAAGATACTTTCTCCAACATGAAGCTATGTAAATGATTCAGCATATCTCCCTGCTTCTTGTCCGCCGCCTCCAATGAACAACTGACCTGGGGCGCTAGCCGTGCTCTCGGGATATCGCCGTCATTCTCTCATGGCTGTATTTTGACAGCGGGGATCTGTTCTCTCTCTTAGCGGCGCAGCTGGACTACGGCATCTGCTTTTTTATATAGGAGAAGTTTTGCAAACATACTTGCTCAGTCACAGATTGAGTCCTTACGCCCCATTACAGGCTCAACAGGTTCTGCGACCTCCCCATGCTACGGCTTGCCATCTCCTTCGTTGTTACGGCTCTTGCACTTACCGCGCCAGTGTCAAGCCAAGCTGCTGCAGCGGCAGCCT